ACTCAACATTGACCTTGGCCTTGAAACCTTTTCCATGATGATCATGATAATAGTAATGATTTTGATGATGATGATGATGAGATGAAGATAAACCCAAGTATATCGATCTGTCTTCGTCTCTTTCGTTTTTATCTACCAGTATTCATGCTCATTGATTCCAATGAATTTCCCTGATGAATTCAAGTGGAAAGAACAGAATTTTCCTCTGAAGGATGAGAAAACTCCCCAGAATAAAAATTCCAAACCAGAATTTTCTCTCTCTTCACTCTTTCATGATAAAATCTATAATTTCTGGGATTATACCTGAACCGTTTACTTTTCTGTGAAAACATAATAACTTCGAGATGAAAGAATAACAATAAAAACAGAATTTGATAACCAGGTAAATAAACTGGAGAGAGAAAAAAATCTCAGGTAACAAGTAAAAAAGAGAGAGAAAAATAAAAAATCTTTAAGTGTCAAGATGATATTCAAACAAGAGAGAGAGAGAAAGAAAGAAAGAAAAGAGACTGTTACTTTCTTCATTACAATTGATTGGTGACCTTTTTTTACCTTTGGTTTTTTATCTGGGATGAGAGGTCATAGGGAAATCACTGGAATCCACTAAGAAACTTGTCCAAAGTTAAGAGGTAACTGGAGGTCACTATGGGTCAAAGGTGTCATTCTATTTCTCTTCAACAAGATAATCTCTTTTTTTAGTGAACTCAAAGAGTTTTTTTTCTTCATTTTCTACTTTGAATACTCACCTTGGTACTTTTTGTCCGGGCTTAACCTTTTTTTACTCTATTATAATATGTATCGCTGTCGATAAAAATGTGACCTGGAGTTTTGATTGTGGGAAAATATCTTTAGAGGTGAGAGAGAAAGAGAGACAGTTTAAGAAAGACGGAGAAAGGGAAGGTCATATTGTTTAGGTTTCCGACCCACCCTTTTGTGTAAAAGTGCTGTGGGGTTGATGTGGGGTTTGTGTAGGTTTATTGTTACTACTAAAAAGTACATAAGAAGCTTAGAAGACCCGCTAAACTGCCTCCCCCTCTCCTCCTTCTTTTGCCTTTTTCTACCTTCGTCTTGACCTCAGAGTGACCTGGACAGATCCTTGTAGTCCATTGAGAGAGAGAGAGAGAGAGAGAGAGATCCAGTGGGATTGATGAAGGAAAAACTGAACAACAAGAAGGAGGAGGCTGAGAGAGGGACGGAGGTCATCCGTTCATCTCTGTACATTTACTTGTAACAAAAGAAGTTGGAGAAACACGTTATTGAAGATGAAAGAAGATAAAGAAAGATGAAGAGAAAACATCTCTATCTCTCTTTCTTTCTTATTTAGACAAAAATAGACGAAGAGTTGTCTTCTCTGTCTATTTTCATCTTACAAACACTTTACCCAAAGGAATGCAATTCAATGGACACAATAGCTAATGGTCAAGAGGTCATTTTTATCAAACATTCATAATGATAACTGGTTATTATTATCATCATCATTGTTACTGTTATTGATTATTTATCATCATACTCATGAGATTTTAATGCTGATAATACATAATCGCCATTGTGAAAAAAACAACTAAAAACAAGAGACAGAAATTGATTGGTCAACATTGTCCAGATTCAATTTCCTTCCAATAAATGTAACATTATGTATACAAATTCAGTCAATCGGTAAATTGGAAATCAATTGTAAAAAATATGATTTGGGGAAAAAAATCTCAAGAAAAAAATACATAAATCAAAGGATGCGAATTAAAAAATATCCTCAACAAATTAACTTTCACTGGAACAATTAATTAGTTTGAATGGAATTGAAAAAGTTACAAGAATTACTATGAATGAATAAGAGATGCAAATGAAGATGAAGATGAAGATCCAGCTGATTGTGATGATGGAAGATGTAAACAAAGAGTTAACAGTTTAGTGAGAAAAAAGAAAAAAAAATTCAAATAACTGAGAAAATTTAAATATTCTAATGAAGAAGAAAAAGAGAAAATCTATTCATTTTTTTATTCTTTTTTCAAGATCATCTTCTTATCTTCATCCACCAACATCTTTTTTTCCTCTCATCCATCAATTGAATCTCCATCATCTTGATGATACGAACAAGATTTATAATATAAAATGGATGAGAAACAAAAACAAACAGATACAAGTTGAGACTGAAACATCAATTGGTTCATCATTTTGATTGAGAATTAAGTTAATCCAATTAAGATTTGATGTGTATTCGTTATAATGAGTAAATTGAGGTGGAAGAAAGAAAGAAAATTTTTCTCATAAGTTACCTGGTCAGAGAGAAAGAGAGAGAAAAGAAGATGATGATGATGATAAAAAGAAGACAGTTCAAGGTGATCTTCATTTTATTTCTTTACCTGAAACATGAGATGAACATTGAAAAGGCGTTTTAATCTGATTGTAACAGTTATCTGATCATATTAATCAAATCGAAATCAAGAATCATCCAAATTCATGATATAATTGTGATGAAATTATTTGTTATTTCATCAAGGAAACAAAGAGTAACCAAATTGTATATCATAAATGATGAACAATGTTGATTGTTTATCTGGTGTTGACAATTAACTTTCTTGATTGTTGTTTATTTGGTTTTGTTGAAAGTTATTACATGTAATATACATTTATGTTCAGGTTCATTTAATTATTTTAACTTTGATTGTTATAAACACTTAAATGTTAATTGTTTGCATTTTTGTTTACACTTTTTCACAATCAACAGTTTTAATCACATTGATAATCAAAGTTTACAATCAAGATGGACTCTCAGGTCACGTTGTCTTCATGTTGACCGTTTTTTTTACCTTAATTTCAATCAATTTGTTATCAACTTTGGGTGTGGGTTTAGGAACCACAATCAACCCACACTTTAAGCTTCTCGCTGTGATCATCATCATCATTATCTTCATCATCTTGATCATCATCATCATTATCCTATTGAAAAAAAAGCAAGATGATAGCTGAAAATGTTTCATTTCATTGAATTGATCAAAAAAAGGTCAAGTTGAATGAGTAACAATAATGATGATGATGATGGTCAGTTGCTTGTGTCCAGTTATTAATCATTTCAATCATCAAATGATTTTTGATAAGTACAAATCAATTGAAAGATAATGAAAATTAACTAAATTGTTTACCTGATTAACGAAACGTTTTTTAATCTTTAAAAGGACTTAGATAAACAATTAGTTGATCAATTAAGCAAACGGATGAACATTTAAATAGCCAAAGGAAGTTACCTTTTAATTGTTACCTGAAGATGAGAAGCTTGATAATAATGAGAATAATAAAGATGAGGATGAAGGGTAATTTCCGTTTCTTTGATTGTAATGATGATTACAATCACGTTCATGTAACCATAGATGTAAATTGTTATCATCTTTTTAAATGATCATCTCAACAATAATAATAATAATGATTTAAAGGTAAACTTAATCTTTTACCTTTTCTCTTCAATTGTCAATTGTATGACAAGAAAAACTTTTTTTTTTCACTGACCCTCACTTTCTTACAGGTATTATTATTGTCTTAAAATCTCATCCATGGTCCGTTGATTATCAACCCTATTTAATAGTCATTTCCTGTTAACTTTACACAGGTAACACCATAGAGATGATTATTATTTAGCCGTATCATTCAAATTTCCGGTTCAACATTTATTTCCCACCACCACCTCCGCTTTCAACCTCCTCCTCCCACCAAACGCCACTAAAAAACTTGATAATAAAGATTATCCATCAAAGAGAAATGGATAACAGGATAACCTTGACTATCGTTGATGAGGATAAAGAAAATTAATCCACTTCTTACCTTAGAACTTTTTTTTCTCGTCATTAAAATCCAACCTCATCGTTAATTGAGGCTGTTGTGTCCATCGCTTTGGCCGCTGGTCATTTACAAGTTGATCGTCGATAGTTGATTGTCTTGATCATCGTTAATTTGATATCATTGATTGTCAAATTATTCTTGTGTCGTTTTGTTAACCATTTAAATTTTTTCACGGCCACTGGAATAGCCGTTTTTTTTTGTTTTGCTGGTTAATTGTTTCAATTTACTCGTTGGTTAATCAATCGTTATCCTTGAATTAAACACGTTGGTGAGGCTTAGCACAAAAAAAAAGCTTAGGGAAATAAAGTGTTGACCCTAAAGTTGATTATAATTGTTAAATTGTTTTTATTTTCTTAATTCCGGAGAGTGGAAACTTCCGATTAACAATCTAACCAACGAATCGAAATTTGAACATTTTAAAATCGTCGCAACTCTCGATTCGTTAAAAAGGATATGGAAAAAAAAAGTTTAACCACAAAAATTGTTACGTTACAATGAACTCCAAGGTTCAGGGTAATTCGTTAATCAAGGTTGATTGTCAATTTATCAATTAAGTGGTTCCCTGAAAATCAGTCAAATTATTCATTAATTTATCCTTCTAATAGTCTCGAACAGTCGGTCTACTACGAACTTGAACTTGTACTTAGATTCTGGTTAATTAGTTAAGTGTTTAAAACGATTGAAGGGAAATATTTTATTCCTTTTCTTAATCTACTTAATCAGTTAATCGCCTGGTTACCTGTTAACCAATATGTTTCATTAATCAGTTAATTAAGAAACAAGGAAAACAGATTAACAGGTAAGTTCCTGTTCATTCATGTTCTGATAACCTCAATAGTAAACGGGAATTTCCTCCAATATTCAAAATTAAATTAGTTACCGTTAATTTATCCTTAATCATCTTCATTTTAATTTCATCTTTAATTTGGTTGATTAAAATATAAAAAAAAAGCTTTTTGTTTTCTGTGTAAATTGTAATCAACCAATACAATTGTGTCTCTCTAAATTGTTGATTCAATTGTGATTGTCACTTTTCCTCTTCCTTTAAGGTAAATAAGTGAAAGTTAATTAAATAATAATGATAATTATTTTTAATCACAATCAATTACACTTGATGATAATGATGATGATGATGATTAGGATAACAAAAATCAAAGACTTTCCTTGAAATGTTAAATTAAATTGGTTTGTAAATAGAATCACAATTTAATTTCAAATCAATTGCAAAATTTTTGATTTCAAGTAAGAAATTAATTGTAATTAGTTGATGATACATATTTAGATTAAACTAATAATCGATGGTTCAACAATCAACAATAATTAACTCAATTCAAATATTTATTCAATTTTAAAGCCTTTTGTTTATCATTTAAATGTATCATCGTCATGTTGATGATGATGATGATTGGAAATGATTAAGTTAATTGTCAACTTTAATCATTAACTAGCAATTTTTTTTTCCTCTTTGAATATTAATTGTGTATATATTAGATTAATAGTAGAATCAAGTAAACTTGAAATGGCAATTTGATTGTAGAAACGGTTATTAGGAGAGTTAATTGTTAGATGAATTAAAAAGAAAATATATATATAAATGATTAGAATTAGAATTGATTGTTAAAAGTAAAAAAGATTCACTGTTGACGGATTTTAATTGTTGCTCGCAAATTGTTGTTGTTTTTAATCAGTTGACGTGTGACAGACACGGTTACTAAAAGTGCTAACGAGTTAGTAGTTTGGTTAATGTACCAATAGATTAATAAATCGTTGACGACGAAAGTAACATGAAAGTTAAATGGTTTGAGAAGATCATCTTGGATGATAATGATTATGACGATGATGATGATGAGCAAAGATTAACGGTTAATCCGTTAGTAGATTGTCTGGATTTGGAAATTGTCTCTTCGAGGTTTGTGATTGTTTTCGAAGTGGTTGAGATACAATTGGCACGTAAAGTAGGTTAAGAGATCGTTTTTGAGAGAAAAAATTTTAAAAGTAAAAACACGTTATTCTCACTCCTTCTTTTCTTCCATTCATCATGAAGATGAGAAAGAAAGAAGATGATGAAGAAGAAGAAGAAGACAAAAGAGGGTGAGATTTTAGTGAGAATAATGTGAAATGATAATAATACGAATAAAGAAGAAGAAGAAAATTGGAAGATTACCGTTTTTCCTTAACGATAATCAAGGTCAGGGTTTTAAGAATCAAGTTCAGCTGATTGTCATCATCTTCTTTCTTACTCCTTTTCTTTTCATCTCACTCACCATTATCATCATCATATTCATTTCATCTTATCCTGTATCTGGCCTATCATCTCAATGATTTAATGACCTCATTTCGTCCATGTCATCCGTTTTCTTCCAATTCTATCTTTCTTTTTTCTCTTTCTCTTCTCTCCACTTATCATCCCGATCGTCATTAAAGGCTATCTCATGATGAATGAATGAAATTGGAAAAAAAAATCAGGGAATCATGGTTGAAATAACAAGTCACCAACAACGCCTTTCATCAGTTTCCAATCATAAACTACTAAACCAATTGTTTGTTTATATCGTTAGATCATCATCATCATCGTCTTTTATCATCAGCTGGAGAATTATCTTCATCATCATCTTGTTTCTCTATCAAAAGAGAAAAAAATTCATTTCCATCAATATTGGTATTCTTTTTGCAAAAATTATTCTATCAACTATTGTTACAATTAACAGTGATGTAAAATGCAATTAGTATTGTTATTGTGGAGAATTGCAATTAATATATTGTATCGTTAATATTTGATTATGTCAGACAATTAATTTCTATTATGATGGAGAAAGTTGATTAGCACAAATTTCCAACAAAATAGATGTTATAATTGTTTCAATATCAATTTAATTGTAATTTAATTATTGTTATGCAAGTTGAATGTTGATTATCAAAGGAGAAAGGGTAACTTTTCAATCAATATTGATTAAGGAAAATTATGCAAAACCAAATTAAATAAAATATTTAACTCTACTCACAGCAATTAACTTGTTCAAGTAAATGATAGTTGGTAGTTTTTTTTCGTGTCTCTCTTTTGATGAGAAGAAAATTGAAATAAATTGTCACCAATTAAAGTTAATTCAGTTAATAAATTGGATACTTTTCGCTTAATATAAGGATGCAAATGATTATCAAGCAACTCGAGAACTATATTTACATCAAGTTTTGCTTTTCTGGTATTTTAAGTAAATATAAACAAAATGAACTTGGAAGTTAATTTCGACTTTGAAAAAAAAGTAAAACTTGAAAGAAACGTAAACGGAACTTGAAAAATGATCAGAACGGAACGAAACGGATAGTTCAAGTTGAGATAATGATAAGAAAGAGTTTTCAGAATTGCATGAAAAAGTAAATCTTTTTAGCATAACGAGTTCGCTCAGAACGTCGTCATCGTTATCAACGCATCCAAGACCAAAAAAAGACCAACAATCATCTAAAAAAGCAGAACAAGATAAAAGAGAAGAGAAAAAAATGAATAAAAAGAAGAAAACTCCCAAAAAAAGATGAGAATTGATCAACTTTTTGGCTATCAAGAGTGGGCCAGTTGATTGTCATCGTCGTTCCGTAAAAAAGGTTAAGGCCAAAAAGAGAGAGAGAGAGAGAGAAATGAAAAAGTGGCCTAGTAGTTGTCACCTTTTTCCATCTATTTTGGCATCTTCTTAATGATCTAATTTTATGCACTACATTCCCGATGTAGAACTGTACTTATGTATACAGTTTGTTAACCAAAATTCAGTTCGATAGAGAGATAGAAAAAGGGAGAATCTGAAAAAAAAAAAAGTTTGTTATATTTTGGGAGAAAAAAAGTATATTAGAAAATTAAAGTTAACCCAGGCCAGTAAATCGGAACCCACAATTATTTTGATAATGATGGTGAAGAAGATGATTACAATGACGTTGATTATAAGTGTGTGTTGATGTTGATGATGTTGCTAATGATGATGATGATGATATTTCTCTGTGTTGAAATTCACTTGACTTTAAAAAAAGAGAAGGTAAAAAAATATTTTGATTCATCATTATCGTCATCACAATTATCATCAAAATCATTATCCTAACCATCTTTGAGATCAGCTAATTAAAGCTCCACTTAATCATGTCCGTTTGGGGTAATGATTTATTTGATTTAAAACCTTTTAAATTGTTAAATATCTCTTTCTTTTCAACAGATTAATCTGTATCAACACGGACGTAACCTGTCAAATGGTTTATGTATTATTATTATTTTTCATTTTGCTCGTGGGTTAATGAAAAAAAAAACTGACTTAATGAGAGAGAAATCGAGAGAGAAAGAGATGGACAAATAGCAATGATAATGATAATATAAATATTATTGGCTCCCATCATCACCTTCATGTAACTTTGCCGAAAAAATTACTCAACCAAATTGAAGTTTGGCCTATTGGCATTGAAACAGTGACCTCAATCGGCATTTTCAATTTCTTTGCGTTACTTACCTTTCTTTTTAGAGTCTTTTTTGTTGTTGTTGTTGTTGTTTACTATTATTATTCTGCTTGTCTACTTGAGATGTGTTGATGTTGTTATTTGCTTCACTCCCTCTTGGCGCTCCTTTTCTTTATATCAGTGTGTCCGTTTTTTATTTCTCTCTCTCTCTCCCTCCATCTCTCTTACTCATCTTTTTTGCTTCTTCTCCTTCTCATTGTGATGATTCTTTATCATTTTCCAGGTAAAATCAGCAACAAGTTTGCTTCAATGGAGACGAACACTTTTTATATTGATGTTGATATTGTTTCATCATCTCTCTCTCTCTCTCTCTCTCTCTCTCTTCTGTCCGTGATCTTATCTCCCTCTCTTTCTATCCTCTGTTTACCAAATCGTTTGTTGAATACTTGTCATTTGGAAATGTCTATTATCTCCATCCTTTCTTTTTGTTTTATCTACTTGTATTCCATTTGTTTATCACCATCTCCTTCTTTTTTTCCATCACTTGTTATTCCACTTGATATTAGGGTAGACACTTTTTTTTATACTCCATCCATTTCGTAATTTCTTTGATTTGAATTGGTAATTATTCAGGAATAATATTCTATACAAAAGTACAGTAATATCTCCATGTATTGTTGGTTGTTTAGCCTAGAAAAAAAAGAAAAAGGCGCAATAATTGTTATTATCTTTTCATAAACATTGACATTGAGAAAAATTGATGAACCTCATATAGAGAAAAGCAAAACAAAAACAAGCAAATGAAAAGAGAAGAGAGAAAAAAAACCAAAGTGAATTAATCAAATTAATAAGAATCACAAATCAATCAAAGTTACACACTCGATCAGTTCCTCTTATTAAGAATAATCAGTCGGCAAAAAAGAAAACAAAGTATAAATTGAATAAACAAAAATATCACTAATTAATTAGCATCGATTGTGTAAAAAAAAAGCAAATCAATAAACAACATTGAGATGGAAAAAAATTAAAAGAGAACAAAAAAAATCGCTACCGTTAAGAAAGGTGATAAAAACACAGAACCAAAGAGACAAAGACAAAAACAAAGACCAAGAACAAGAAACAGAGAAATAAATTAGCTAAAATATTGGAGAATAAGAAATAATCAAAATCAATTAGAAATTAAAAGAATAATTAAAATTAATGAGAAATCAAGTAAGAACAATTATCAATTATTACCAATTGAATTGAGAAAGAAAAACGTTAACATCAAGATGGCGCTCGAATAGAATAAAGAAAATCCGCCAGATGGCGTTGGAAGAGAACATTGGATAGGAGTGAGTGTGAGGGAAGAAATTGGTTAGTGATAGTTGAATGTTTCGAGTCGGTGGTTGGGTTGCATTTGTTTTTTCTTCTCTTCTAATATGATTTTCATCTCATCTTAATGTTGATTGTGTATCAATTTTGGTTCAGTGTGTTAATTTGTAAAACACACTTTTGTGTTTAATTGTTTTCCTCTAATTTTATTCAATCTTCTCCTCATCTTGTTCACCATTTTCAGATGAACAACTAACAATTTTGTTTCTCAATATTTTTACCTGTTTTATCTCTTTGAATGTGTGTGTATCTCTTTTATTCTCCTCTGTCATTTCTATTCTAATCTTATACAAAAAATTCTCTTTTTCTTGAATGTTCAACATTTTCTCATCTCAAACACAACAACATTTTAACCATTGTGGTCTCTCTTTATCCTCACTTACTGGTTATATTACTATGTTGTTGTAATATGTGTTTTATGTGAATTCAAGTTAAACAAGAAAATTAAAACCTAATGCAGTCCACTGACTGCAACCTACCCTTGGAAATTAAATACTAATTTATCCTTACCTACATATTACCTTATATTTTCTTCTCTCTTTTCTCTATTGCTCCTCTGTCTCTCAATCTCTTTCTCTCTTTCTATCTTTTTTTCTTTTGCTTTCTCTTTTTCCCTCTGTGTTTCTTTCTCTTGCCTTTCTCTATTTCTTTCCCTTTCTCTTTTTCTCTTTGAAATTTTTTCTGTGTCTGTGTTTATGTGAGTTGTTTCTCTTTTTTCTCTTTACCCTCTTCTTCTATTCATCATCATCACCATCGTTTTTTGATCATCGCCAACATCAACATCACACAATCACACGCAACTATATATACATAAATTCATCTAATAATTTTTTTTTGTTTTCTACATTTATTTCATCTATTACACTTACACAAATCATCATTTCTGCTCAAATGTCGGTCGTATCCACTGGAATGGAGACTAATATTACCCTTTGGCAGTTCCTATTGGAGTTACTTTTAAATAATCAGTATAAACAAATTATCACTTGGACCAATACCGATGGCGAGTTCAAATTAATCAACGCCGAAGAGGTTGCTCGTCTGTGGGGCTTAAAGAAAAACAAACGTAACATGAATTATGATAAATTAAGTCGTGCTCTTCGTTATTATTATGATAAGAATATCATCAAGAAAGTGCTTGGACAAAAATTTGTTTATCGATTTGTGGCTTTCCCTGAGATAATTAAAATGGAAAATAAGATTCCATTCCATGTTAAAATGGAAAGCATGTCTAACGGTTCCATGGGTGGTAATGGATCACCAGTGGAAAATATTGGAATCACCTCAGGAGTTGGTGGAGGTTCAATTGGTAGTCCAATAAGTGGTGGATCCAATTCAAATGGATCTAACAGTAGTAACGGGAGTCCAAGTAGCCCAACCATACCGAACAATTTAAATAAGCATATTGCTAATTTGAGAGACTTAAACCTTAATAATGGGAACAACAATCATCATCATCTTCATCCTCATCATAAATTTTTGTCGCCTTCAAATGTTCCTCCACTTACTCTTACCTATCCCGGTGGATCACCTTCACCCTCTCTTGAACCAACTGACCTTTCATGTAAAAGCTCACCTCGATCTAGTAGTCGTAATAGTAACAATTATTACAATGGATCAGGTGGATTACCAATGAATCTAAATGGTAAACGATTCAATGAGATTGATACAGAATCAATTAGTGACGAGATCGACAGTGACGGTGGAACCAGTAATGGAAGTTCCAATAAGAAAACAAAGACTCATCTTCTTGGTTCATCATCTCGTTCGCCATCACCCTCATCAGCAGCTTCTGAAGCCCCATCACCCGTTAGTGAAGAAGACAACGGGTCACCCATTAACCTAGTACAATCATCAAGAAGTCGCGAGTTCTCAAGAGAACGTAATTCCGATTCTTCATCGAGCAATACAAGAGACACAAATAACAATACCAATACTAATGGATTAATTAATGGCTCTCGTAAAGCAAAACCCAAACCACCACCGATAACGGGTATTTATCATTATTTACTAATTACTCTCATCTTTGTTTTTCTTATCTCCAATTTACCGGATATGCAATTTCCCCTCTCCCTCTCTTGTTATGATTACAATTATCCACGTAAATCTTTCTCTCTCTATGTGTGTGTGTGTTTGCTTCATGAGTTACAAACTCTTTATTATATTAACTATATGAGCTAATGATTAATTAAGTTGCTTAATGCACTTGAAAAATAATAACACATCAGAAAGGAATATCTTTTCTCAATCTGATTTTCTCTTATCGTTCTTGTGACTTGATGAATATGAAATGATAATTGTAGCTATTTTTACGGAAAAGAGATTATTGTTTTAGATAGATAAATATGATAGTAATTTAATTTGTTGATGTTGTATTTTTCTTCTAATTATGATTCTTTTGTCAAATATATATTCCCCCTTCTTACTTGATTAGATTTCCGTTTCAGTGTTTTTGATGATAACAGATTAACTTGTTGACAAACATTTCGTTTCATGCTTTGTATGTGGAGCTTTGTTGTCTTTCATAGTTGTGATTATCTATTCTTTTCTCTTGTAAAGAAGATGAGAGAGAGAGAGAGAGAGAGAGAGAGAGAGAGATGAGAAAAGAGGAATATTGTATTTAGCCCACTAACACAATTAGTATGTGTATTTAGTAGATCACCAAAACACCATAACCATTTTTACTTTGAAACAATTTGTTAACATTATTTACTAATTGAAAACAATTTCTCTTATTTTCTTCTCTCTATCAGGAATTCCAACAAGTCCCACAAGATTAGGAGCTACTTATGCTTCATCACTTCAGACACCAATAGTCACATTTGCATCTCCTTTTTTCAACACAAAAAACACCACTCCAGTAGGATTGTTACCCACTGCGGCAGCATTTTCATTCTGGAATTCAATTTCACCTCTTCTCTTGAGTCCAAGAATTGGTCCTGGTTCACCGGCTGCTACACCAACTTCTAGTTCCAATCATTTTCAATTTCCCGTTGGACATCATCACCTGACCAGCAATCATTCCTCTCCATCAGGACCACTTGGTTTACTTCCCTCTCCATCAAGTTTAAATCCATTAACGCCTTACTCATTTTCTCCACTTCTTGGTGCCTCTGGTTCACCATTTTCTCCGTTCGATCCGCAAATGTTGTTCTCACCATCACCAACATCCAAATCGATTTCAGTCCTTCAGTAACACCTACCAACAAAACATCATCTACAAATAACTGAAGTTAACAATACAGTTAATTAATACTTTGTAATTAAATGAGAATGATATATATATACAAACATACACCACAAAACATATTTAAATAGTCACTTCTATTGAGATCATTGTGATTCTAGTTTGAACCAGGGATTCGGTCTCTCTCTCTCTCTCTTTCTTCATCTCATCTCTTTCTATCCGGTCTTAAGTGTCTTGATTAAACCATCAACAGAATTTATTTTTCTCCTTATTCTCTCTCCTTCTGAGATTCATCTATGATTATCATCATCTTAATAACAATTAACTTAACTATGTCTAAATCATTTCCTCTTCTTTTTTCCCATTTCCACTTCCTCTTTTTTTGATGTCCATTGATATTCAAATTATTTTTACCAATTTTGACCTTTTGTTGTTATTAATTGTTGTTGTTAGATATGTTGATCAATTGTCTTTTTCTTATCTTATTTTCTTAATCATTTGATCTCATAGGATGTAAACAATTGATTAACTTTAATTGTCCATTGAGTATTAATCTCACTTACTCACTCACTCATTTCTCTCTCACACTTTTCTCTCTTCTCCCTCTTCTAGAGTTTATTATAAACAGAATGATGAAGATGATCTTGGAAGATAAATATTGATGATAAGTGATTTTTTTCTGTCGAGCTTTCATAACAATCAGTAAACAATCAACTAATTATAATCAAGCCGATTAATCAATCTTCCTCTTCCTGTAACCATAATCCTCTGAAATCACTTTCATACTTTGATCCTTAATCCCAATGATTAAAATTCATTTCATAAACTATTACAATTAAGGTGAAGTTAATAATGAAATTAATCAATTGAAAGCCTAAATTAAGATTTACAATCAATTAAACAACAACAATATTACAACAATATCACAAGGAAAACTAATTAATAATAAAGAATTTTTAATTTCTCTCATTTTTTAATCAACTAATCAAATCTTTAAAACAATTAACATGCACTCTTGATCTGTAATCCAATTAACATTTTGTGATCAGTTGATTGAAACAATTTAGGTAACAATTAATTGACATAACAAAATGATGATTATTCATTTGAAATCAATTGATAAGGAAAAGTCTATGAGTTAATCTGATTGATTTGAAGCTAATTGTGATTAAGGTCGCTAATGACAACGGTAATATAACGGAAATGATCATAATTAACTAACCATTTAAATTTTCAATCTATTTAAATTGTGAATGAATATGAAAGAGGACGAACCTTGAACATTTCCGAACGGAAGTTAATCAACTCAATTGACGGACAATTATGATTTTTATTATGATTACAATATGATGATAACAATTATGATAGACAAAAGTTAATTGTTTAATTGTTGATCGCAATTATAATGATAATGGTCAAAGAGGAAAAAAATTTCTCATTTTTGGTTTATTATGATTCGGGTTCATGGTTAATGAGTTTGAAAAGATTGATTTAAATTGTTGATTTGCCATAAATTAACCAACGCAATTTGTGATTAACTTAAACACTCACACACAAACTAAATTGTTGTTGTTAACCATCATCATCAGCCTACAATCAAATGTTGATTATCAACCAACGCTATTTAATTTGATGGTTAACAGCAACAATTAAAACTTGGGAATATCAAAGTTGAAATTGAATTTAATCATTTTCTTGATTTGTCTTTTTCTTTCAAGGACAATTAGTTAATTGTTAATTTGTTAACAGTTTGATTTTCTGAGTGTTGAGACAATGACGTTGAACTTTTTTTTTCCTCTATCTTTTATTTTACCATTATGATTGTTACAATTAAATAAATCATCCTGACAATTTGTATCATCCAATGTTTTAATTGTGCTAACATCTGATTCTGCAATTGAAAGAGTCAATCTAATCCAACAATCAGCTACTAATTAAACCATTTCCATATCCGATTTTGATTAACTTGGAAAAGCTTTAGTTATCTTAATCATTTACGATAAAGATGATAATTTTAATAGTATTTACAATCAACTTGGTTAATCAACAATTAACATCTTGTTATGGTTGTGATGATGAACGAGAAACAACAATTTAACTAATCTTGATTTAACAAATTGTGTGTCATTTGTTTTACTTTTTTGTTTGTAATATTAATACAATCAGTTGATCATCACCAATGTTTATCTTAATTGCTACGATTGAAACGGTTAATTGTTGTTTTAATTCATCTTATTGTAGTTAACATTGTCTACTAACAATCAGAGATCAGGTTGGTTCTTATGGTGAATCAAAAAATCCCTTGATTATAATCAAATCCACTATGAAGAGATGAAAATTAATCATCATCACAATTAAAAGCATCAACTAATAGTAATCATAATCAAATCTAATCTTCGAGTCGATTGAGAAAAAAATAAATCCAATTCAATGATTGGTGAATTAGTTTGATGTGGAAATTGTGAAACTAAATTGAAATTGATTTAAATTGTGACAATCTAGTTGATTGAACAGTTAACTGATTGTAAATATAATTTAATTCTTTGTGATCAAACTGGTTACAATTAACTAATTGAGATACTTCCCTACTATTATCGTTAGAATTGATTCTCAGCCATGATTAGATTTCATCTAAATCATTGCTGTTATTATTTGATTAACTGATGATATCAATTGATTAATTGATTAACAGATGAAACAAAAAATTTCCGGTTGTTAATTAAACAATAGGTGATAATAACTTTCTAATTGTAATTAATTAAATGATTTAATTGTACATGAATGATAATGAAAGTTTGAGAGCAGCAAAAGTTTCATTAAATCAATGAGAAATTAATTGTTGCTTCATTTTAATACATAATTAACACTGAAAGATAGGATTTAATTGATTCAGTTGTTGTTAATATTGTCTTAATGGTTACAATTAAATAAATCATCAAATTCAAAGAGTTAATTGTTTGGCTATTATTTAATTTACAAGAAACCGGAAATTTTGTTCATTTATGAAAAACCTTGAAACATTTTTCCTTTACTGTTAACAATTGAAATCTAATTTGATTTGATTCAGCAATTATGATTAACTGATTAAAAACAAATTGATTAATCAATATTGATTATTGGGGGATTGGTGCAAATTGTAATAATGATTACAATTAAATTGATTTCTTTTATTTTCTTCAATCAAAATCAATCAGATTTTATAGAGTGACAGAGACTCATGTGATTACGATGAGTACAATTAACTGATTGTTAATTACTAATCAATATTTTGATAGCAAGTAACAAAATTTCACCACAATTAATTAATCATAGGCTGAGGATGTTAGTTAATTTCTAACAAACAAAAATTAACGTTTTCAATACTAAATAATGATAATAAGATAGACACACAAAGGAGGACAATTTGATTTACTTCAATCAACTGGTTGTTGTCAGTTAATTTAATCAAGAAATTAACAGTTAACTGCTTTATAAACAATAATATGAGGTTAATTTGTATCAATTGTTATTATCATGTTTATCCGTCTACAAATTTGATCAAAAATTTAGCCAACGAAACGTTTAACCAACAATTAATTGGAAGAAGGTGATGATTTAGATTTGACAACAATCAATTTAGAGTTTGATTTCGATCTGGTTTCATCTAATTTCGGGTTCGATTTTGATTTGACTACATTTAATTTCGAACTCGATTTCGATTTGATTTCATCTAATTTCGGGTTCGATTTCGATTTGACTACATTTAATTTCGAGCTCGATTTTGATTTGATTATGTCTAATTTGGGCTTTGATTTTGATACATCTAAAGTTGAGTTCGATTTTGATTTGTTCACTTTGGTCGTTGATTGTTTTTGCTCAATCGCCTGAGGTGGTTTTTCAATTTTGTTCAATTCGACTGGTTTTTCCTTTGGACTCACTGAGCTCCAACACATTAAGTAAATTTGCCAGACAATTGCAGCAATTAAGACGAAAACGATAATATAAACAAACACCGAACTAGTTGAAAGCCCACTTGTTGATTTCTGGAAACTTTCTTGTATTTTGAACAGACAAGCGATCGGCGATTCATCGACCCCACCAATGCAATTCCATTTGCCGTCACATAGCAAAGACTTATTCAAACAGGGAGCATCATAACAAGTGAATTCATCTTCCTTACAACCCAAATAAAATCCTAATTGTTAAAAGAAAAAAGAAAATCAGTCAATTGAATTTAATCATTCAAATTCCAAAAACTTACTACAACCATCGACTCTACATTGGTGTGCATGGAAACACTCTTCGTACATGTGAACACAATGGTAGTCCAGGTCATCGTAAAAGAGTCCAGGATCATCGGTGTAGCACGGGAGTTTCTCGGGTGGACATTTTATCTCTTTATCCCGTTCTAATTGATCTTTGACTGATCTACACTCGGGAACCCATTCGTCGATGGAGAATTGACAATCGGGTGTACCATCACAAAGTTTACTCTTGTCGATACACCGGTCAGATGAACATCGAAACTCATCAGATGTACAATTTTTACCTGAAAATCGGCAAGAAAATTAGATCCGATGAAACAATTTAATTGTTCGCAATTTACTCACCACAAACTAATTCATCGTCGTACATGAGACAATCACGAAGAGCGACAAACTCAATTAAACTTGAGACACAATAACCATTTGATCCTCTAAATTGTGACGGTGGGCAAACTTGATTAAGACAATTAGTGACAATTAGCTTAATTGGTTGATTAACTTACCACAATTTTCCTCATCTGAACCATCTTCACAATTGACAAATCCATCGCATCGGTAATTCAAAAATATTGTTTCATTCCCATCGTTACAAGTGAAACTATTGACCAGAACTTCTTGAAATTCATGGGGAACAATTAACTCAACAAGAAAGACAATTAACATTAACCTAATCATGTTGACAGTTGAAAATTAAACCATTCTAATTGCAAGTGAGCTTTGGATTTTAAATCTAATCAATTAGGATTTTAATTTCTTGTCTTGCAAACCCTAATCACCTTATTGGTGATACAATTAAATTGCATTTTGATCAAAATTTTTCTTACAATTAAAAAATTGATTTTACTTGGTGAAAATTTCATCCTGATTGTTTGACTATCAACTTTAATTAATTCTTATTGGTGATATTTGATAGTAATGACTAATTATCTTATTAATAATATAATTTTTTATCTTAATTGTCAATGGAAACGTTAACAGCAATTTACGTAATCAAATGTCTTCTCCTATGGTGATTGTAATGAGTAAAAAATTACTTAAACACTTTTCCTGGAATCAATGATTAACAGGAAAACAGCAAGAAATAAATAAATTGCAATTCAGGAAATTTTATGCTTAAATTAACAACAATCAGCGAGATAACATTAATAGTGTCCGGTTAATTGACTGTTAGCCATTTCCTATGTAAATTTAAAATGAAGCCTTTGAATACAAGGTAAAAAATGGTCGGATAACAATCATAAGGGATAAAACTGATTGTTACTATTAAATTTCAAATAATTTCCTTGATTGTAACACTTTGATCCTCCTTTACCGACACGATGATTGTAATTCAATTGACGTTTCATTTTACTCATTACGATGATTGGACGTTAATGGCCTCAGATTAATCAACTTGCACGTCAATGATGATGGAAACTATAAAATTTGGAAAAAAAAGAAGGAAAAAGTTGAATTAGTTTAATTGTGATTCTAAATTATGATTAGTTGTTGATTACGATCAGTTGAGCAATCAAGGTATACTTACACTGATTTGATTGGGATTTTTTTCTTGCCAAGAAAAATAGTTAAATGATATAATTACTGACCGAGAAGTTTTAAATTTAAATATAGTAAATTAAACCGAGGTAATTAATTGTTGATAATTAAACAGATATAGAGGAGCATTTAACGTTTATCACTTTGATGCTTTGATAAATTGTTTCAAATAACCAACAATCTAATTATGATGATGCCACTAATTTAACAAAAAAAGGTGATTGTTTTTGTACAAAAATAGTTAATTGTAAACCTTTTGATTGTGTTTCTAGTAAAGTCTTTCAATATTTATAATATAAAAAAGCAAAATTATCAATATGATTTTGATTATGATGATTTCCTTTTTTCAACTTGCTGCTCCTTTGTTTCCTTTGATTTAATGGGCACCATGAGATTACAGGGGGAAGATGAGAGAGAGAGATAGAGATAGAGAGTGACAGAACTCAGGAAAAGTTACAGAAAGAAAGAGAGAGAGAAAATAATAGAAAGAGAATTGAAGACAAATGAATGAAAGAAAACAGGATCAACCATGTTAGTGGATTAGGATGAAATTAACCCATTGGGCTAACCCATTTGTATGTCCCATAAAATTTGAATCCATAAGAAGATTGCAAGATATCGGCTTGTTTTGGTCCTCGTGAGCCGTAAGTGTAAGGCAGTGGTACTACTCTTTGTCCCTCGATTTGGTGTAACAGGGGGGTGAAGATTCTCCATGCTTCTGAAAGTTCATCACTACGAACAAAGTGCATCTGAGATCCGACGAAAACGTCCAATAATAATCTTTCATATGCATCGGGTACTAATGCATCTTTATAACGATGTCTATAACTTAAATCCAGTTCAGTCTCTTCCATATTATCCATTGATAATCCTGGTGTTTTGGTCATTAATTTAAGATAAACAGCTTCACCGGGTTGCACTCGGATGACAAGTTCATTACGTTTACACTGTCCTTGGAAAATGTCACCGGAAATATCCTTATACTGAATACGGATTTCCGCTTTTCTTTCATTTAAAGCTTTACCACTTCGCAGGAAGAAGGGAACACCATCCCAACGTTCATTTTGAATGAAAGCCGCTGCCATTGCAAAGGTTGGTGTTATTGAATCTTTTGCGACGGTTGGATCATCTCGATAACCCTGCCTTGCCTCTGAACCCTCTTCGGCACATTCATCTCCGATGTATTGACCCAGAACAACGTCTTCCAATTTAATTGGTTGCATACTTCGTAGCACTTTGACTTTCTCGTTCCTTATATCTTCAGGGTCATTTGAAACTGGTCTCTCCATGGCAACCAGACAGAGAACTTGGAGAAGATGGTTTTGCATGATATCACGAATAATACCACTTTGATCGAAATAACCTCCACGACCATAGGTACCGAAAGGTTCTTTAAATGTAATCGTAACGGAGGAAATATTATCTCTGTCCCATGTGGAGGCGAAAATTTTATTCGCAAACCTAAGGGTAATCACATTTTGAACCATCTCTTTACCAAGGTAATGATCGATTCGATAAATTTGAGATTCATCGAATAGTGAAGCTAAATGTTTGGATAGTTCTTCCGATGAATCATAATCATGACCAAATGGTTTCTCGATGACAACTCTATTCCAACCAGTTTGAGTCATAACATGATGACGGATATTCTGGGCTACCGGCATGAAAACACTTTGGGGTAAAGCAAGATAAAACAATCTATTGGCAGCATTTCCACGACAAGTTTCAATTTCATTGGAAAATAAGTGTAATCTTTGAAAATCGCTTTCTTTATCATAAGTACCACTCAGGTAACTATTGAGGCTCCAAAATGCGTCCCAAAGTGATGTTTCTCCCGAATCAATTTTTACATGTTTGGCAACTTGTTCCTTAATTTGTTCAACTTGAATAGATGAACGAGCATAACCAATAACACGAACACTGGAATTGATGTTATTCCTTTTGAATAAGTTCCTGGAAATGGTTATAAGATCAACAAACAAAATGGAGGTAAAGGTAAAGAAGAAGAAGAAGAGAAAAAGAAAGAAAAACAATTAGTAAAACGTGTAACCAGTCATGAGAAAAAATTAACTACAATCCCACTTTAGAACAGACTTACTAACCATAAAGTGGGGTAGATCTTTTTCTTGGCCAGATCACCCTGGAAAGAGATAGAAGAGAGTGAAAAATACCATTAAAAACACAGGGCTGAATAAAGATCGAGGTTAATGGATTAAATCAGCGAAATCACCTTCAAGTCAAGTTAGAGGGTAAAGGGTACACACATTCCAACTGTACTTTGTTAATCTCTACTCATTCAAGATAATTAAAGTTAATGGTAGCAAAGTTATTAGTTAACAGGAACATGTTATTTTCACATATCCAATGTAAAGACATGGATACATGACAGGGTAATGATAAGATTAGATAAGGAAAAGAGGATTATAACACAAAGTGTGCAATTGACATTGAAAGGGAATGAAAGGAAAGGTGAATTAACTTGATTAATCCATGGAAAATTAAGCCGGTTAATTGAGAGATAATTAGAAAATTAAACCAGAAGATGAGTATTATTGACGTGGTGTTGAGTCTGAACATGTTCTCATCTCTCCGGTTTAAAGTAATTGTCATTTTCTACTCACCGAAGCTCCAAATATGATTACAGTTGTGTCAACCATTTTGATCGTTTAATTGAAGTAAAATAAAATATGATTTACAATCAAATTGTAATTAAAATAAGAAGATAAATTTAAACAAAAATAAACAAAACAAAACAAAAAGATAAACAAAGATCAACAATAATCAATAAGGAGAAGCAGAGGAAAAGTGAAGAGAATCACCAGAAGAGAAGAAGAGATGATGAGAGAGAGAGAAGAGGGAAAATGAAAGAAATGAAAGCGAGGTTAAATTGAAAAAGAATTAAGGAGAAAATAATTCGTTTAATTAGATGAATGATGTTAATTGTTGATATTTAAAAGAATTAAAGTTGAAAACAATTCACCATCACAAGTAAATGGAATCAACTGAAAGCAACAAATGTAAACCTTTTTGTCTCTTCTCTTGTTTTTCCTCTTCTTCTTTAATTTGTTTTCCTTTCTTTTTTTCTGTCTCTTTCTGTCTCCATCTCTCTCTCTCTCTCTCTCTCTCTCTCTCTCTCGTTTATGATTCTACCTGAAACTTTGAAACCCTCTCCGCCTCCTCATCTCACCTCACACTTTATATTCACATTACATTAGCACCTCCTCGATTCACAGAGTAAACACAATTAACGTATTCAGTTTACCTCAGTGTTCAGGCTCCTCCTTATCGGCTAAACTCTCACCGTTTAAAATAAACATTCAACGTGTTGGAGACATTTCTTGATTAACAAAAGAAATCAATTGTTGATCAACTGAATTAATTAACTATTTAGAATAATTTTCGATCTTTTGTCTCTCTCTCTCTCTCTCTCTCTTTTCAATGGGTTGTGAGTTGAAGGTTAAAGTCAGTTAGTGTTTCGTTTGTTTTTTGTTTGCTTCTCTTTCTCCTGGTGATTTATCAATTTAGTTTAAATTGTTCTAATTATATTTTCATTATTATCCATTAACAATTTAATTCATTTTGTTTCTTTTTTAGGTTAACTGAGTTAATCATCCATAAATCGTCACAATAATTGACCTCGACCCTTCTAGATCAAATTGTTACTTTTCTTGTCACTGAATTAATTTCGTGCAACTTTTGATTATTATATAATCTAAACTTTATCTGTTTAATTTCTTCTTTTAACAAGTTGAAGATAATAATAAATGATGATGGTAATTGTGAAGATAATAATGTGATAATAATATTCTGAAAAAAGGGGAGAAAATTGGGCTTAGACGATAATCAGTGAAGAAAAAAATGTTGACCTTGTAAAATCAATTTGATTACAACAGTAAGTACTTGAGGATTTTTGATTGGCAGCGTTAAATGTAAAAAAGATTAGTAAATGATTAACTCTTACATGATCACGCGTTGTTCATTTTCATAGTTACAAATTGTTAGAGGCGGACTTTTGCTGGATGATAATGAAGATAAACTTATCCAGAGTATTCTCGGTTTATTCTTGGTTAATTGTGTATCTTAATCCTTGTTGGATCATTTAGAATAATTAGAAAGGGAAATTATGATAAAAGACAAATTTAAAGTATTTAATTGTCTCTCATAAGAATTTCCTCGATCTTGTTATTCTTCAGTATTAACTGGTGATGGTGCTTGGTGCATGTGCCCTCCTAGGTTGACATTATTACGATTTTGGGTATTTTTCTCTTTGTTCTTTTGTTGCTCTTCCTTGAGATCTCGAAGGTACTTTACTAAAACGTCGCTGCGCACATTTGGTTTTTCAGCGAGGGTAATTAAATGTCGTCCGAGGTGAAATTTACGTTTAAGTTCTAACGCAGTCGGACTGGGGGTCTAAGTAAAAAAAAAAAATGGATTGATTATCAATTTTCACAAGAACATTAAATAGAAACTTACATAGTTTTTGGCCTTTTCCATCATCCGTTCTGCTATCATTCTTGCCTCTTTCAAGATTGATTTCTTGATACCGGCACTTTCAGCTATTTTCAATCCATATAAAGGATCCAAATTGTCACTGTCACTCAAACGATGATCATCAGAAAAATAATGAGTTGTGACATTTGGGTACATTGAGTCCATTTGATCCAACGAGGAATAGTGTGTTGCAAAAAGAACGAAAGATTTTGAAGGGAGAAATGTTTCAATGACAGACCAACTGACAGCTAATCCCTCTTCATAGGAAGTACCTTTTCCAAGTTCATCAATGATAATTAGGCTGTTATCAGTATAGTTGTCGAGTATATATTTAATCTCCTTCATTTCATTTGTGAATGTTGAACAATTACTTTCAATTTCATCATCATTTCCAACACGAGTGAAAATTTGATCCGTTAATCTAAATGATGCTCTCTCAGCAGGTATAAAGCAACCACATTGCGCCATAATTTGAAGAATGCAGATCTGCTTGAGGAATGTTGATTTTCCACTCATATTGGGACCACGTAAAATCCAAATATTATTATCATTAGATAAAAAAGCGTCATTGCTTATCGCAGTAACTTTATTGCCACCCAATAAAAATGGATGACATCCTCCTTTTATTACCATTGTCGTCTTAAAATCAGGTCGAACCATATTGTGTTTGGAGCTTGCCATACTGAACGATAAGAGCAAGTCTATGAAAGCGACGATTTCGGTCAGTTTATGGAGGCAGCCAATTTTTTCACGAATCGCAGAAAAAATCTCCGCGAGTATCTCATAACTAGTGTTGAAAATATCTTCCAATGCCAATGAGATGTGTGAATTGTTTTGCATCATCTCGACTGTGGTAAAATACATAGTTTTACCTCTTTTTTGAACACGAACAAATTCAACCGGTACATGGTTATCCATATCAGGTCGATCAGCAAGGTTCATGGTCATATGATAACCTCTAGTAGCGTTGACATTAATTTTGATGGGAAGATTGTATTTTAATTTGAGTGAATCAACATAACGGCTCATATCCTCGATCGCTCGATTGTAAATTTGTCTCTTTTTATCCAAAAATCCATTAATTTCCTGCTTGATGGCAAACACTTTTTGATGTTTAATGTTTAATGCACCTTTCACTAGTTTACAATCCTTACTGATTGCAGTGTTGATAATTGTAGCAATTGCATCGAAATTTGGATCATCTAATAAGTAATGATAATGTTGAAAGATTGAATGTTGAGCCGAATTTAATTGCTCTCGAAGTGGCTTGATAAGATCCAATGTATGCCGAAGGTATATTAATGCTTCCACTCTTTTTTCTCCAGCTTTCCAGCTTTTTGTTTTCGGTTCACAAATTAATGCTGATATAATCGATTCAAGGTCAAGAAATTTAGATATAATTTCCGATGTATTGAAATGAAACTGTGGATTGGTAAGTATTTCACTAATTAGATCATATCTTGGCTCAATAGTTTTAACATCACTCGATGGTTCACGGATCGTAGCTCTTAAAAGTCGGTAACCGACCTTGGTCTTGGTGTAATTGAGAAATTGTAATAAAGTTCCCTCCGTTTTACCTGTTGCTTGATTCACAATGATTTCTAATGATTTAGCAGTTGTTGGATCAATAGAGATTGTCTGCTCAGATCCAGCGTAAACAATTTTGATAGAGTTCGGTGCAAGAGTAACATTTTGAACAAATTCCAGGTATTTTATCAAAGCTGCAGCAGCCGCGAGACAATAGTACTTTTCCTTAGCTTCAATTTCGACTGCGTTCTTGAAGTCGTGGGCACAAAGCTGTGTAATCGCTTTAAAACCAACCATATCATTGAAACATTTTCTATCTACTTTGGTGACGGTGATGGTGTTATTAAAATTCAGGAGAAGTTCGAGTAAATTTTTGTTAGCTCCTTCACCACAGGTTGATGACACTATGATCTCAGCTGGGTCCAGAATTTCAAGCTTGGTAAACAGTCTTGAATAAGTACAGCCATCAGGAAATTGAAAAAGTTTCAAAGTTGAACCAACAGCATCCATGGAAGCCAAACCTATTTCACCTTTAGCATTACCACGACCCTCAGCAATTGCAATTATTGTTGATTTAGTTCTGTTACCAGATATACTTGAAGGTCCACTAATTGAGCCGGTGGTTGAGTTGGCACGAAAGTCACTAATAGAAACCAGCGAATTCCAATCTCTATTTCTAATAGATTCAGTTTCAAAACTGTCCACACCAAAGATTGGAAGGTCTTTAATTATTAAAGAAAAAACAAACAATAAAATCTTAATTAATAAACAAATAAAAAAGATGGAAAAGAAAACAATTAAAACAAACACTCACCATACTTTGAACCCATAATCAAAACTATGAACCAACACTTTGACCACAAGAGATATGAGAAAGAATCGATTACAATCAAACGTTTAATCCACCAACAATTAATTGTTAACCGTTCTAATATTTGTCAAATTAAAGAAAATCTGAATAAAAACTTAATCGAAACAATTAACAAATAAATACAATTAAGATAAGAAAAGAAAACGAAAAGCGGATTAAGCTAAATAGAACATTAAAAAATTCTACAAATGTAGTTACTCATTAGAATAATAGATGTCGCTGTTTTTCGGGTTTCGGACGAAAATTTAATTTTATTGATCAATAAATGATTAGAAATTTTGAAGCAATTAGTTTTCGAACACTTTATTGATTAATTATATCTACATGAAACGGTTGGTTATACGATTTTTTTGTTCTTATAAATGGTTAACATTCATTGTTTTGCTTTGATGATGTTAATCAAGGGAAAGAAAAATCAATGTTCACAATTTGTTGATACATAATTTTAATAAAATGAATGACAATTGAGAGATTTTGAAAAAAAGAGGTGAAACAAGGCGATTTCATCTAAATTTTAATTACAATTAACAAATGAGTAGCCAAATGGTGATTGAGATGAGATCAAGGTGACTTTTATTTTTCTCCAGTTCTTGTTGATAGTTTTAGTGGAAAACAATTAACTAGGATCAGCGATTGAAACAATTAAGTTCAATTGAAAAGTGGTTGAAAAATCTGAAGAATCATTAATACCGTGGGAGTTTAAGTAATAGAAAAACTTTAAACTGGGAAAAGATTTTTAAGAATTTTAGATTAAATTTAATTTCAATTTTTCATTTAATGACTAATTTCGACTGTACAAAGTTTAATTTACTTAAATTTCGAAAACACCATCTAACGAGGTCGGAATCTGAAAGCTGCTCTAGCGCCCATTTTCCCAATCTTTTTCCTTTCAGCGACTCGACGATCTTTAGTTAACAGTCCAGCTAATCTCATTTTCTCAATCATTGATTCATCAACGAAACTGACCAATGCCAAAGAGATTCCATGTCTAATTGCTCCCGCTTGAGATGCTTCACCCACTCCACTCACTTTTGCTTCGATATCAACTTTATTTATCATATCAGTGAATAGAAGTGGAAATAAAATTTGATGTCGCTCTTTGAATTGAGGAAAATAAAGGATATCGTAACCATTTATCTCGATGGTTCCATTTCCATTGCCCCAAACGGTCACTTGAGCTTTACAATGTTTTCTAAGACCTGTTGAGATAACGAGAGAAACAGAGATTTAGATTTTGATCATAAATTTTGGACAAAATTTCATCTTTTCATTTCATTGACTCTTTACCTTCGGCTTGGACATAAGGTCGACCTTCTTCATTGAAAGTGATTGGAGCTACACTCAAAGTGGCCATTTTTTGTTCTAATTTGACACGAAATTTCATTAAAAATTCTTTGCAATCTTTAGAATAAGGATGAGCTGTTAATCGTTCTAATCCAGAGGTTAATATATTCCAAAGATCAGCTGTGACTTTTTCATTATAATTATAAGAATATTCTTTCATGGTGAGCCAACGAGAACCAGTGAGATCTACTTTGGCCGAAGGTGGAGGATTCAAGACACCGTTACGGATCATTTGGTCTTTCAATTCATCGCATTTTCGATATTCATCATAAAGAAGGTGCATGTGTTCATAGAAAATGGGTTTGTTGGTGTAAGCTAAGAAATGAAAAGGTCTTCCTGTGTTGTCGAAATCTGCACTTCCCGTTTTTGGATAAATTTCCTCTGGTGTAAGAAGAGCAGGACGATTAGGAAGAGAAAACAAACCACTTGGAAGAAGATATTCAATTGCTTCCTAATAACAGAAAAAAGAATAACGAAAATTATGAGACAATAGAAAACAAAGAAAGAAACAATTAGATGAATGAAATTTACTCACTTTGATGTTTTTCTCGGTCATGTTGTGATAATCAAAACCCATTAAATTGGCAAGATGTCGTTTCCCCAACTCATATTCATCTCGCTGTTTATTAATCAATTCAGCATTTTGTCGAGCTTTTTCCAAGTAAAGTTTCATGGATAAACTAATTTTTTCCAATTTTCCAAGACCCAAATCAGATAATTTCTGTGAAGGTTTTCTCAGTAAATCTTTAGGTAGTTTTCCTTTTGAAGAAGATTCAATTTTCATAGATTGTGATGAAGATGCTGATGAAGGTGAAGGTGTAGAAGAAGATGAAGAGGAACTAGAAAAGATCCGTTTATGCACGGAAATACACGAAAGCAGACTCTTTCTAGAGTACATATCGAAACCTGAACAATTAAATTAAATCTAAAAAATTGAGAAAAAAACAATCACATTGTTTACATTAGAAAATGTTCCGATAGTCAACAGATGGCAACAGTTTCCATTCGCTTGATAGAAACCACTTTTTCAATTCTAAACAATTAAGTAGAAAATATTAATTGTTCAAAATTTAATCAAATTAATCACATACACATTATACAAAAACAATTAATTATGATGAGGCACGAGACAAAATTAGCCCATTCAAGTGAATTTTAAAGACAGAAAGCAAATAAACGATTCGAGTGATTTTTCATCTAAATTGTAACTTAATTAATGCAAATTGATTTTGATCAAACTAATTTTCAAATAAATGAGAGAAAATTGATTGATACTAATTTTGATTAAGAAATCAATAGTGTTTTAAAATCCTTTTGATTAAATCATTTATGATTATATTGCATATCTAATCCTAAATTAATTTTCTAGTTTTTAACTTTAATTGTAATTGGTAAACTTTTTTTCCTTTACCTTATCAAAATTGTAATGATAAATTGTCATCAATTGATTCCTAATGATCCAGTTTAACTGTAAGGTTTCAATTAACAATCACGCGATGATTAACTCAATCACGAATGATATTAATATCTTGCTAAATTTATTAATAGTAATTCAAGTTGATTAAGTTGATATTAGCTTCCTGTAAGATGTTCAGGTAAAATCTAATAGATTGTTGTTAACGATTAACATTTGATGGTTAAGGTGAATTAAATCTGATTGTTATACTTTAATCATCCTGAGAATTGAATTTTCCAATTTCTAACCTAACAATTATATTTACCCAACCCAACAATCAAATTGAAAATTGTACTTGGAAATATAAAAGGTAAACGACTCAATTATATTGGCCAAATATTTGACAACAATCAAACAGCAATCAAGATGATTTTGATGATCAATTGATGATAACCTTTGATGATAATCTAATTGTAATTGAAAAACTATATCAACTCAATTAATAAAATGTCGATGATGAAAAAAAAAGAGTAAAAATAATAAGATATTATTAGTTGATATCGAGATGAATCAAAACTTTGATCGTAATCATGATCAATACAATGTTTACAATTGAGATAAATTTAACTTCATCTCTCCATAGGGAACGATAATTAAGTTAACAATTTACCTTGGATTTCAAATTAATCAGCAGCTCAAACAAACCCTTTTCTCAATTGATTGGAATTGGTGAATTGATAATTTAGTAATTCTTTCATTCTTTTACATATAAGATCAGACATTTAATTTCGAATTAATCATGAGTTAATTATACAATTTCTCTGACAAAATTAACTTATGTTGACACAATTTACTTCGTAACCTTTTGAAAAATGAACAATTAACTTGATAATTACGTTAGTTAATTGAGAGTAAATTATTTCTTTCGCTTCAGAGATGAATCAAAATATGAATAAATATTAATATGAAAAATTAACAGGGAATTTTTTTCTTCTCTTCCTGTAACCTGTGAATTCTGAAAGGTTTTTCAGTTCTAATGAACGATTTTCATCTGGGAGTTAACCTGAAGCCTTCTGGGGATGGAGTAAGATGAAGGATGATGATGATGATGATGAGTAAAGATGAATGAGCTGAGTTGAATCAGAACTTTTTTTTCATGAGAAAATAGTAGCTCTCTGATTCTATCCCTATTCTAGTTTATCTTCATCATGTTTACTGTTATTCAATGAACACAATGTTCACAATTTTCACCATCCTTTTCATGTAAGAGGAAGACAAACAAAGAGTGAGAAAAGAGAGAGAGAGTGAGAGATATTGAGAGAGACAAAAGAAAACATTATCTTCTCTGAATCTCATCAGAATTTTCATCTTCTTTTCTTCCATGTAAATTGTTTACTTCTAAGTGTAACTTTGATTCTACTTTGTTGCTCAATCAATTAATATGATTAACTTGATCATCAACAGATTGGCAAAGGAAAATTTATCCATTAGTCAATGTAAATTGTTTCAATCATCATGTTTTAAATCAATCAACTGAATCAACAAATCGATTTTAAATCACAGTTAGTAAACTCACTTGTCCATATTAGTTACGATCAGAAAGAAAAGTTAATTCAATTAAAAAGTAATATTTACATTTATCATCATAATTATAATCAACTCATCTGTTTCATAAGTTTTCATCAATTTAATTATCATCAAGTGAAAAATAATAATTTCTGATTAACTAATCACCTTCTATGTGTCCAAGTGATCAGTGTCCTTAACCAGAAACAATCAGATAATCAAGAAAAGAGTCCGTATAAATTGTTGATTTGATCTAAATCATCTGAATCAAATCTTATCGAAACATAATCATCTAACTATGTTAGCTAACTTAACTGATGAATCTTAAGGCAACTTTTACTTGACAACTAATTTTTTGTTAACTATTATCATCGATACGTTTAAATCATGACAGTTGCAGGAAATTAGATTATAAATAATCAAGTAAATCACACAAATTGTCACTAAGTATACAAAAGATTGTTAATTGTCGATTGTACTGAGAATTACAATCAAAGTAAAAACTTTTGTTAAGACAATGATTAAGAAAAAAACAAGCGTTGACAATTTGGAATTGATTTGATTATTGTTTACTAAAAGTAATTAAATGTTTGAAGATTTGATAAAAGCAGAAAAAAAAACTTGGATCGTCTTTGATATATTTAATTGTCTTATTGTTTATCCTTTGATTAATTAAATTTGATCACATCAATTGATGATTGTTTGTTTACAATTTAACACTCAATTTAGAAACAAACTTTTCCTGTTAACTTTGATTGAGGTCAAATGAAAACTATTAATTTAATCATAAAACAATAAGTAAAAGTAATTAAGATGATGATGAGTGAATGGTAATGATTAACAACACGTGCTAATTAGACCTCAAGCCTGACCTTTCCTATTAAAATTTAGATACAATTGCTTAACTAAATTGCGATTGTTGGAATAGTTTCTTTTTACTTTGATTATTTCAAGGAAAATAAACATCTAATCATGATGATAATGATGAAATTTTAATCAGTTTCTCTTTCTAAACTATAATAGTTTAATAATTGTTCATTTTCCTTAAGAAAACATTAGCTTCTTCATGTTTAATTTGATTGTAATCATTTTCAGAGACACAATTCATTCCCTTCTCTCATTTACTTATTTATTAGAAAATTAATCAATTTTACAAGTATAACTTTCGTTTATTCTCCTTACATGTATTATTGCCAATAATTGTTCAAACAAGTCATTATTGATCAATTAATCTAACCACGAGCTCGTCGAAATAAATCCGAAACACAAATCGCACAGTAAAAGTTGATTGTTTAAATCAATGTTATTTTTTAATTCGTTACTGATCAGTTGAAGTCTTGGGTTTAAGCACAAGTCGTCGAGTTAGTGTAAAGATACTCGTTACAAACGCTTCTTTCTTCTTTGAATCAGAAGATTCGTGATTGATTTTCATAAAAATATCAATTATTGATAATTTCGAACCAAACTCGTTAATATTATTTACTAGAGTTTGTATGTACGAGGATTGAGAATATGAAACAAAGAAATCAGGAGATAATCCAATTTTGAAATGTAAACCTAGAATTTCGGGTTCATAATGTTTAATCAACGCCTCTCCATCAAGAAAGCCCTTATGACGCATCCATTTACATTTATAAGGAAATAACTGAGAAAAAATCCATAGAATAATTAGTGGAAAATTTAGATAATTATCAATGAACTGACCTGAATGAAACACAATTTCGGTTTCCCAGCCAATGTAGGGCACTTTTTGCGTTGAAAAGTTTGGAAAGAATTCCAAGTGAAAGTTTCTCATCTTTAGCCGATAAACCTTGATCCATTTTAAGGGTAATAAAACAGAAAACCAAACAATCAGCATCCGAATGATCTTCTTTCGATACTTTGTGAATAAAAAATAATTTAGAAAAGGTTTAAACAAAAGAGTTAGTAATAGTGCTTTGATATCAAGGTTATTCTGATCATCAAATGATTCTGAAACCTTATTCTCACTGAATGACCAGAATGACCTCGATTTGGAATCTCTTTTTACTTACACGCTTCAAGAACCAATTTGATTTCGGCTTTCTTGAGATCTTCATGAATGAACACTTCGAATCCTAAACCTCCAAAACAAGATTCCAATGACCGAACATCATTTTCATTCTCTGGATGATCATTCATTTTTTTGAAACACTTTTCAACCATATCGAAATGCTTGTGATTGAATATTATACATTTTCCTCGACGTTGATGGTTCATCGAGTATTCAAAACTTGAGCCAGAGAAAGATCGAGCGGGCTGGGAACTAATTTCACAAATGGTACGAAAAAGAAAATGATAATTAATCAATTACAATTTAAGATTATTAAAGTTGATCTTTTCTCTCTTCATGTTTCTCTTGTTTAGTTTAATGTTTCTTTTGTCTTCATCTCTTTTAAAATTTACTTCGGATGGACCGGAAATTGCTCACATATTGTACGAAAATTAACTAAATTGTGACATCGAGAAAAATTATTAGAAACTCTAGCAATTTAAAATCAATTCGATACCATTTGACAATCGTGATAGAAAGACAATCATTAGACAATTCAAATTGCGATCCATTCAATTCCTAACCATTTAGATTGGGTATTCTTGTTTCTAATGTGTTTGTATATTTTAGAGAAAAATATTTAGATACCGAAGCTAGTCGAAACACTGACGACTGACTCGCAAGTTTTTGCGACTCACTAGTCGACTCAAACTTAAGAAATTAATTGAATTCAAACAGAGAAAAAAGTTTGGTATAAGCCTTGTAAGATTTCCCTTTGAAAACTGCATTTTCACATTTCTCTGGGGCTAATTGAAACTTTTTATACAAAATTCAAAACCAGAAAATCTATCAGTTGGTAAACTTGATTTTTGAATGGACGATATGACTCGAAATTCAAATTAATTTTGCATTTAAGTCGACTAACTTCAGTCGACCGAGTTGATTGATTTTCGGCTTCGACTCGAGTCGCTTGCTGATCGACTGACTGAATGACTCGATCGACTAGCTTCAGTATCTAAAAATATTCAAATAAATCAACAGGTGATTATTTCGCTCAATTAGTTAATCATTCATTCATTTTCCACTAAAATCATGTCTGGATTTGCTGATCTCGAATCAACGAAAAACTCGCATAGACCTCGACATTTATCAAAGGAATTGGTTGATGACAGTGGACAGATAATGATAATTTCTCCTCCTTCATCTCACTAATTATGAAAAATATTCAAATTAAATTACTTACGAAGTTTCTGGTTGGTCCATTTTAGTACCTTCAGGGTCTCAACTGAATTTTATCAATGAATTAAATGATGAAGATTTGAAAATTATAACAGTTTTTAGTGATCAAGTGACTAAGCGGTGAGTTGATGATTGTAAGGAAAGCCAATTGTAATCAAAATCACTATTTTCCTAAATTAATTACTCCGAATCAATGAATTGGTACAAAAACTAGATAGTGTGTGACTTTTTCACTGTCCGAAATAATGAATTAATTGAGACAAAACCACAAAATTAATAAATGAAGCAGAAAATTGTACAAAAACAACATTAACATCAATAGGACTGATAATGTTTGACTGCATGAGTTAGAGATGGGCGATATTATCGATATCGATATTTTTGTCGATTTTTATCGATACAAAAAAAGAATATCGATTAATCGTTCTGTTTCTATTTGCTCGTTCTTTTTACCATACATGTGATTCTTGAAGATTTTTTGGTAAGACTCAAGATATTTCCATCAGCTCGATATTTTCACTTTGAGCTGATTTTTTCGGCTTAAAGTTCAAGCTACATATGAAAATGGACTTAATTGTTCAATTAATTGTGGTTCTGGTCAGTTTTTTTACTCTTTTGAATTGTACTCAAACTTTTTGCTCTTTTTATTGCGAAAATGAGATTAGCTGGACTGTTAACTAAAGATCGTTGACACGCTGAAAGGAAAAAGATTGGGAAAATGGGCGCTAGAGCAGCTTTCAGATTCCGACCTCGTTAATACTATTACATGTATTTCCTAGTTATAGTAAATCAAATTTTATAAGTCCGAAATTAGTCAGCTAATAAAAAAAAGAAATTGAAATTAAATTTGAATTCGATTTTTCCCACTATTTCACGAGTCAAAATGACAATTTACTGAAATAGACTTGAATTTTCGGTGTCGTAGGATAGGCCACTGATAATTGGAAAGTTCCGTTAGGTTGAATCTCTGATTTAAACTCGCTGGTCAATATAGCTAAATAATGGTAATCATTACAAGGTGGTCTATTGAATTTCTTTGAACAATTGGCATACATCTCCTTTTCTGACCGATTAGTAAACCAGCCGCTCTCAAATTCTGGCCTCATTTTGACATAGCTTCGACTGAACCATGATTTATACTCAGCGAATGAAACATTCATGATACAATGTCTCATGCAAGTTTTAATATGATTACAATCATATTGTTCGTAATAAAGACAATCGGTATCATAAGGTGGTGGAAGACGAGTAACTGCCGTTCGTTTGAAAGTGGCCACTGCTTGATTATTAACCTCAGTATCGAATTGTAAGAAGCTGGGATTTCCTAGAGATTCCTCTAGTTCGGCATAAGTGTGAGTGATATAAATCCCAATTCTTTTAGTTTTAATTACCGAAGTGTTGAAAGTAACATCCAACATCCATTTACCAACAACGAGCTTCTGTTCGTAATAAACTTGTTTGGGTAAACTTTCAAAGTACGAATAACACTTAGAGTATAATGAGACATATTCAACGGTGTAGTTATAAAACTCTAAGCAAGGTTGGAATTGGTAGGTTGTACTGTTTAGAACTGTACACTCATGTTAATGTTTGGGTCACAAGGTCATTTCCCGAAGGACACCTTTATAGGTCATTTTTGACGGTCGGCGGCTTAAGAAACAAATGACCTGAGAGATGAGTACTGATCTTATTTTTAAAGATTTTGCTCGTCGTCGTCAAGAAAGTGAAGATCTCGAATAGATTAACCTTTCAAGACAAAAACCCTTTTCAATTGTACATTATTGTTTCAATCGCTTATCAGAGTTAATTGTTTTTCTCTTTCCTTTTCCTTTTTTCTTTTCATTTCGAAGTATCAAAAGAAGATCATTCGAACGCGGAATGTTTGGTTGTTAGCATTCAAACTCACGGAAGCTCGAGATATTTATGTGCTTTCAATGGCAAATATAAAGCTGAAATATTTTTCGACTCTTTCAATGCCGAAAATTTTTGATTGTGTTGTGAGTGTTGAGCTAATTGAATATATCGGAATTTTTTCTTTGTCACTCCTATTATCATTCATTTCATTGTTATTAGGCTTGTTGTGGTCAAAAAGTAGATCATGGTTTCGAAAAAATCAAAATGATAATATTATTGAAAAAAGAATCGCCTGAAGAATCATCTAGAGAAGAGGAAGGAGATTAACCTGAAGAACCACCTGAAGAATCATCTGAAGAAGAGAGAGAAGATGAACCTGACTCTTCAATACGTATTGAGTACAAAAACCCAGTTATGGCTGATTATTGGGTCACATATTCTTGTTGGGATGGATATGGCTGCCATAATGGGCGCTGGTTCTTTAAACCACTAACCAAGATGTTAACAAAGTTTGCAGAAACAACATCTTTGTTTGAGATCATTTGTTTGGTAAATGCTGAGATTGCAAACCGTTTTACCGGTTTGGAAAATGAAAAGCAAATGCCAAATGGTGATTGAGTTCAAGGTGACTTTTATCTGTCTCCAGTTCTTGTTGATAGTTTTAGAGGAAAACAATTAACTCTGATCAGCGATTGAAAAAATTAAGTTCAATTGAAAAGTGGTTTTTGTCTTGGAAGGTTAATCTATTCGAGATCTTCACTTTCTTGACGACGACGAGCAAAATCTTTAAAAGTAAGATCAGTACTCATCTCTCAGGTCATTTTTCTTAAGGCACCTTAAGGTCACATGTTCTTGTTGAGGTAGATATGTCTGTTATATAGGATTTTGTTTCTTTAAAAACTAACCAAGATGTTAACAAAGTTTGCAGAAACAACATCTTTGTTTGAGATCATTTGTTTGGTAAATGCCAACATCAACATTTACCTTAACTAAGCGACTTATTCTTAGACCAAAAAATCAGAATTGAACTAGTTCTGAACAATTCAATTACTTTTTCTTACAGAAAACTGTCCAATAATTTCTCTTCAAAAAAATTCTGAAGTAGATCGATTTACAGCCAATGTTTGTCGCCGACAACGAACTTGAAAAACCTCAGAAACGCAATTCGGTGGCCATGGCGATCCGAAAGTTACAATACACTCTTCCATCGCCCTGTGGACGTCAACCCTCATCAATTGTTTCAAAGGTAAATTTATATATTATATTATTCATCATTTACACATTCATATACATCTAATTATCTAATCATTGGTAAATTTATTCAACCATTCATGTTGATCAAAAATTAATGCGAAAAAAAATATGATTACATTGATACTATTCACATTGTGAATCGTTTATCAGAATCCTATTCATGAGATGATTATTATTATATTTATCTGGAGTTAGTATTATTATTACCTCCATTCATAAGTGTTATCATAGTTGGATAATCACTTGAATATGATTAATACACTTCTATTAATCATGATGGTGGAAAATGTTGATTAGTTCAATCAACATATCAAATGATAATCTTATTTTCAATCGCAATTGCAATTGAAATTGTAAATTTTCATTGATTAGGGAATCAAATTAACATCAAAATAATTTTGTTTTTTACTCTCATTACATTTTGTGTTTGACTTTTTTGTTTTAAATTGCTGAGTAAAAATAAATAACCAGTAGAGGTAAACAGGTTGTTGATGATCAGTTGATTGTTAAGGAATCAAATGATAAAATCCGATGACTTGACAGTTACAATTTAATGCTGATTGTAAATTTGTACCTCGACAATCAATCGACTAACATTATGATTAGCTGATCGAAGGTAGTTACAGTAAAATAGTCAAGAGATTAACAGGTTGCCTCGACAAACAATTGACTAACATACATTATGTATTATGTTAGCTAATCGAAGACAGTTACAATGAAAGTTAATTGAGAGTTGACTAACGGGAGATAATGAAAAGTTAGTCAAGAGATTAACAGGTTGTCGATTGAATTTTTTTAATTATGGTGATCGGAAAGTTGCTAATCCATGTGAAGTAAATTGATTAAGTCGCACAGGTTTCGAAGTGACCTCATCTTCAGTCCATCCTTTCGAAATAACTGAAATTTTGGCTCGTAAGGGTGACCCATGAGTACGTAGATTATTCTGTAATTGATTCTGCTTCTTTTGAAAGATATAATTTATCGATTCCCGAATAAGACGATCAGACTTTCGCATGCACCAAACAATAACCATAAGCAGCGATATTCCAGTCCAGAGATAGAACATTCCACCAAAAAAGACGACCATATCAATGAATTTAAATCGGGGATTGAAATAGACTTCAATTTTCGGTGTCGTAGGATAGGCCACTGATAACTGGAAAGTTCCGTTAGGTTGAATCTCCGATTTAAACTCGCTGGTCAATATAGCTAAATAATGGTAATCATTACAAGGTGGTCTATTGAATTTCTTTGAACAATTGGCATACATCTCCTTTTCTGACCGATTAGTAAACCAGCCGCTCTCAAATTCTGGCCTCATTTTGACATAGCTTCGACTGAACCATGATTTATACTCAGCGAATGAAACATTCATGATACAATGTCTCATGCAAGTTTTAATATGATTACAATCATATTGTTCGTAATAAAGACAATCAGTATCATAAGGTGGTGGAAGACGACGAACTGCCGTTCGTTTGAAAGTGGCCACTGCTTGATTGTTAACCTCAGTATCGAATTGTAAGAAGCTGGGATTTCCCAGAGATTCCTCTAGTTCGGCATAAGTGTGAGTGATATAAATTCCAATTCTTTTAGTTTTAATTACCGAAGTGTTGAAAGTAACATCCAACATCCATTTACCAACAACGAGCTTCTGTTCGTAATTAACTTGTTCAGGTAAACTTTCAAAGTACGAATAACACTTAGAGTATAATGAGACATATTCAACGGTGTAGTTATAAAACTCTAAGCAAGGTTGGAATTGGTAAGTTGTACTGTTTAGAACTGTACACTCATGTTAATGTTTGGGTCACAAGGTCATTTCCCGAAGGACACCTTTATAGGTCATTTTTGACGGTCGGCGGCTTAAGAAACAAATGACCTGAGAGATGAGTACTGATCTTATTTTTAAAGATTTTGCTCGTCGTCGTCAAGAAAGTGAAGATCTCGAATAGATTAACCTTTATAGGTCATTTTAAGATCACTCTGTGTAAATTTCATCGCTCTTCAATATGATTACCTTAAAATAATCTATAAAGGTGTCCTTCGGGAAATGACCTTGTGACCCAAACATTAGATCAGTATCAATCAACCATCAACTATCAAGATCCGTACATATCTCTCAGGTCATTTGTTTCTTAAGCCGCCGACCGTCAAAAATGACCTATAAAGGTGTCCTTCGGGAAATGACCTTGAAAATCTTAAGGTCATACGCTTCTTGTGGATAGTTTTAGAGGAAAACAATTAAAACTGATAAGCGATTGAAACAATAATATACAATTGAAAAGGGTTTTTGTCTTGAAGGTTAATCTATTCGAGATCTTCACTTTCTTGACGACGATGAGCAAAATTTTTAAAATAAGATCAGTACTCATCTCTTAGGTCATTTTTCTTAAGCCGCCGACCGTCAAAAATCAATCCTATCATTCATGTACATTTAAATACTAATGAAAATAAATATTTATTTTCAATATTGATTTTGTCCTAATCTATACTCATGTTGATAAATACTCTTATTGTGAATTAATAGTGAAAAAGAAATTTTCACAAGTTTAATCAGAAATAGATGAACATTGATTGTGATTTGTGGATTTGAAATTATAATTTTCTCAGTAGGTTTATGAATGGGAGTTTGAATGAATCGATCTACTTCAGAATTTTTTTGAAGAGAAATTATTGGACAGTTTTCTGTAAGAAAAAGTAATTGAATTGTTCAGAACTAGTTCAATTCTGATTTTTTGGTCTAAGAATAAGTCGCTTAGTTAAGGTAAATGTTGATGTTGGCATTTACCAAACAAATGATCTCAAACAAAGATGTTGTTTCTGCAAACTTTGTTAACATCTTGGTTAGTTTTTAAAGAAACAAAATCCTATATAACAGACATATCTACCTCAACAAGAACATGTGACCTTAAGGTGCCTTAAGAAAAAAATGACCTGAGAGATGAGTACTGATCTTACTTTTAAAGATTTTGCTCGTCGTCGTCAAGAAAGTGAAGATCTCGAATAGATTAACCTTCCAAGACAAAAACCACTTTTCAATTGAACTTAATTTTTTCAATCGCTGATCAGAGTTAATTGTTTTCCTCTAAAACTATCAACAAGAACTGGAGACAGATAAAAGTCACCTTGAACTCAATCACCATTTCGCACTATAGAAGCCTGAGCATAGTTGAAGTTTTCGACCTTACAATTTTCAAACGATTCCTCATTTGATTCTTCAGGCGATTCTTTTTTCAATGATATTATCATTTTGATTTTTTCGAAACCAGGATCTACCTTATGACCACGACAAGCCTAATAAAGAGTGGCAAAGAAAAAAATTACGATATTATCAATTAGTGAGCTCGAATAAATGAAAAACTCTGGTCTTTTTTTGAAAAATTTAGATTATCGATAAACTTACGTCAATAAAAAATATTTTTGGCTTCCCAGCCAATGAAGGACAATTTTCGGCATTGAAAGAGTCGAAAAATATTTCAGTTTTATATTTGCCATCGAAAGCACGTAAATAGCTCGAGCTTCCGTGAGTTTGAATACAAACAACCAAACAATCCGCGTTCGAATGATCTTCTTTCGATACTTCGAAATGAAAAGAAAAATTTTTTCTTGATTATCGAGGAGATTCAACATTAAATGCTTTTTACTTACCAGAGCTTAAAGTGACTGCGATTTGTGCTATAGTGAGATTTTTATATTTACAAATCTCGAATTCTAAACCTTTAAAACAAGATTCTATGTATTGAATACATTTTTCAGACATCGGTATAGGTTTTTTGTATTCTCTAAGAAAGTGACTATGAGCGAAAATCAAACATTTTCCTCGACGTTTATTGTCCATCGGGTATTCATTAAGTTGAAAAGAGGATCTAATAGAATATCAAGAAATAATGGAGAATATTATACATCAATGTTACATAAATAATAGATTTGACAAAATCAAATACATCGAGATTGAAATGTTTATCCAAAAATAAATCGGTTGACAATTAACATGATTAAACATGATTAAGATTGATTGAATTTTGTAATACGTTTGAAAACAGAAAAGATCAGAATTGAACGATTAACTTGGTGATTAATTTCAATTGAATTCTGGATAAAATCAACAACAACATCATCTTTCATAGAGTAAAAGTAAAAGTAGAAGGAAAAAAGTTCTGATCGAAAACTCTGATTCCAAAGTAAAAGAATCAACAGATTAGCTAAACAATCAAATGAAAAGGAAAATAGAGAGAGAGAGATTAGGTCTATGTTTCCGGACATTCCACCACTCTGCGAACAGCCGTGTGGTGCCGCACTGCTCGACGTTGGCTAGTGGTACCGGACCGCGCTATCTTGCGCTTTGCCGGCGGACCTTACTAGTCGTCTGTGACGGTACTATTTTTTCTTTAATTGTTACTCATCTACTCTATCTTTCATTTTACAAGTAAGTAAATGTCTCGGTATGTCACTAGCTCCCCAGAGCCGATTCTCCCCCCGTCTTACCCCTTCTAGGTGTCACCACCTAGGGAGGCTGACTCCCTTGCAGGAGCCATTTCAGCTGACGGGTGCTGCCCTCTCTTTCTCATTGGGTCATCCTCGACTAATGCATCACCGGGTCTCGAACTCACAACCTCGATTAACGAGGACAGTGGCTTCAACCCTCTGCGCCAGAGAGAGAGAGAGAGAGAGAGAGAGAGAGAGAGAGAGAGAGAGAGAGAGAGAGAGAGAGAGAGAGAGAGAGAGAGAGAGAGACTAGAACTCGAGAAAGGAAATTAGATCAAATTCTGATGGATCAATGAACTTTTCCATCATAATTCAGAACCACCTGAATTCATGTGTCTCAATGGACCAACAGGTATCATCAAAATGTATTACAATTATAATAATCACAATGATAATCATCTAAATGATGATGATGATTATCTTTGATTAGGCTTTTTATCATGTTAATCATAATTGACTCATGATGATGCTTAAGTGTTCTTGTGAATTAATAATATTATATAAACCATGAAACTTTCATGATACATTTTCAATCTTGAGCATTTCTAAATTGTTAGCAGCATCCACAAAGAATCAGTGTCCAGTAATTGGACACAAATTAATTTAACATAATTGTATCAGAATTTTATTTTTCATTCCCTGCAAAAACAACCTGTCATTCATTGGCTACTTGGTGGTGGTCAAATTTTTATGATATAATAAATGTAATACTGGTCAGTTGTTATTCAATTACCTCTAGTTTTATTCAATTATAACCCATTGGTTTCAAAGTGGAAGACAAAAAAAAGATAAAGTCATTAATCATTCAGATACTTTTATTCTGTACCATTTAAATTAATTGAATTATCATGTTTAATGATTGACAATCAAGCATAAACTGGAAATGCTTTTTCATTACATTGTATTAACACCAATCAACTTTATATTGGCTTGGCAATTAACAATCTATCTTAATTACCATGATGACAATGGTAATTATCTCAATTCATGAGTTTCCATGTTTTCTAATAAGTTTGTGACTTTTAGAGAAAAATATTCAAAGGAGGATGGTCGCCAAATTTTAGTTTTTAGTTAAGAGTTGGAACTTTGTGTATTTGTAGGGTCACGAATGAGAGAGTGGCCTTTGATTTTCGAGGGCTAATATCTCCGAAACTAAAATAGTTAAAATAAGTTATAAACACCCAAATGTTTTATGTTTGCTCGAATGAAATATTATTTAATCAAACATTATCAAACTATTTATAGCAAAAGTGACTGTATTTTAAGGCCAAAAAACTTCTGATAGCCTTACTTAAATGACGGCGATTTGACTTATTAAGACATCTCCAAGTATTTTAGTTTCGGAGATATTAGCCCTCGCAGATCAAAGGCCACTCTCTCATTTCTGAAAACTGTTGATTAAATGAAAAAAGTGCTCAATTCACGATGTTAGCCTATACTAGAATAGTCTCAAAAATAAGTTTCAGATCATTCACGACACTTGGGACTAATTGCCGTCCATTTATTTAAATAAAACGGAATTCTGGCCGGAGCACTTTGGATATTTTTTTTTCAAAACTAATTAGATTTTCTGTAAGGGCATGAAAAGTTGTCGATAAAATAAAAATTTCACGACCTAAAAACTTATCGTTGTTGAGAAAAGCGACCTGAAGTTTTAACTCCGAACTCGATTTTCATGAAAACTACTAATCAGATCAGAAAAAAATAAATATATTTAGACTTCATATTTGTGACCCTACAAATACACAAAGTTCCAACTCTTAACTCAAAACTAAAATTCGGCGACCATCCTCCTTAAATTACTTACGAAGTTCCTGGTTGGTCTATTTTAGTACCTTCAGGGTCTCAACTGAATTTTATCAATGAATTAAATGATGAAGATTTGAAAATTATAACAGTTTTTAGTGATCAAGTGACTAAGCGGTGAGTTGATGATTGTAAGGAAAGCCAATTGTAATCAAAATCACTATTTTCCTAAATTAATTACTCCGAATCAATGAATTGGTACAAAAACTAGATAGTGTGTGACTTTTTCACTGTCCGAAATAATGAATTAGTTGACACAAAACCGAAAAATTAATGAATTTAAAATAACTTTGAAAAAGGTGAAACAAAATTTAAGATTCGATCTAAAAAACAATTGATTTTAATTGTCGAAATTCTAGAAAAAACTTATATCTAATTTTGAGCAAAATAGACGAAATTTTATGGAAATTCAATGTCTCGAGTGCGAAAAAATTATTTCGAATGTTCAAAATTAGATAAAAGTCTTTTTGGCGTTATAACTTATCAAGAACTAATTGTAACCTATCTCGGGGCTATTTGACCTTATACCAAAATTTTAGAGAAAAATGTCGATAAGTGACTTTTTTATGAACAAAAGTTCAAACTCGGAAGTTAAATTTCTATACAAATAAATGTTAATTTATTTTTTTAATTATTTCGATAAGGAGGATGGTCGCCGAATTTTAGTTTTGAGTTAAGAGTTGGAACTTTGTGTATTTGTAGGGTCACAAATATGAAGTCTAAATATATTTATTTTTTTCTGATCTGATTAGTAGTTTTCATGAAAATCGAGTTCGGAGTTAAAACTTCAGGTCGCTTTTCTCAACAACGATAAGTTTTTAGGTCGTGAAATTTTTATTTTATCGACAACTTTTCATGCCCTTACAGAAAATCTAATTAGTTTTGAAAAAAAAATATCCAAAGTGCTCCGGCCAGAATTCCGTTTTATTTAAATAAATGGACGGCAATTAGTCCCAAGTGTCGTGAATGATCTGAAATAGTGTTTCCCGATATTAAAAAAACATTAATCGACGATATTGACTATGGCTGTATTTAACACGGCAAAACATCAATTCTAACATCGAAAAAAATTGTTTCTTGGAGAAAATGAAATCACTTTGAAAGATTATCTTCATCACCCATCAACGAATTAGCCTTTTTTTCTTTCTTCTGAAACATTAATTCTTTATTAAAAGTATATAGAATCATTCTGGTTTGACTGTAAATCCGACCTTCCTTTCATTAAGAAAAAATCATCAATCGAGATTAACTCAGTTTATTAAATTGGGCCAATCGGTTGGTTTGAACCATCCAGTAGATGGCAGGATTTTGTTAAATCATGCGAGGTCTGACTGTACTCACCATTTCTGCTTCTGACTGGATGTAGATTCTTAAAGACAATTTTCAGTTGTGTTACTTGAGATAAAAGTAATAACAATCATCTCTTAAAGAGATGGGCGATTATATCGAAATCATCGATTATTTGTTCTTGTTCCCGACATCGATTTTGAAGGCTACTCATCGATATACAATTAACTCAGGTCTTTTCTAACCCAGGAAATTGGAAAGAATTTTAGATTAAATTTAATTTCAATTTTTCATTTAATGACTAATTTCGACTGTACAAAGTTTAATTTACTTAAATTTCGAAAACACCATCTAACGAGGTCGGAATCTGAAAGCTGCTCTAGCGCCCATTTTCCCAATCTTTTTCCTTTCAGCGACTCGACGATCTTTTGTTAACAGTCCAGCTAATCTCATTTTCTCAATCATTGATTCATCAACGAAACTGACCAATGCCAAAGAGATTCCATGTCTAATTGCTCCCGCTTGAGATGCTTCACCCACTCCACTCACTTTTGCTTCGATATCAACCTTATTTATCATATCGGTGAATAGAAGTGGAAATAAAATTTGATGTCGCTCTTTGAATTGAGGAAAATAAAGGATATCGTAACCATTTATCTCGATTGTTCCATTCCCATTGCCCCAAACGGTCACTTGAGCTTTACAATGTTTTCTAAGACCTGTTGAGATAACGAGAGAAACAGAGATTTAGATTTTGATCATAAATTTTGGATAAAATTTCATCTTTTCTTTTCATTTCATTGACTCTTTACCTTCGGCTTGGACATAAGGTCGACCTTCTTCATTGAAAGTGATTGGAGCTACACTCAAAGTGGCCATTTTTTGTTCTAATTTGACACGAAATTTCATTAAAAATTCTTTGCAATCTTTAGAATAAGGATGAGCTGTTAACCGCTCTAATCCAGAGGTTAATATATTCCAAAGATCAGCTGTGACTTTTTCATTATAATTATAAGAATATTCTTTCATGGTGAGCCAACGAGAACCAGTGAGATCTACTTTGGCCGAAGGTGGAGGATTCAAGACACCGTTACGGATCATTTGGTCTTTCAATTCATCGCATTTTCGATATTCATCATAAAGAAGGTGCATGTGTTCATAGAAAATGGGTTTGTTGGTGTAAGCTAAGAAATGAAAAGGTCTTCCTGTGTTATCGAAATCTGCACTTCCCGTTTCTGGATAAACTTTCTCTGGTGTAAGAAGAGCAGGACAATATCGAAGAGAGAACAAACCACTTGGAAGATATGTAATCAAAATGCTAAAAGAAAACGAAGCGAGTTAAGCTAAATAAAAATTGCAAAGTTCGTCAAATATTGCAATAGTTACTCTTCAGAATAATAGATGTCCATGTTTTCTGGTTTCGAACGAAAATTTAATTTTATACATCAACAAATGATTAGAAATTTTAAAGCAATTAGTTTTCGAACACTTTAATGATTAATTATATCTACCTGAAACGTTTGGTTATACGATTTTTTTTCTTATAAATGGTTACCATTGATTTATTGTAGTTTTGATGTGTATAAGGGAAAGAAAAACCAATGTTCACAATTTGTTGATACATAATTTTAATCAAATGAATTACAATTGAGAGATTTTGGAAAAAAAGAGGTGAAACAAGGCGATTTCATCTAAATTTTAATTACAATTAACAAATCAGTAGCCAAATGGTGATTGAGATCAAGGTGACTTTTATCTTTCTCCAGTTCTTGTTGATAGTTTTAGAGGAAAACAATTAACTCTGATCAGCGATTGAAACAATTAAGTTCAATTGAAAAGTGGTTTTTGTCTTGGAAGATTAATCTATTTTCTAGATCTATTCCAGATCTTCACTTTCTTGACGACGACGAGCAAAATCTTCAAAAATAAGATCAGTACTCATCTCTCGGGTCATTTGTTTCTTAAGGCGTCGACCAGCAGGACCAGTGGTTGTCACCGTTGTTCCCTCGGACTGACCACTCGCTTCCTTACCTGTCTTTGGATCGCCCTCTTCTTTACCATCAGTTACCAGCGATTTGACCTGAACAGGATCCAAAGTGACCAATTTAAAAGGTACATCAGCCGTTAGATCTCCACCAATGGCACCAAGATAAAGTCGAACCCGAGCAACATATGAAATAACAATTCCAATCGCATCGGAAGTTGGTGTTAAGGTGGACGAAGCTAAATTGGTATCCGCTTCCTTCAACATACCGTCAAGGGCGATTCCTCTTCGATCCTTATTACCCGCTGCTAAGGGTAACAATTGATAAACCTTTGAGAATGAGGCACCCGGTGTGATTGGACACCCTTCTTTTGATTCCAATGATGCAACAGTCTTACTGTAATGTCCATTGACTAAAGTGACCTCCGTGTGTTGAACGATCGACACCTGAATGACAAAAGAAATGATCATTTAGTAAATAAATGTAGACTAAATCCGGTGTCAAATTATATTTAATTTGATTTGGTGAGGAATCTTTAATTTGATGATACGAAATGATTATTTTCTTGATTACAATTGAACGATTGTTATCAGCATACGAAATTAATGTAAATAGATTCGATCATTGCCAATTTAATCAACTACAATTAGATTGATAAATTATCATTTTCATTATTAAAAGTCAGTAAGTTTATTTTGATGAAGAAAATTTTTCTTAATTTCGTCAAATGTTAATTCAAATTGTACTGATCATCATGAAAATTACACTTTAATCATGACATGAATTAATTTCATCAACACAACAATTGAATTAAATATTAATAAGTCAACAACAATCAACAGTTGATGATGTGAAGATAAAAATTTGTCTCATCAAATTGTGACTACTATGTAAGTAGATTAAGATTAATCAAGTTGGTCAAGTTAATTGTTGACACTCAAGGTGAAAATTGTCAAATGATTAAAAAGCCATTGGTATCAAATTTAATTTCGTGACAATTTGATGATTAAATGTCTATCAAGTATTAAAAAAACTGTGAATTAGATTTTGATAAGATTGATTCGTAACAATTGATCAATTGGTTACTATGATTAATCTAATGTTTTTCTTGTTGGCTAATCAATCAATTAGGTTTACAACAATTCAACTGTACAGTTAATTGGTCATTGTTTATTTAATGATTAGTTAATTTTCTACTTACCTTAACTGATCGGACATTTTTCTTTGAATAATTAGAAACTGTAACATGAGCTGAAATTTTATCACCATGAAAATATAATTCCCGATCCAAAGTGACCTCAAGGTTGAGTTTACCAGGACTCAACATGAATCCCTGTTGAAATAAAAGATTAATGTGACAATTAAGATAAATTGTTTCACTATGAATACACCTAATAGTTAATAGATTAATTAATCATTTAGGTTTTGGTTAGTTTTATCAACAAGAGTAAAAAAAATGAGAATCAAATCAATTAATTTACATTTGCATTTATATACATTGATGTTACATAAATAATAGATTTGACAAAATCAAATACATCGAGATTGAAATGTTTATCCAAAAATAAATCGGTTGACAATTAACATGATTAAACATGATTAAGATTGATTGAATTTTGTAATACGTTTGAAAACAGGAAAAGATCAGAATTGAACGATTAACTTGGTGATTAATTTCAATTGAATTCTGGATAAAATCAACAACAACATCATCTTTCATAGAGTAAAAGTAAAAGTAGAAGGAAAAAAAGTTCTGATCGAAAACTCTGATTCCAAAGTAAAAGAATCAACAGATTAGCTAAACAATCAAATGAAAAGGAAAATAAGAGAGAGAGAGAGAGAGAGAGAGAGACTAGAACTCGAGAAAGGAAATTAGATCAAATTCTGATGGATCAATGAACTTTTCCATCATAATTCAGAACCACCTGAATTCATGTGTCTCAATGGACCAACAGGTATCATCAAAATGTATTACAATTATAATAATCACAATGATAATCATCTAAATGATGATGATGCTTGTCTTTGATTAGGCTTTTTATCATGTTAATCATAATTGACTCATGATGATGCTTAAATTTTCTTTTGAATTAATAATATTATATAAACCATGAAACTTTCATGATACATTTTCAATCTTGAGTATTTCTAAATTGTTAGCAGCATCCACAAAGAATCAGTGTCCAGTAATTGGACACAAATTAATTTAACATAATTGTATCAGAATTTTATTTATCATTCCCTACAAAAACAACCTGTCATTCATTGGCTACTTGGTAGTGGTCAAATTTTTATGATATAATAAATGTAATGCTGGTCAGTTGTTATTCAATTATAACCCATTGGTTTCAAAGTGGAAGACAAAAAAAGATAAAGTCATTAATCATTCAGATACTTTTATTTTGTACCATTTAAATTAATTGAATTATCATGTTTAATGACTGACAATCAAGCAAAAACTAGAAATGCTTTTTAATTACATTGTATTAACACCAATCAACTTTATATTACATTGGCTTGGCAATTAACAATCCATCTTAATTACCATGATGACAATGGTAATTATCTGAATTCAGTAATCAAGAGTAGTTGATAATAGTTGACAAAAAAAAGTCTCATATTTGATTAATATAAATTGTAATTTTCTTGGTTACCTGAGCAATTAAGCTGATTGTGATTTCCAACTGAATCTCCCACTCCAAACAATCAACCTGATCATTTAATCAACCCATTGATGTGGGTGATCAAAAATTGAGGTTAAATTGTTCACCAGGTAAATTAAGATAAATTGTATTGGTGATTAACATGGTAACAAACAAATAGCAATGTAAACATTAATCAAGAACAATTTAGTTGATGATGGTAATGATTAAGTTTGTGAAGATTGTACAATCAAATTAGGCAACCTTCAAATTGTTGATGATTTTTGATTAACACTGATTTGGGAAAACTATTAACTCCTTAATTATTGCAATCAAGGTTGAGAAAATGAAGAAATTTTTTTTTCTTGATTGAATTTACAATAATTCATTCATACATTTACTGTCGTAATTATCTTGATTGTTGTCAATTCAATCACAACTCATCAATATTTAATAATAGCGAATCTTTTTTTCTGTTCATGAGAGTTAATTGTTATTCAGATGATTGTTAATTTCTTGTCAACGCTTTGGATTTAAAAGGAAACAATTATTTTCGAAATTGATTGATTGTCCATTCGGATGGACCGGAAATTGCTCACAAATTGTACGAAAATAAACTAAATTGTGACATGGAGAAAAAAATATTAGAAACTCTAGTAATTTAAAATCAATTCCATATCATTTGCCAATCGTGATAGAACAACAATCAATAGACAATTCAAATTGCGATCCATTTTATTCCAAACCATTTAGATTGAGTTTTCTTGTTTTCTAATAAGTTTGTGATTTTTAGAGAAAATATTCAAATTAATCAACAGGTGATTATGTCGCACAATTAGTTAATCATTCATTCATTTTCCACTAAAATCATGTCTGGATTTGCTGATCTCGAATCAATGAAAACCTCGCATAGACCTCGACATTTATCAAAGGAATCGAGTGATGACAATGTCATGATAATCTCTCCCCCTCCACCTCCTCTGATCCCACCTGCGACTCATGTGGTTCCATCGTCCCTTTTAATGTCACCACCACCTCCGAAAATCGTGCCACCCTTAACACTTATACCTAAACCACCATCTTCAGCACCTCAAATGTTCATCATTATATTAAGTTACCTTGGTGCTTTGGTTCAAGGTGTGTTTCTTTTAGTTCGATATGCCCAATATCAGACCACTACAACGGTGATCATTGAGCGACCTTTAGAGACCGAATTACCTTCAATATCCCTCTGCTTTTTTTATGGTTTACCAGAACTGAAAAATGTCACCGTTAACAATTCAATTGAAACTTATCCGTTAACTTTAGCTGAGATTAATTATAGATTACCAAAAATCGACGAGTGGATTATCAATTGTACAGTTCTAAACAGTACAACTTACCAATTCCAACCTTGCTTAGAGTTTTATAATTACACCGTTGAATATGTCTCATTATACTCTAAGTGTTATTCGTACTTTGAAAGTTTACCCAAACAAGTTTATTACGATCGGAGGTTCGTTGTTGGTAAATGGATGTTGGATGTTACTTTCAACACTTCGGTAATTAAAACTAAAAGAATTGGGATTTATATCACTCACACTTATGCTGAACTAGAGGAATCTCTAGGAAATCCTAGTTTCTTACAATTCGATACTGAGGTTAACAATCAAGCAGTGGCCACTTTCAAACGAACGGCAGTTACTCGTCTTCCACCACCTTATGATACCGATTGTCTTTATTACGAACAATATGATTGTAATCATATTAAAACTTGCATGAGACATTGTATCATGAATGTTTCATTCGCTGAGTATAAATCATGGTTCAGTCGAAGCTACGTCAAAATGAGACCAGAATTTGAGAGCGGCTGGTTTACTAATCGCTCGGAAAAGGAAATGTATGCCAATTGTTCAAAGAAATTCAATAGACCACCTTGTAATGATTACCATTATTTAGCTATACTGACCAGCGAGTTTAAATCGGAGATTCAACCTAACGGAACTTTCCAATTATCAGTGGCCTATCCTACGACACCGAAAATTGAAGTCTATTTCAATCCCCGATTTAAATTCATTGATACGGTCGTCTTTTTTGGTGGAATGTTCTATCTCTGGACTGGAATATCGCTGCTTATGATTATTGTTTGGTGCATGCGAAAGTCTGATCGTCTTATTCGGGAATCGATAAATTATATCTTTCAAAAGAAACAGAATCAATTACAGAATAATCTTCGTACTCACGGGTCACCCTTACGAGCCAAAATTTCAGTTATTTCGAAAGGATGGACTGAAGATGAGGTCAATTCGAAACCTGTGCGACTTAATCAATTTACTTCACATGGATTAGCAACTTTCCGATCACCATAATCAAAAAAATTCAATCGACAACCTGTTAATCTCTTGACTAACTATTTTACTGTAACTGTCTTCAATCAGCTAATCATAATGTTAGTCGATTGATTGTCGAGGTACAAATTTACAATCAGCATTAAATTGTAACTGTCAAGTCATCGGATTTTATCATTTGATTCCTTAACAATCAACTGATCATCAACAACCTGTTTACCTCTACTGGTTATTTATTTTTACTCAGCAATTTAAAACAAAAAAGTCAAACACAAAATGTAATGAGAGTAAAAAACAAAATTATTTTGATGTTAATTTGATTCCCTAATCAATGAAAATTTACAATTTCAATTGCAATTGCGATTGAAAATAAGATTATCATTTGATATGTTGATTGAACTAATCAACATTTTCCACCGTCATGATTAATAGAAGTGTATTAATCATATTCAAGTGATTATCCAACTATGATAACACTTATGAATGGAGGTAATAATAATACTAACTCCAGATAAATATAATAATAATCATCTCATGAATAGGATTCTGATAAACGATTCACAATGTGAATAGTATCAATGTAATCATATTTTTTTCGCATTAGTTTTTGATCAACATGAATGGTTGAATAAATTTATCAATGATTAGATAATTAGATGTATATGAATGTGTAAATGATGAATAATATAATATAAATTTACCTTTGAAACAATTGATGAGGGTTGACGTCCACAGGGCGATGGAAGAGTGTATTGTAACTTTCGGATCGCCATGGCCACCGAATTGCGTTTCTGAGGTTTTTCAAGTTCGTTGTCGGCGACAAACATTTTGACCTCATATTCAACACCAAGAGGTGGACCTTGATCTTCGGGTCCTGGTTGTAGGGTGACCGAGGGTGGGGCATGTTTGGGTAATTGGAAGGTGAAAGGATGAGCTGCAGAGCCTAATTTACGTAGTAACTTTTCTTGTAGTTTATTCAATGAAGAAGCGGATTCATTGTCGGCTGAGGGTTTTGCTTTAGAAGTCGAAGATGATCCCGGTGGATAGACCTGTTCTAAGGCCAGATAAAGTTGACGGGAAAAGTGTAGACCCATAATTTCATCTTCTTCTCGTCCGTATCGAAAAGTGGTTACGATTTGACCGAAAACACGACGACCCTTAAGGTACTCTTCGTCCACCACAACGACACCGTCAATTGTGTCCATATAATCACCATGATCACCGAAATCACGACTTCCCAAATAAACTGTTATCTTCCCATTGGGAGCAGTTTTTGTACACTTTAACGGCCACAGCACAGGCAAGAAACAATGAAACTGGTACACTAATCATGATGATTAACTAATTACAAATTGGAACTTATGATGAAAGTTATTTGTTAAAGTTGATCAACGTTTGTTAGTATCAATCAAAAAGTTTTGATGAGAAACTTGAATGAAAGTTTAACAATGAACAAAAAGATTTTCCGAATTAAATCAAAACATTAATTATCTTGATTACTATTACTTTCCAATCTCTCGTTCTCTTAAAATTATCAATACATCTAAACACAAGAAGAAATCTATTTGTTGTTATTGATAAAACTGATTGATTATCAATGGAGATGAAGTTTGTTGATAATCAAAGAAACAATCAGTTGATTTTGAGAGGAAAAATTAACTTTATGATAAAGATTGACAACAAAAGAGTAAGTTAATCAGTTTGGGAACAATTAAATGATTTCAATTGTCGATTAAGGTGAAATTTAAAGTGGGCAAATGATGATGATGATGAGAGTGAATTTAAGTGAGTTAATATTATTCATAGGTATTCATCATCATCATCACCATAATCATGAGAGTGAATGAAATATGAAGACAAAATTATTCATATTTCTCTTTCTATTTCGATCATCTCTTTCTTTTGCTGATCTATCTTCAATTATCTTCCATCACCATCATCATCATTATCTTCATCTTGTTTATCATTTTGTCATCATCATCATCTTCTTCTTGGAGTAATAATCTCTTTCTATTTTTGTCTCTTCTTTTTTTTCCTCTAATTTTCTTAATATCTTCTTCCTCTTTCAGGTGAATATTTAAATTTCATGAAGGAATCAAAGTTAATTGTAAACATTGGAAACCCTATCAGTGGCTTAATCAACAATTTAATAAGGTTTCCATCATCAATCTCGTCATCATCATCACCATCAACTTCATGATTATGTTTCGATAAGATTTGATTCAGATGATTTAGATCAAATCAACAATTTATACGGACTCTTTTCTTGATTATCTGATTGTTTCTGGTTAAGGACACTGATCACTTGGACACATAGAAGGTGATTAGTTAATCAGAAATTATTATTTTTCACTTGATGATAATTAAATTGATGAAAACTTATGAAACAGATGAGTTGATTATAATTATGATGATAAATGTAAATATTACTTTTTAATTGAATTAACTTTTCTTTCTGATCGTAACTAATATGGACAAGTGAGTTTACTAACTGTGATTTAAAATCGATTTGTTGATTCAGTTGATTGATTTAAAACATGATGATTGAAACAATTTACATTGACTAATGGATAAATTTTCCTTTGCCAATCTGTTGATGATCAAGTTAATCATATTAATTGATTGAGCAACAAAGTAGAATCAAAGTTACACTTAGAAGTAAACAATTTACATGGAAGAAAAAGAAGATGAAAATTCTGATGAGATTCAGAGAAGATAATGTTTTCTTTTGTCTCTCTCAATATCTCTCACTCTCTCTCTCTTTTCTCACTTGTTTGTCTTCCTCTTACATGAAAAGGATGGTGAAAATTGTGAACATTGTGTTCATTGAATAACAGTAAACATGATGAAGATAAACTAGAATAGGGATAGAATCAGAGAGCTACTATTTTCTCATGAAAAAAAAGTTCTGATTCAACTCAGCTCATTCATCTTTACTCATCATCATCATCATCATCCTTCATCTTACTCCATCCCCAGAAGGCTTCAGGTTAACTCCCAGATGAAAATCGTTCATTAGAACTGAAAAACCTTTCAGAATTCACAGGTTACAGGAAGAGAAGAAAAAAATTCCCTGTTAATTTTTCATATTAATATTTATTCATATTTTGATTCATCTCTGAAGCGAAAGAAATAATTTACTCTCAATTACTAACTCAATTAACTAAGTAATTACGTAATTGTTTTCAACGGTAAATTGTGTCAACATAAGTTAATTTTGTCAGAGAAATTGTATAATTAACTCATGATTAATTCGAAATTAAATGTCTGATCTTATATGTAAAAGAATGAAAGAATTACTAAATTATCAATTCACCAATTCCAATCAATTGAGAAAAGGGTTTGTTTGAGCTGCTGATTAATTTGAAATCCAAGGTAAATTGTTAACTTAATTATCGTTCCCTATGGAGAGATGAAGTTAAATTTATCTCAATTGTAAACATTGTATTGATCATGATTACGATCAAAGTTTTGATTCATCTCGATATCAACTAATAATATCTTATTATTTTTACTCTTTTTTTTCATCATCGACATTTTATTAATTGAGTTGATATAGTTTTTCAATTACAATTAGATTATCATCAAAGGTTATCATCAATTGATCATCAAAATCATCTTGATTGCTGTTTGATTGTTGTCAAATATTTGGCCAATATAATTGAGTCGTTTACCTTTTATATTTCCAAGTACAATTTTCAATTTGATTGTTGGGTTGGGTAAATATAATTGTTAGGTTAGAAATTGGAAAATTCAATTCTCAGGATGATTAAAGTATAACAATCAGATTTAATTCACCTTAACCATCAAATGTTAATCGTTAACAACAATCTATTAGATTTTACCTGAACATCTTACAGGAAGCTAATATCAACTTAATCAACTTGAATTACTATTAATAAATTTAGCAAGATATTAATATCATTCGTGATTGAGTTAATCATCGCGTGATTGTTAATTGAAACCTTACAGTTAAACTGGATCATTAGGAATCAATTGATGACAATTTATCATTACAATTTTGATAAGGTAAAGGAAAAAAAGTTTACCAATTACAATTAAAGTTAAAAACTAGAAAATTAATTTAGGATTAGAAATGCAATATAATCATAAATGATTTAATCAAAAGGATTTTAAAACACTATTGATTTCTTAATCAAAATTAGTATCAATCAATTTTCTCTCATTTATTTGAAAATTAGTTTGATCAAAATCAATTTGCATTAATTAAGTTACAATTTAGATGAAAAATCACTCGAATCGTTTATTTGCTTTCTGTCTTTAAGATTCACTTGAATGGGCTAATTTTGTCTCGTGCCTCATCTTAATTAATTGTTTTTGTATAATGTGTATGTGATTAATTTGATTAAATTTTGAACAATTAATAATTTCTACTTAATTGTTTAGAATTGAAAAAAGCGGTTTCTATTGAGCGAATAGAAACTGCTGCCACCTGTTGACCATCGGAACATTTTTCTATTGTAAACAATGTGATTGATTTTTTTTTCTCAATTTTTTTGATTTAATTTAATTGTTCAGGTTTCGATATGTATTCTAGAAAGAGTCTGCTTTCGTGTATTTCCGTGCATAAACGGATCTTTTCTAGTTCCTCTTCATCTTCTTCTACACCTTCACCTTCATCAGCATCTTCATCACAATCTATGAAAATTGAATCTTCTTCAAAAGGAAAACTACCTAAAGATTTACTGAGAAAACCTTCACAGAAATTATCTGATTTGGGTCTTGGAAAATTGGAAAAAATTAGTTTATCCATGAAACTTTACTTGGAAAAAGCTCGACAAAATGCTGAATTGATTAATAAACAGCGAGATGAATATGAGTTGGGGAAACGACATCTTGCCAATTTAATGGGTTTTGATTATCACAACATGACCGAGAAAAACATCAAAGTGAGTAAATTTCATTCATCTAATTGTTTCTTTCTTTGTTTTCTATTGTCTCATAATTTTTGTTATTCTTTTTTCTGTTATTAGGAAGCAATTGAATATCTTCTTCCAAGTGGTTTGTTTTCTCTTCCTAATCGTCCTGCTCTTCTTACACCAGAGGAAATTTATCCAAAACGGAAGTGCAGATTTCGACAACACAGGAAGACCTTTTCATTTCTTAGCTTACACCAACAAACCCATTTTCTATGAACACATGCACCATCTTTATGATGAATATCGAAAATGCGATGAATTGAAAGACCAAATGATCCGTAACGGTGTCTTGAATCCTCCACCTTCGGCCAAAGTAGATCTCACTGGTTCTCGTTGGCTCACCATGAAAGAATATTCTTATAATTATAATGAAAAAGTCACAGCTGATCTTTGGAATATATTAACCTCTGGATTAGAACGATTAACAGCTCATCCTTATTCTAAAGATTGCAAAGAATTTTTAATGAAATTTCGTGTCAAATTAGAACAAAAAATGGCCACTTTGAGTGTAGTTCCAATCACTTTCAATGAAGAAGGTCGACCTTATGTCCAAGCCGAAGGTAAAGAGTCAATGAAAAGAAAAGATGAAATTTTATCCAAAATTTATGATCAAAATCTAAATCTCTGTTTCTCTCGTTATCTATCGTTATCACAGGTCTTAGAAAACATTGTAAAGCTCAAGTGACCTTTTGGGGCAATGGGAATGGAACAATCGAGATAAATGGTTACGATATCCTTTATTTTCCTCAATTCAAAGAGCGACATCAAATTTTATTTCCACTTCTATTCACCGATATGATAAATAAGGTTGATATCGAAGCAAAAGTGAGTGGAGGGTGAAGCATCTCAAGGGAGCAATTAGACATGGAATCTCTTTGGCATTGGTCAGTTTCGTTGATGAATCAATGATTGAGAAAATGAGATTAGCTGGACTGTTAACAAAAGATCGTCGAGTCGCTGAAAGGAAAAAGATTGGGAAAATGGGCGCTAGAGCAGCTTTCAGATTCCGACCTCGTTAGATGCTATAATTTCCTCTGTCACAGTAAATGAATTTTGTACGTTCGAAATCAGACACCAAATTGTGATTTAAATTCGATTTGTTGATTCAGTTTATTTATTTAAAGATCATCATCTTCATTCATCAGGAACATCGATGTGAATCTTTTTGGTGAATCGAGCAGCACTCATGAATCCATAATCTAAATTATCTACAGAGTTCGTGATACCAATGATTGTGATATCAGCATTTTCCTTATTCAATTCTTCAATTGACTCAATCAAAGTGTCAGTCATAATTTCACGGTCATTGTCAGTTCTTGATTCTACACGTTTGCCGACAATACGATCAAGTCGATCCATGATCAATATGCATGGATGAATACTTCGAGCGAAATTGAACAAATTTCTACAAGAAGATTCAACTTCAGATGGATTTCCAGAAAACAACCGACCAAATGTACACTTGAGTGAAGGCAACTCGCAATGGTTAACAATTCCTTCCACTAGTTTACTTTTACCAACTCCAGAAACACCTGAGATCAAAATACGTTTACATCCACTGAAACCAAGTTCCAAAAGATTTTTCTGTTCGGGATCGAGATATCTCTTAATGTCGCTGATAATATGATCCAGGCCACCAAGATCTTCAAAGGTAGACGTTGGAGAGTAAATGTATCGCTCTTTGATCCGAGCTTTTTTCTTTAAAGCCTTTTCTATTTCCTTATCAGCCTCCGATTCCTCCTTCTCTTCTTTCATCGAAATATCTTTTTGTGGTGTATTAAAACCTTTCCGAGGCTCTGAAAAGGAATCAACAAGTGGTCAATTAGTTCGCTGTTGGTTTATATTATCATTTTCATCTTAATTATTGAAATTTTCTGTAAACTTATTAAATGTGTTTGATTTCATTCATTTTTGAGTATTGCAGTTTATTTGGTTTTGAATTTGGTTAAAATTAACCAAGTTGATCAATGTTTATGATGATCAATAAACAGATGAGTTTGAATCACAGCAGATTTGATTAATTAACAATTGTTAAATTAACAATTAAAATTTGTCAATTAACTTGACAAGAACTTAATACAATAAAATAATAATTAGTCAGAATTAAGGCTTGATTAAGATGAGATTTGGAATCAAGAAATTAAAATATTTTCCAAATTAAAGTTTTGCTCATGATCTTTATCGAAGTTGTTGGATTCAGAATCATTATTGTTGTCATTGGAATGATGGAGAACTAAAATGTTAGCAAATGATTCTTCCAAATTGTTGTAATTATCATCTTTGGTAGAGTCAGTAGATGAAGGTGGACTTTGCTTTTTTCCATCAAGCAGGATATTCTCAATCATCTCGGCAATCGCTTCATTGACAATCTTGTGATGACTGAGAAAAGCGTAATGACCACCGTCTTGAAGGGCGATTCCTTTAGGATAACCACTGTCCACTGCGGATCTTTGTTGGAGTCCATTATGGTCGTAAACCTCAATGTTGTCCGATTCGATTCCCAGCATTTTAGCCATTTCATAAAAGATCTCCTTCTGGATTAGTTTATCGTTCTCGGCAAATATCATCATCTTTGCAAGATCTTTGTCAGTTCCTAGTTTTTCCAGTTTCTCTGAAAGCTGTCAGGTAAAGGGGAACAAAAAATAAGAGGTTAATAAATTATATTGAGAGGAGATTGATTATAATCGTTTATAAAACATGAAGATTCATTAATTTTCCATTTGAAATTGAGAGACGATTAACTTATAGAGTTACAATTACTTTGATTTTTTCACGTGTTCAAAGTGAGCATCACATAGTCACGTACTACCTGTTAGCGTGAGATTCATATTAAGCTAAAACTGGATTAACAAGCTCTTTCAACGTCAATTCCCAAGTGGATTAGAGGCTTTAAAAGTAAACTCGATGAGATTATCAAATTATCAACACTAAGAATTAACATTGAGACCATAATCATGGTGCAAACATTGGGCTAAGTTGTAACTTTGTAATGGTAACAATTAACAGTAATATTAACAGTGACAGAAAAATAGTTGAAACTTTTGAATGAAAATGAATCAGATCCTAAAGGTTAATTGAAAAAAAAACATCAGCTCATGATAATAATTGTCAAAATGCTCGTGATAATTTACGGGAATTTACCTGAACAATCAGAAGAATCGGAACAATTTAAATGACGATTCAATTCACAGGATATTTTACATTTAAGTTAAAGATTAATGGTTACAGTCAATTAGCTACAATAATAATTGTCAATTATATTAGCTTGAGGCACAATCTTAATATTATTTAATTAGCCACCGCTTGTCTAATCATTTAAATATGAGGTAACTTTCAGTTCAGTTAATTAAATATTTGGAATTGATTGAGGTTTAAAAAATAGTAATAAAAGTCGTTTTAATTACTGGCAATGTGATTAAATGGGTTCCAATGCTGATTAGATAGGAAATGAACAAAAATTGACGAAATAATTATTGTAAATAATTAAAACTGATCAATAATGACTTGTTTGAACAATTATTGGCAATAGTAATTAGAGTAAATTAAAGTTAAGTAAATGAAAGTTAAACTTGTAAAATTAATTAATTTTCTAATAATTAAGTAAATGAGAGAAGGGAATTAATTGTGTCTCTGAAAATGATTACAATCAAATTAAACATGAAGGAGCTAATGTTTTCTTAAGGAAAATGAACAATTATTAAACTAGTTTAGAAAAAGAAACTGATTAAAATTTCATCATCATTATTATCATCATGATTAGATGATTATTTTCCTTGAAATAATCAAAGTAAAAAGAAACTATTCCAACAATCGCAATTTAGTTAAGCAATTGTATCTAAATTTTAATAGGAAAGGTCAGGCTTGAGGTCTAATTAGCACGTGTTGTTAATCATTACCATTCACTCATCATCATCTTAATTACTTTTACTTATTGTTTTATGATTAAATTAATAGTTTTCATTTGACCTCAATCAAATTTAACAGGAAAAGTTTGTTTCTAAATTGAGTGTTAAATTGTAAGCAAACAATCATCAATCGATGGGATCGAATTTAATTAATAAAAGGATAAACAATAAGACAATTAAATATATCAAAGACGATCCAAGTCTTTTTCTGCTTTTATCAAATCTTCAAACATTTAATTACTTTTAGTAAACAATAATCAAATCAATTCCAAATTGTCAACGCTTGTTTTTTTCTTAATCATTGTCTTAACAAAAGTTTTTACTTTGATTGTAATTCTCAGTACAATCGACAATTAACAATCTTTTGTATACTTAGTGACAATTTGTGTGATTTACTTGATTATTTATCATCTAATTTCCTGCAACTGTCATGATTTAAACGTATCGATGATAATAGTTAACAAAAAATTAGTTGTCAAGTAAAAGTTGCCTTAAGATTCATCAGGATATTTGATAGTATTATTGATACATGATTATTTTTGAAGAAGCGAATTTGCTTCAACAATTATAAAATACAATTTACTAATTAATCATGTCCAGTTTTTAAAATAATCTTAATGATAAACGAAAAGTATTAAAAACGATATCAGGGTTAAGTTAAGGGAAAAACTTTCAAGGACAAACGAAAAACCCACTCTCTCTTTCTGATCAGCGGATTAGATTTTAATTTGAGATAAATTAACAACTTACTCTTTTATAGTGACTGTGATAAACGGTTGTTACAGATAAAAATAAATTGTCCATGTTTTCCACTTTGACTGGACATTCTGGAGTTAGAAGAGAGTGAGAGAGAGAGAGAGAGAATAATTGAACAATTAACTCATTTGCAATTATAATATTCTGTCGATTGTAAATGAGAATATTTGGAATCACTTACTGGCAACAACGAGCACTGGTTTACCAAAGATTTTGATAAAGAAGCGGAAAAACTTGTATTGATAAAAGTAAGCAGAGGTTTTAGAGAGAGCAGGATATTTCATTGCTTGGATCCGACGATGACCACATGGATTGAGGAAGACCAATGCTTTCAATGTTGACCGATACTCTGAGTCGAGAATAATCATTGAAGGATAGACTGACGATGAATGGCCAATTAACATATCAACACGATTTAGTTTAAGTGCTCGAAGAAAGTCTAATATATACGAAGCTTTTTCCTCATCAGAATGACCAAATCTCTTTTTTTTGGTCAAAGAATATGCTGCAAGTGAGAAAAGTAACAGAATTTATTGATTTTGAAATGGGAAAAAAAGAGAAAAAGAGAAAACCCAAATAATATCTTCTCTTGAAATGATAATAAAAAATCCAGAGAAAAGATTAAAATCCCAATACATACTTGGAAAGTTTGGGCAGATGATTCGAATCGGATATTTGACGAGTCTCGATCGAGTGAGAGCAAAATCTCGATGAGAACCAGGAGCTCCATGTAAAAATAATACAACCGGTAAAGAATTACCAGAATCTGGTCGAGTATCAATGTAAGTTACCTCGGTGGTAATTCCTTTACGAGGAACATTGGAAAGCCAACTTTTCTCTTCTTTCCATTTCTCATACAGAGATGAACATGTTTCCACTTGGATTTTCAAAGGTTTATCACTAGATTCACAGTCAGAAGAATCACAATCGACTTTAGACATTTTCACTCTAAACACAATTAATATTGAATCACGAGAAAAAAAGAATAAATTAATTAAAAGAGCTAATTAAAACTTAACAAAATATTAACACTAAACAAGCAAAAGCAAAACCGAAATGTTTTTAAATTGTAACCAAAGCTCTGAAGATTTTGAGGGGAAAAAATCTTTTTTCTTTTCCCTTGCGTACAAACCAAATTACATTCGTTTTCTTTTTCTGCGCAGGGAATGTAAATTTCGACCACCTTACAACTTGGATTCTCTCCAATCAAAATCGATCAAAATTCGATCACGATCTCTGGCGCCAAGAATAAGAACTATTATAAATTCAGTCAATATTTGTTTCTCATGTTGATTTAGTTTCTTAATTGTTTTTTTCTTTATTTATTGTTGAGTTAATTTGATTAGAAATTTTCACCAAGTAATCACCAAATTCAATTTTCTCAAATTTTACTTGTTTCCTTCACTTAACCTGTGAAGTTTATTCAATGGTGAGACTTTTATATCCATTTGATTAATCACAATTCAACCTGAACTGAATTAAACAATTTGTTAATTGAACTGAATTTGATTAACGGGTAAAAACCAAAGTAAGGTAACCATGAATAACGGAAAACCAAAAATACTATTTCAATTATTTTGTTTCGTTCATTGAAAACTAATTGAATTTAAAGTTCAATAAATATATTGAATAAATGAATAAGTAACAATCAGGATAAAGTTTAATCAAAGCAACAATTTAACTGTAATCTTAATGGTTACAAGAAAATAGCCTGAAGCCATTTAAGAAAAATTTGATCTTGACCTAATGGGGAATGAGTTTATTTTTGATTCAGTTTCACTTTCTCAGTTGATCTGACTAATCAATTCAATCATTTCTAGGATCACCAATAAACACATTATAACAATTAGTAAATTTTGTTTTAATATAAAAAGACATTAATTAAAACTAATCAACATTTGATGCAAATGAAATAATTTCCTTTCAATTTGATACTTTGATCACTATTAAAATCAAATGTTTAAGCTAACTAACCGTCAACTAATTGATGCAATTTATCAGCTAATTTGATTGTTGAGTCGGAAGATTCCGATTGTTTGATTAAAGTTGAGGGAATTGTCGATTCTCCGTGTAAGGCACCGGACATCGCACAGGCCATGGAAGCGATTGTATCAGTATCACCGCCGAGCGAAATGGACAAGAAGAGAGTGCGAAGAAAAGGATTATCAGTTTCAAAAAGTTCCATCGGTTTTTGAGATCGAAGAAAACTGTAAATGGCCGATGGAACTGATCTCATCGCCGAAACACAATTACCAAAAATATCAGCGATCTCTTCGGGCTTCGGGTCTTTATTTCTGTGTTTTCCTTCAAAAATTTTAGTCATTTCTTGTAGCGATTTAACGTAGACTTTATCTCTCTCCTGACAATCGGCTTCAAGTTTTCCATTTTCTCAGTTAAAGTGTTGAGAAAAGATAAAGGATCAAACGGTTCTTTGGCTCTAAGAGCTTCACGAATTCCATGACATTGAAGCTTCGCACCGTTGATTCCTTTCACATTCGTATGAGTTATTTTTGAACAATTATCGACCATCTCGTTGAGTTTATCGTCAGTAAAATTGAGTCCAAACAAAGCGACAGGGAGATCCTCATAGCTGCACCATTACCATAAGAACCTGTCCCACCGAATTGACGCCTTGCAGGTCCAAAAGGATCTTCGTACTCCTCAATGTGAAGGTAGGTAAACACTTCGGTCACATTTTGACCATAACCTCTTTTAGGATTTTCAAAGTAATCTTGAGCAAATCGTTTCGCCAGATCGGCCGCATGAAATCCTTTGTTAGCAATCAATGATTGAGCCACAGCTCGAGACATCAAGGTGTCATCAGTATAAGGAAACACTTGATTAGCATTTTTAACAGCAATTAAATTGTTGAGATAATTTTGTAACACTCGCTTGGAAACACTTTCATCATTTTCAAATGGAGCTCCAAATGTATCACCGATATGAACACCAAGTAAACAACCTCTGAATCGACTACTCAGTTGAATCATTGCCATCGATAAATCACCTACCAAAACAGCACAAAACACCAACAAATACAATTGTTGACAATAAATTAGCTAATTGTTAAGTTTTAAATTAAAAAACCATCAAAAGGTTGAAGTTGGAAAATGTTGATCTCTGGTATCGGATCAAAGATCCGTTTGGGTAACAGATAAGACTCAAGATATGTCCGTCAGCTCGATATCTTCACTTTTCAGCTGATTTTTTTCGGCTTAAAGTTCAAGCTACATATGAAAATGGACTTAATTGTTCAGTTAATTGTGTTTGTTTAAATTAGGTTAGGTTAGGTCTTCGCTAATAAGGGTCACCATGACCAAAGAAAGGCCCGGAGGGCCTGAGACAATCAAACCGAACTTTAAGCCGAGAAAAAAAATCAGCTGAAAAGTGAAGATATCGAGCTGACGGACATATCTTGAGTCTTACCCAGATAAACAACCTGATCCAGAAACTGAATCTCTTTCGGTTGTCACTTTGTAGTTAAATTGTTGATTAGAAATTAAAATTAATTCTTCAATTAATTACCTAGTGATTTTATGTAATTGGAAGTTGATTGTTGATTAACTGTTTCTATGTTATCATTCAGATGGATTCAGTTGTTTACTCAGTCAACAGATGAAGCTGATGGTTATTTCTGTTGACATCATTACTTTTACATGTTGTCAAAAATTCAGTTTCAGTATTTGAGTGATTATCTTTTACTTTCTGTTTAATTGTTGACCAAATCTCATCGGTTTAATTGTTAAATCATATTGTTCTATTGATCTTCTCATCATGGATTTGGATTATCTATCGTTGGTGAAGAAAAATTTCATATCTATTTATGTTTATTGTTCTCATTCATGTTTACACGTAATTATTTTTTTCTATCCATTGTTTTGCCTTATCTTTTATATGCTTTTTCTGATAATATTTTTTTTCTCTTTCACTAAATTTGCCTTTTCTTCTATCACAGAATCTTCCAATCTAGTTGCAATCGCTATTCACCAGTATTAACCATATAAATATATCATGAGCTTGTCCGATAGTCATCATCATTATCGTAAACCCATTTCCCGAAGGCGCTGTGATCCTTGTGGTGTTTTGTGTTTTCTACTCACCTATGGTATTGTTTCATATTCGGACTATGCTTTCATTTACTGGGTCTCATGGAATCCGACACCTTCTTTTCTAAGCCTGGTCAATGGTGCGATTTATCAGATTTTGATTGTTCTCTTGGTTTGTTCCCACCTTCGTGCGAGCTTTTCAGATCCTGGTGTAGTATTACGTCCACAACATAATCTAGACTTTTCTCATGAAGCACTTCTGTCCGATCGAGAATCATTTACATCTGAATTTAGTCGATCATCTAGTTCTAATGATATTCGCTGGTCAGTTTGTAATAAATGTGAGACTTACAGGCCACCTCAAGCTCACCATTGCTCAGTATGTCAAAGATGTATTCGAAAGATGGATCATCACTGTCCCTGGATAAATAATTGCGTCGGCGAATTGAATCAACGATATTTTCTACAATTCCTTTTATATGTCGCCATCCTTTCATTTTACACCATAATCTCCATACTATTTGAGGTCTCTACCAATCGAATCGTAAATCAAACCAAATCCCTTCACACTCTGATATTATTGATTGAATCTCTTTTATTTGGTATCTTTGTTATCGCTGTGATGGCCGATCAAATGTCAACAATATTTAATGGCCTAACCCCGATCGACAAGCTAAGGTCAGTCTCAAACAAATCAGGATCTCCAAGTAAACCCAAAAAGGCTCGACTAAGGGAAGTCTGTGGCACTAATTCAATGCTTCTTTGGCTGATTCCTTGCCGTGATAATAGTGATAAAAGACATCGACAATTAGTTGTTTAGGTCCAATTTTCGAGTTCAATTCATCCTCAATCATAATCACCTCTCAAATGGATTCTCAATGACCATTACCTGCTCACACTGTTTACAGCCAAAGACTTAGAGTTTGCAACCACTTGTTAAATCATACACACAGTTAAAGATAATCAATACCCTCTCATTTAAACGAAGTGATCTTTTTAATTGGTCATCTGATTAGGAATCAAACATTATCTTTATCGGATTATCATTAACTGTGCAAATGATTTAACAAGTGGTTGCAAACTCCAAGTCTTTGGGTTTATATGAGATTCAATTGTTAAAGGAAAAACATTCCAAATCAAAGTGAATTTAGATGATTAAATTAATTTGATTCATGGAAAGTTTGACTTTGAGAACAAAAAAGTTGACATCTCTCAGTTACTATTTAATTTTATCTACATTCAGTATTGATTTCAATCGAAACAATTATGGTAAAATCTTTCTAATTAACTCGACATTTAAGATAATTACTCTTTCAATGTTACAGTGATCATTTCTCTATCTTTCCAATTGTTATTTATTGATAATCTAGTTACTTTTTGTTCAAAAACTAATTGAAAATTTCTTTCAACTTAAGAAATTGATTCAAACATTTTAATTTATTTTATTTATTTCAACTGCTCTGTAACAGAGTTAATCAAATTGTCTAAATCACAAGTGCAATATTGTAAATATTTTATTCCAGAAAACAAATTAACCAAGAAAAATAAAACACAAACAAATGGAAAGTCAAGTAAATGACAATTAACTCCAACAATCAATTAATCGGTGTGAAAATTGAAAAATCAATTCTTCAAATGATCAACCATTTAAAGCTCAATAAGATGCGAATGTGATGCAAAGACATTGGAGTAAAGTAAATTTAGCAAAACAAAAATGGAATCGAGTCTCTCCCTCTCTTCCCTATCACCTTCATCTCCCACGAATTTATCCTAAAAATGTTTACAGTTCTGTCGAAAATAATTCGAGATAAGTTACAGATTATTCTAAGAGTGGAAACAGAAAGAGAACAGAAAAATTCGACTCGAAAATTGAGTTTTTTATGGAAACAGAATCAGAGTAACTTTCTCTTTACACTTCTCAACAAATCAGTTTCTCTATTGTTTTGGAAAATCAATTGTAATCATTTGATTGTAAATGTGAGTCTAAAAAGAGAAAACAATCAACTAATTGTGTCTTTAATTGAGCGCCTCACAAAAGTGTAACCATGACGATCAAAACACTTTGGTCGGCGGCGTCGTTTTCATCAGGATTACGGTCTCATCTTTTAGAGTCAAAACTTGAACTGATCGGTGTTCCCATGGAGAGCGGACCTTTAAACGAAATGGCCAATCGGCTAATCAAGTTAAATATGTTCCCTTATTTTGAGGGAATTCATGGTTTATTATCTGCTCTTTATGTTCGTCATGAACTTGGAACTACGGCTCATCGTTTCTCCCGACGTCACCCTTTCTCTTGTTGGGCATCCACAATGTTGGCCTTTTTCGCTGGTACTTTTATGTCTAATTTTCTTCTCGCCGAACCTTTGGTCGAACCAATTAAATCAACTCATACTGTTCTTCTCGCCACAATCACTTGGTACCTTGTATTTTATTCACCTTTCGATCTTGTCTACAAATTGACAAGTTTAAAACCTTTTTACATTCTCATGAACTGTGCCCGTGAAGTGCTTAGAGCCAAAGTGATCTATCTTGGTGTTACTCATTCGGCTCGAGTTTATCCTGGAAACTTTTTAATAATCATCGCAATTGGAACCATCAGAGGTTTGTTACGATCTTCAACATTTTCTCCATTGTCATTACAATTTAATTTCTCTTTTCAATAGCAAGTGGAGGTTTCATCAGACCTTTGGACAGATTATTCAGAGGAGTTTGGACACCAAATGCTATCGAAATGCTTAATCCATCCTAGTTAGTAATCTAATTCTCTTAATCATTTGGGTTATGAGTAGTCAATGAATCATGCATCTGATTATCATCAGTTAATCTCATCTCGGTTTCTTTCAACTGGATTTAGAATATGAAAATATCAGTGATTCTTAGATTATTACCAATATCATTTTCTTAATCTCTTCGAGACTGATTAATTCATTTTCTTTTTTTTTTCTTCAGCTCAACTAAAACTGCTCTTCTGGCATCGATCATCTTTACGATTCACAAACAAACAAGTTTAATCGACTTATCAACACCGATAGTTTACCTTGGAATTGTTATCTTGCTTGTTTACCTTGATTTCTCGTCATTTACCTTTGGTGCTTATGATCCATTCCGACCAATAGAAAATTTAACTTGTTCCTTACTCTTTGGAAATTCATCTGAACAATTGGAACAATCGAAAAGGTGAATTTCGAATAGAAAAAGAAACTTTTTCTTTTGGATAGTCAAGATTTTCTCATTTCTCTCATTTTGTTTGAATTTTTTTCTTTTAGCCAAAAAAGTGATACAGAAAAATCAAAGACTGGAGTAGGAGGAGGAGGTGGAACTGGGGATAAACTGAAGAGAGGAGACGCCAAGAAGAAGGACTAAATTCTATTTTAATCATCATCAGTTTGCTCACGAAAATCACTGAATTGCAATCACAAATTCAAATTCTTCCTCAAGATTTGGTATCTCCTCAACTGTAGACAAGAAAAAACTGTTGCTCGAAACAACTTTTTGTGTAATTTGTTCAAATTCAAACTCAATCATGTGTCAGGATCATTTTCGAGCTATAATATTCATTGTGTATTATCAATTCTTTTTCGGTGTGATATCAATCCAATTTGATTATCTTGAATTGATAATTAATCATTTAAAGAGACAATTATTTACTTAAAACAAACTTGTTGCATATCAATAAATTTAGTTGAATGAACAGAATATCACAAGTTATTGGTGGAAATGGAGTTTTATGCGTTTTTGGAGTGTATTAACAGATCAAAGGTGGGGGAGGTTGACCCATGTTTCGATATTGTTGGGCTAATCTCAATTTAGATAGAACTTCATTTTCAAAATTCTCCAACGATTGTCCATGTCGTGGACCAAAAGGTGATGATTCGGGTCTTGGACGGACAACGACTTGTAATCCTTTGATGATCAGATTATCGAATTTTTCATTGACCACTTGTAAGGCCACTTGTTTTGATTTAATTTCTATTTCGGCTTTAGAAAAATTTGGAATCATAATCACACTTATTTCACCAAATTTAGAGAAGATGTTAAATAGAGCATTAGATGTAACTTCAAGTCTATGATCCCATTGAATTTTCACGTTAAACAGAATTTCATAATTTGGACCAACACGATTTTCAATATCGGATAATTCAGAGTTTAATCGATTCCTAAGATTTTGATTCTCTTTCTCTAATAAAAATAGATTAGAACATCTCGTCTTTTCGGCATCTCTCATTCTGATAAGATCTTCCATGATTTTCTTTTCTTTTTCTTCCTTGGCTCTTTGCTCTTTGGCTTCAAGTTCCTCTCGTAGTTTACGCCTTTTAGCATCCAATTGAGCATCTCTCATGGCCTTCTCTTTACGAGCTCGCAACGATCGGTCATATTTTTCACGGGAACCAGATTCACTTAAAATATCCAAAATTTTGGACAATTGTTCAAATTTTGATTTTGCATAAGGATTATCAGGATTCTTATCTGGATGGTACCTCAATGCTTTCTTACGATAAGCCCGTTGAATCTCCGATGTTGAGGCAGTGGAAGAAACTTCCAAAAACTCATAATAATCGTCGATTCAATTTTCAATTGTCACAATTGAAAAACCATTGATTTAACCAGAACAGAGTATTGACAAATTGTAACATTGTAATCAAAGTTTATTGAAAGATTATTGCTAGTGCAAAGAAGAAAAGGAAAAGAGCAAGTGTCACTCCTTCTAAAGCTTCATTAGGAACTGCCAGTGATTCTGATGGTGCAATTGGTGATCATCCGGATACAAATGCTATAAACCGAACACTAAGTAACCTTTATATGACCGGAAAAGGTTTTAATACACCACAAAAAGATATTTCGATGAAAGAAGAGAAGGAGGAATCGGAGGCGAATAAGGAAATAGAAAAGGCTTTGAAGAAAAAAGCTCGGATCAAAGAGCGATACATTTACTCTCCAACGTCTACGTTTGAAGATCTTGGTGGCCTGGATCATATTAGTGACCTGAAACGATATCTCGATCCCGAACAGAAAAATCTTTTGGAACTTGGTTTCAGTGGATGTAAACGTATTTTGATCTCAGGTGTTTCTGGAGTTGGAAAAAGTAAACTAGTGGAAGGAATTGTTAACCATTGCGAGTTGCCTTCACTCAAGTGTACATTTGGTCGGTTGTTTTCTGGAAATCCATCTGAAGTTGAATCTTCTTGTAGAAATTTGTTCAATTTCGCTCGAAGTATTCATCCATGTATATTGGTCATGGATCGACTTGATCGTATTGTCGGCAAACGTGTAGAATCAAGAACTGACAATGACCGTGAAATTATGACTGACACTTTGATTGAGTCAATTGAAGAATTGAATAAGGAAAATGCTGATATCACAATCATTGGTATCACGAACTCTGTTGATAATTTAGATTATGGATTCATGAGCGCTGCTCGATTCACCAAAAAGATTCACATCGATGTTCCTGATGAGAAAACGAGAGAATCAATATTAAGAGTGTTTTGCAAGAACATCAAAATCTCAGATGATGTTAAATTTGATGAACTTGGAGCCAAGACCCCGGGGTATGTTGGTTCCGATCTTCGGGATCTCGTCGATGAAGCAGGAATCATGGCAGATGAAAGGATAAGTGCTGAAGGAAGGATCCAAAGACAGATTCCAATGGCGAAGAGACCAAGATGGAGATCGAACTTGGTTCTAAAATCAGTATAATTCGTGATGATTTTTGTAAAGCTCTGAGAAGAATCAAACCTTCATTGAAAAGAGATGGTTTCGCTTCCATTCCCACTGTGACCTGGTCAGATATTGGAGCTTGTGATCATATAAGAAAAAAGTTAATGGCAACGATCCTATTGCCAGTCAAGTGTCCGACATTCATGGAGAAAACTCTTCGAGGTAAAACATCCTGTGGAATCTTACTCCATGGACCACCGGGTTGTGGGAAAACGTCGATTGCCAAAGCGATCGCGAACGAAGGTGACATCGCATTCATTTCAGTTAAAGGGCCAGAAGTTCTTAACATGTATGTTGGAGAATCAGAGAGACGGATTCGTGATATTTTCGAAAAAGCAGCAAAAGCCAAACCATGTGTGATATTTTTCGATGAAATTGATGCTCTGTGTACAGAAAGAGCAGCTTCAGAGGTATTCATCCTTTAATTCATTTATTGTTTTCCGATAACTAATCCATTCGTTATTCCTTTTATTGATCAACAGAGATCCAATGTTACTCAAAGTGTCTTAAGTCAAATACTAACAGAAATGGATGGTTTTGATAATCAATCGTGTTTAGTTTTAGCGGCAACAAATCGACTTGATGTCTTAGACTCTGCGATTCTCAGACCTGGAAGATTCGACAATCATATTTTCGTAGGTATTCCCGATGCCTCAGCTCGATTCGATATTCTCAAAGCCATTACCAGGGTAAGTAATCTAAATCTAATCTAATCTAAATCAAATTGATCTAATCATTTGTTCTTTGTTCTGAATTCCCAATTCTAAATTTGTTTCAATTCTCATTTCAGAATAATAAACCACCTCTTTCACCAGAAGTTTGTTTAAAATCTCTTGCTGATGATAATCGATTAAGGAATTTCACTGGAGCGGATTTAAGAGGATTAATTGAAAGAGCTCATACAATCGCCTGTATCGAAATGTACGATCAATTAGGAACTCTCGATGAGAACGCATTTGCAATTAAAAGTGAACACATAGAATCTGCTTTGAGTGAACGAGGAGCCTCCATCTCAGACGAAATGCTAGAATTTTATCTAAAATCAGCTAAGAAATTTGGATTATCTTGATTTGTAATTTAAATAATCTGACTAAAAATCTTATGGTACAAATGATCTTTACCATGATTGTTAATTTTTACATATTTTCAATGTTATTTTGAAAGAATAAACAAAATCATGATTTATTCAATTATCAAATTCAATTCAAGTTTAATCAATCCTTTCGTCACAATTAATACTTTTTATTAATAACATGAGAGAGAGGAAGACAATTCAACATTTATGATAACAGTTTCGGCCAAAGAATCAAAACTGTCACCGAAAACCACCTGCGGTTCTAATTCGAAACTCAAGGTCAATCAGTTGTCGCAAGAATCCATCATTGGGTCTAATTGATCGCGATTGTCGAGCGGTTCTTAAAGCCTCTTCGGCGGTCATTCCTTTCTTTATCATCAAATAGGCCAAAGCGATTGTACTTGATCGACTTAGACCCATATAACAATGGATCAAAACCCGACCACCTGTTAATAAGGCTCGATCAATGAATTCAGCGGTTTCGCCAAAATGGATCGATATCTTTGTCGATTCAATGTCCAACAAGTTCAGTCCCATGTACTTGATGTGAACATCGCTGTAATAATGGGCTCCGGTGTCGATTTGTGAGAAATGTGAACCTTCCGCTGTATTGACCACATGAGTGATTCCAATTAATTTAAGGTAACTTTTATTTCGAGCTGAACCTCTGAAAATGGAACAAAGAAATTTGAGTTGAATGAAATTTATTATTCAAATCGCATGAAAAAATATTCATCGTAGTAACTTTCTAGATGATTACTTTCCATGAATGTTATTCATTATCGATTGAACTTTGGATCGATAAAAAAGGTTGACTGAACTTTTGTGTTACCTCAGGTCATTCACGATTTTCAAATCAAAATCAATATGAAAAAGTTATCAATTAGTAATTAACTGAGTCTTTCATGAATATCTGAGCCAAAATTATCTCATGATTAGTATTTTTCAAGGTTTATTTTTTCATATGAAAACTATTAATACTAACAAGAACTAAATATAATTAGTGATAATTAAATCATCGAAATCATATGATCGAGTTGAATTGCGACGAAATTTTTTTTCTAATTTACAATGTAAGTTATAAGCATTGAGGAAACGCCATTTAGAGATAATCATTTGAAATCATATTGTTAAGATTCGAGTTAAACATTGAAAGGAAATTGATTACTCACTCATCTCCGATAAAAAGATTTGGATAAACTTCATCACAGTCGATACCAAGATCACGTCTATCAAGTCGAGTACCATGAAAGATGCGATGAAAATGACTATGTCCTGGAAGGTCACGATGTACCCGTGAGTGTGTCGACGTAATTACCCTCTTTAATTTAGCTAATCGAGCTTCAACATCGTGAGAATCATCAACTGATCCCCCAGAACCAGTGTATTTACGCCATTTACTACGACCTGACAACATTTCGTCAAGATTAAGAAAGAATCACAATCAGGGAATTTCCAAGAAAGAAAGACAATTGTAATGATGGAACAATAATTAAAATGAATAAATTTAACAGATCACAGGCTAAATTGCATTCGAGATTAATTTTAAACTAACAATTCATTTCGCTAACTTGATCACATTTCGTTATTTCCAAGAAAACTGAATTTGTAAAATGAATCAAGTAACTAGTTTATATCATCAAGAGAGAGAGAGAGAGAGATGAGATGATCATGATCATGATCTTCGCGATGGAGACTAGAGAGTCTTTTCATTGATCTATTCTGTACATTTTATGAACTTATTCTTTGACGTCACGATAATATAAACTGAGGAATATTTTTGTTTCTTTTTCGATTTACTCTTTTTTTCTCTTCCTTTTGTTTCTTTTTACTCTCTTTTTCCTTTGGTTGTATTGAGTATTTTTCTCGTCATCTCTGGATTTGTATTTATCTTCCAATTTTATCCTCAGAAAAGATGATGTAACGATGGGAACGAAGTTGCTTCGCTGATTCTTCTCATGGTTTAACTGGATTAATCTTGAGGTGAACTTGATCCATGATAACAATAGTTATTTACACGATAATCTTTTCCCTTGTAAAACCTTTTAACTACATTTAGTTTTCACCTTGACCCAACTGTGAATATCCATTGTTTATTCATCGTAATTGGTTTAATTTAGTTTTCTATTACTCTGTGTAATATTTACATGGATATAGACGTTTTTCAAATTTCGGTATTGTACAAATGGCAATAATCTAGATAATAATTGAAGGAAGAGAAAACAAGATAATCATTTTCTATGTAAAGTTGCGATGGCTGAGAAAAATACAATTGATAATCGTTGAATTTATACAAAAGAAAATAGGTTGAGTATAAATTGTTTGTTGTCTTCTTCATTTTCTAACAAATCTGTAAACACCATAACTAGATAAACTGATCAATAACAATATTCCAACAATTTTAATGGCACCAAAGGGTATGTTTGAGGCAATTCCACTATTTTCACCGATTAATGAGTCAGTCTCATCTGGTTCACAGGGAATCCATGAAGTTTTTTTATCACATTCATCTTTATCTGAACCAACAAGAATCAGGTGAGGACAATCATTGTCAGCATGTTTCTTTTGATAGACTTTACCATTGGTAATATGTCCACTCATATCACCTGATGAGAAATTGATTACACTCGATTTACTTTGAGTCTCGCCAATTTGTATAAACGATCAATGAAACAATTCATCACGATAATGACATTTTTGCCAAGTAGGAAGACCAATTAGAGGAAATCAACGAAAACCCAAAGCTATTAAAAAGAAGAAGATAAAATTAGATATGTAATTTAACCATAAGAGTAAAGTTGAATTCTATTTTTCAAAACGCTTGTGAATTTTGCGTCTTGAGAACTAAGAGAGACCTGTTGATCTACGATAAACAACGTTTAAATAGTTAATTGTTCTCGGGAAACTCAATTGATTGTTGATTTTATAAATATCAAAATCACATGTAAAAGTCAGACATCATTGAAAAGGTTAACCTGAACGATTTAGACTTAAATTTATCGAGAATAAATTTACTTACAGTTATAATTTGCACAGATTGATGATGATTAGAACAGTTAATTGGAACAACAATTAAGTAAATACAAATGAAAACAAAATGTTTAATTTTAAACGTTACGTTTGATTGAAATGAAAACAAACAATTTAGCTGTTCGGTGAAAAGAGAGATGGAGTCACTTGATCAAAGTCAAATTCTGAGAATGAAAAAGTTAACAAAAACCGCAGAATTTAATTATGATTAACTGCTCATGAGATCGTAACAATTTAAATTTCGAGAGGTTTTCTTTTGTTGCACTAATTGTGACAATAAATGTGTCATCTTTGCTTCGGAAATTAAGTCATGGTTAAAAATTTCTTACCGAAATTGTGATGAACTAAATCAACACAAACGCTCATGAAACATACGCACCAATGTCTCACAATTAACTCGCCAATTAATTCATTAAACAATTAAACTTGAGTACATTCAATCATTACCAAACTACAATTAACTTAAAGACTGTTTTGAACTTAATTTTTTAATTGATTTGATCATCTAATTAATGATCAATCTCAATATTGATTAGAATTGACAATTAAAATTGATTGTTTTGTTTTACATTTTCTCAGGTCGACAATTTAGAAATCAATTTAATTTTTTTTTTGAAAGAATAAAACAAAAATTGATTATTCGATTTTTAATTTGATTGAAATTATTATGATTGAGGATAAACTAAAATATTGAATTTATTTGCTTTTTAATTGGATTCAAATATTATTACTATTTTGAGATATTCTCATTAATTTTCTTAGATGGTTATGATTATCTAATCAATCATAATTAAGTAGAATTTACATTGATTTTCATCCCATCATCTTCAACAATAAGATGATCATAATTATGTAATCAAATTTTATCCTCTGGCAATCAAATTTACTATAAAACTTATTATGCGAAAGTGATTATTAGTGATTAAATTCAAGGTTGATATTTACTTCAATCTTGACTGATTGGTTAACTATTATCATAATTATCGAATCGGGATCAATGTCAACCATCATAATTATCGGGATGATGAAGGAATTCACCAGAGAGAGACTATGAACAGAGGATGAGTCGAAACTGAATCGATTGGAACGAAGAACCAGGAAAACCTTTGGAATTGCGCAAATCTTAGCAATTTAAGAATCAATAGTAACCAATCAGTGGCCACTATCTCTCATCTATCTTTATTTTCATGATCATTGTTCCGTCCTCGGAACTTGAACAACAATAACACAACGATTTCTCATTAATTGATCACCAGTATTTACTAATTTCCGTTTGTGTCTTTTTATAATCAAGTAACTTTCAATTTCCTTTTCTTCAATCAAGTGATAATATATGATCATCAATTGCTCTCTCATTTTCTCATCTTAATCATCTTGTTTTCATTTCTCCAAAATTGAGATCATCTTTGGTTATTATTATTGTGGATTAAACTGAAAAAAAAGAAGAGCAAAAAATCAATAGTAAATGAGGTTAAACTTGAGAGTAAAAGTGATTGAGACTATTCAAATTGATGCAAAATCGCCTTGATTGTTGATTAACTATTGCAATTTTCTTATTCATGTTATATTGTTTAAAGATTTAACGTCTAATTTGTTGATTATATTTACGAATATGAGTAAAATACTTTCACCTTCGGAAATCAATTTTCTAATTGAAAATGGAGATGACAACAATATCCAACCAGATACAAGTGTATTAACTGATTTAAGTAGACAATTTATTGAGAAAAAAACTGTACCCAAACTACAGGTGTCAGAAAAAAATGGTTCCTGGTTCGCTCTCAACAATACGTCACTTCATGTGGCCAAGGAATTGGAAAGGCAGGGTAAATGTTCAACGATTCAGGTTGAAATTGTCCCTCTGAGTAAAGTTCCAATAAGTTTACAAAATGGTATGTTAACAGCGAATGGACAGTCTGGTGAAAAGGAAACAGTATTTTCTGAATGTTGTCCATCGAAAGATTTCAGTGAACAAGGTAAGAGAAATGCAATAGAATCGATTTCCAGTTGGCTTTTATCATTCTGTTTGATGAGAAGATCAATCAAATAAATGTTCTATTCCATTAGGTGTTTCGAGAGAGTCGAAAGGAGAACGAAGAGGTTTCAGAAGACTTCAGATAGAAGAAAATTTTGGAATCGAATCAAATGAGAGTAATGGTAAATATGGTTCTCATGATTCATATGATGATGGTGAAGACACAGGGGAAAGTTCACCATCAGAAGCTTCGGATTATGATCAAGATTACGATGAATCTGATGGAGGTTAGTGAATTTCTTGGTATATCAACGAGAATGTTCAAATCTTAATTTTTGTTTCTCTTTTTTCTGTTTCCAGAGGAATCGCTGGTTTGTAATGTTTGTGATCGAACTTTTTCAAATGGACAAAAATTGGGTCGCCATCAAATGCATAGGAAACACTTCTGCTGTTCCGTCTGTGATGCTTTGTTTCCCACCCTGATGGTGCTACAAATACACAAGAAAACACTTGAACATTGGACGGACGATGAAGCCGATAACGAAGTAGCCGTTGGATTTATTACCGATGAGGAAGAACCAGATGATCAACAAGATTTACCCTCAGGAACATATCGACAGCCTTATGAGGAGATTGAAAGGTTGTTATGAGGCTCGAATACAGAATTTGCGATCATGAAGAATTTCATCTTTCACCAAACAACTCGAAAACTATTAAACTTATATCTTAATCTTTTTCGGCTCCTCCATCATCATCATTTCTCTCTCTCTCTTTCTTCTTTCTTTCTTTCTTTTGTCTCATTTCAATTGCACAGGTAGAAAATTCAATTTTAAAAATTAATCAAAATTTATAGTGAGGTTAGTAAATTGATCATAATCAATTAGCTAAATTCACACTTGTTAAAAATTCATATCTTTTTAATGGAAGTCTAATCAGATGAAAACAACAATAAATCAAGAACTAAATAACAAAAATTTGTGCCAAAATTGAAACAAAGGTGAATACAAAAGAAGATGATTACACAATTAATTGCAAAAGGACAACAAATCTTAACCTTAAATTGGATTCCAATCAAAATCCTTGATTCAGTTTGATTAATTGTTCAAAAACCACCAAGTTAAATATAATATCAACATCATGGTTTACTTATAAATCAAAAGAAAAAACTGAACAGCTTAACATGTATTCTAATGAACCAATTGTAATCATAAATTTAAATTGTTAACCTGTTGATTGTAACTAATTAATTGTTTTCTTCACAACAATTAGGATAATAAATGAGAATTTAAATCTGGTAGAATCGTTTGAACAATCGATACATCGAAGCTTTGACACATTGGTTGAAATGGAGATCGGATCTTGTGTATACGATATTCGGATCCATCTGGTGAATTTGGGTTTTAATTTTTTTCTTGCTTTTCTGTTGATTATGAGTTAATTACGATTTTCTTTGTTGATAATTAAGCGATTATTTTTATTCTGGTGATTCATTGAAAGAAAGTATCTTAGATGTACAATGGACATCTTGTTGACTTTACTGTTAATATTGTCATCAATTTTGTCATGCTGGTCTTTTTACCTTCCTGGTTTAGCTCCAGTAAATTATTGTGAAAAAAGCCAAGCCACGGACACTTGTAAATCGGAAGTAAAATTATATGTTAATCGTTTATATTCTGAGGAATCGGTAATTCCATATGAGTATAATCGTTTTGATTTTTGTCAGGTTCATGATGAAGATTCACCGGTTGAAAATCTTGGTCAAGTAGTTTTCGGTGAGAGAATAAGATCATCACCTTACAATATTTCTTTCTTAAGGAGTGAAGATTGTAAATTACTTTGTGTCAAAAAATACGATTTCACCAGTTCAGCTGAGCAAAATGAGGAGAAATTAAATTTCCTGATGAAAGGTATGCTCAAAAATTATGAACATGGTTGGATTGTGGACAATATGCCAGTTACCTGGTGTTATCCAGTTGAGGGTGAACAACAATATTGTTCAATTGGTTTTCCTATGGGCTGTTATGTTGACAGTCAAGGTAACCCTAAAGATGCCTGTGTCATGAATCAAAACTATAAGAAAGCTGATACTTTCTATTTATTCAATCATGTTGATCTCCAAATAACCTACCATTCTGGAGCTGATGAAGCTTGGGGTGTTGGTTTTGGAAGCAAAGGTGGCAGAATTACACGTATAAGAGTAACCCCAAGAAGTATTAAACATAGTGTAACTAATGATCCTAAGAATCCAATCGATTCAAAAAGCTGTTCAGCCAATTCTCCTCCGATGGAGATTAAAGCAAGACACCCAAGAAATGAGCCGATCACAATTTACTACACTTACTCTGTTCACTTTATAACAGATAATTCAATCAAATGGTCTTCTCGCTGGGATTATCTATTGGAATCAATGCCTCACACTAACATCCAATGGTTCAGTATATTAAATTCATTGGTAATTGTTTTCTTTCTCACTGGAATGGTGGCCATGATTCTTTTGAGAACATTACACAAAGATATTGCTCGTTACAATCAGATAGATTCTGAAGATGATGCCCAGGAAGAGTTTGGATGGAAACTCGTGCATGGTGATGTATTCAGAGCTCCTCGTCACTCGATGCTTTTATCCGTTTTCCTTGGTAGTGGTGTCCAAGTATTTTGTATGACTTTAACTACCCTTTTCTTTGCCTGTCTTGGTTTCCTTTCTCCCGCAAACAGAGGAGCTTTGATGACCTGTGCCATGGTAATGTTTGTCTGCCTCGGAACACCAGCCGGCTATGTTTCTGCTCGATTGTACAAAAGTTTCGGAGGCTACAAATGGAAAATGAATGTTTTTCTTACCGCATTACTTTCACCTGGAATCGTTTTCTCAATCTTTTTCGTTCTTAATCTACTTCTTTGGGCAAAAGGTTCCTCAGCAGCTATTCCTTTTACCACTTTAATTGCTCTTCTTGCAATGTGGTTTGGTGTCTCTTTGCCTTTAACATTTGCTGGTGCCTATTTTGGCTTTAAAAAGCGTCAAATTGAACATCCAGTCCGCACTAATCAGATTCCAAGGCAAATACCTGAGCAAACTGTTTATACTCAACCAGTACCCGGTGTTATAATGGGAGGTATTCTACCATTTGGTTGCATCTTTATTCAACTATTCTTCATCTTGAATAGTATTTGGTCAAATCAAATGTACTACATGTTTGGTTTCTTATTCCTAGTTTTCATTATTCTTGCAATCACTTGCAGTGAGACCACAATTCTACTTTGCTATTTCCACCTTTGTGCTGAAGATTATCATTGGTGGTGGAGATCATTCCTGACAAGTGGTTTTACAGCCTTTTACCTATTTCTCTATTGTATTCACTTCTTTTTGACCAAATTAACCATCACCGGAACCGTTTCAACAATATTATACTTTGGATACACCCTCATCATGGTATTTCTATTTTTCCTTCTTACTGGTACAATCGGTTTCTTTGCTAGTTTCTGGTTCGTTCGTAAAATCTACAGTGTTGTTAAAGTTGATTGAAACCTTTGTCGTGTAATCAGCTAATAATAATAATCACTATCAATGGAAAATGATAATGATGTTATAAAGGACGAGAAAACAAAGGAAAATTAATGCCAAGAAAATTAGTGAAAATCAACGTCAACATCCAAACATCACCTTCATCATAAACAATGTAATTTTCATTGCGCAGAACCGATTCATCTTAATCGAAGATGAAATTACTGATTAAGTTAAACAATAACATTAATAATAATTTATATATACATATAATCAATTAAGAGGTTGTCTAATTAACTGGTCCTCATAAATTTTCATCATCATCATTAAATTTGAAATAACAAACAAACTAAATTCAACAATCAGATACATATAACTATGACCAAAACTATTAAACTTGAGTAAAAAAAAAATCAATTTAACAAATGAATAAAAAAAATGTCATAATTTTTAAATAACCTTTAATTGTCTCATTACCATTTTACATGAAACCCATTTCAAGTTAATCAATGACATTGACCATCAACAATCAATGAGTGTTGACACAAAAAGTCAACACAATTAACAATAACAAATGTCATCAACATGGAAGTAACTTGTTAATTCAATTGTCAATTTTACATTTTTCAATTAATTTCCACTTCCCACTTTGATTATAACAGATTCAAGTTGTTTAGCTTGTTTTTATATCGCTATTATTATGTACATATATTTATATATTAGATTATATTATTATCACAATCAACTGATCCGAGTCACTTGTACTCTGTACAGGGTTTTCATTACTCTAATCGTTCCGGTTTTGTGATTTAACGACAACAATAATAATATTAACAAAACAGGTAAAGTCAAGAAAGAAGATGAAGAGAAGAGAGAGAGAGAGAGAGAGAGAGAGAGAGAGATGATGATGATGATGGAGGAGCCGAAAAAGATTAAGATTAAAGTTTAATTGTAGTTTTTGATCGAGTCCGAGTTGTTTGGTTAATCTAATCCATTTGAATCTATGATCGAATCGTAATCATCAATTCAGTTCCAATGTTGTCTCAATTATCGTTTTTTAATCGACAAAGACGAAAGGAATTAACTTCTACTAATAGTAGTAAATGTGTAAATTCATCAACAACCTCATCATCATCTCCAAATCAATTGTCATCAGCATTGAAAAGTGATTCAACAGCTGAAGTAACAAAGAAATTAAATGATTGCAATCAATTGTTATCTTCCAGCAATAAATCAACTTGCAATGACCAAGTATCTCTGTCAACGAAATCATCACAATTGTCAACACCTCAACAATCAATTCCATCATCAACACCAGTGACAATTAATTCTCAGCCTTCAACACCAACAGAAAGTTTAACACTGAAAAAGCAAATAGTAACACCAACAAATCAACAATCAGTGTCTACAATTAATCATGAAAATTGTGATTCTAAATCAATAAATGAAATTACTCCTATTGAGAAGGATGAAAACAAATCAATCAATCAACAAAAACCACAACAAATACAACAAGATTGTAAGGAAAAAGTTAATCATCAAGAAATCGTTTCCTATTCAAATTTAATCGAGGAATCAGTTAATCGTAAACAATGTAAATCCGGTTCGTCGTTTGTTAAATTGACCTTTCGTTGTCAATTAGCCCATGGAAGTGCAACTCAATTGATTTCTGGTTTTACCAATATGAAAGAGCTCTATGAGAAAATAGCCTCGATATTTAATATCCCAACGGATCAGGTAATTAGTTAATTGCTCTTAATTTGCCTCTTAAACAAATTGTTAACAATTGGGTTTCGATTGGAGTTGAAAAAAAACCTAATTACAGTCTTTACGGGAAAGTTTCGTTCTGGTTGCTTGATTGTTGCAATCAATTTGTTAACTAATTGATTCCTTGATAAATCATGATGATTATTTGATTGTTGATGATATCACAATACAATGATCATCGTTTAATTTGATTAGTTAGTCAAAGATTAATGATTTAAGACAAATTACTTCACAGTAAATCAACTTTAACAATTTAATATTATCATCAACTGATTCATTTTGAATTCATTAAATCAGTCTACAGATAATTAAATGATTGAATTTTTCATTAACAATATATTTAAATTGTAATCAAGTTAATTTAATCGTTTTCTAATTAGACAAATGAATATACATTAAATCATCAATCCATTACATATGAATCAGAATTAACTTTTTATTGTTATTTGATTATAAACCAACAACAATTAAAATAAGGATTGTTGATTTTGTAGGACAAATTGTGATGATGGTGATAATCAAATTGAAGACTAATTTAAAATAAACATCCAATTCTAATTATAATTATCATCTCTACCTTTTCTAATTAAGTTAATCTGAAGAAAATCAAGTTAAATTATCGTAACAATCACAGTGAACAAAAACAATGGTTAACAAAAGAGATTAACTTAATTGTGACCTTGAAAATTAAACAATGAGAATTAACCTTTAACCAGAAATTTACTAAATTAACAGTCCGTAAATTGTTGCCAATTGTATTGTTTAATTTGTTGGGTAACTAACCTTTCATTTGGTCAAATTGTGACAATTAAAAGTTAATCTTATTATAATGCATGGAGATGTTGTTTCATCGAGACAATTTCAATTTATAGTCAATTAATTTAATTAGTCAACACCTAAAATTATACAATAGATGAAAATTAACTGATTTCCAGGGTTAATTAATTTAATTACTGTTTAAATTCAATGAATAACTTTAAGGTTAATTCAAAACTTAGAAGAAACTTTTTTTTTCCTGATTGTATTTCCTGATCACGTTTAAACTGTTAATTATGCTAATTGTTTAAATTTAATTTAGATACTCTATTGTACCTTGAATACATCAAAAGTGGACATGGATCAACTTCTTGGCGGACAAATCGGACTCGAAGATTTCATCTTTGCCCATTGTAAGGGTCAAGCTAAAGAAATCGAACTGACCAAAAACGAAGAGCTTCTTGGCCTTACAATAACCGACAATGGAACTGGATACTCGTTCATTAAGAAAATTAAATCTGGAAGTTTGGTTGATTCTATCAAGTTTATTTCTGTAAGTTTGCTACAATTAATCAATTTACTAACAATTACACTAATTGAGAAATTAACTAATAGGTCGGGGATGTGATTGAAAAAATCGAAGGCAAATGTTTCATTGGTTGTCGTCACTTCGAAGTGGCCAAAGCGCTGAAAGATTTGCCGATTGGTCATACATTCACTATGAGACTAATAGAACCAAGTAAAGGAGGTTTTGGTAAGATGATTAATTGTTTGAGTTTAATTGTGATTAAAATGTTCTTATGTTTAAACAATAGGTTCAGTTGGTCCTCGTCCGGTTACAAACAATCATTCAACTAATTTAGGCTCTGGTCGGGAGACACTACGATTAAGAGCAATGGGATCGCCGATTAGTTCAATCAACAATCAACCAATTTCAACTCCAGTTATCGATAAAATTAACATTCTCCTTGAATCATTCATGGGTATTCATGATAATGAACTTGCTACTCAAATCTGGGAGATTGGATCAGCTCATCTCAATCCTCATGATTTTGTAATGGCGGTCGGAAGTTCTGACCTTCATATCTTTGGTTTCAATGAAGATCTACTATTTGACCTTTGGGGAGTTATTAACGATAATAAATCAGGTCGAGTCAATTCAAAGGTAACAACTGACTCGATGAACAATTAACTAATCATTGAACAATAATCATGAAAAAATGAACGATAAAAAAAGTTGACCTGCCATCACTTCAATGTTTTACCTTAAGTTTTAATCATCACGATAATTACACTAACCAATTATATTAATAATTTAATTTTTTGATGGTTAAATTAGTTTGTAAAAAACACTAAGCAATTCAATCAACTTACAATTATTATTAATCTTGCAATTAAACTTATATTAATTATCACTTTTTGACAATAAATGATATTACTTTTTATATGTTCACAATTAATTAAATTGTCATTGTTTTTGTCAATCTATTGATTGGATTAGATTACATTTCGATTTTGTTTACAGTTAAAATTAGCTTAATCTCTGTTCAAACAATCAACTGATTACCGGAAATTAAAAAGTCAATGGTTGGGATTGAATTAGATGGGATAAAGAGCAAATTTACAAACCAGATTAATTAAATAGACCAAATTTAAAGGCTTTGGTTAAATTGATTGCAAGTCATTTCATTTAGAGTAACAATTAATTATCTGTGTGATGTCAATCAGAATCAATTAACCTTCAGATGATAAGTATAATGTGAAAACGATGTTTATTTGATTGTTGCTTATTCATTGTCCTTATATCTGAATTCCAGTTAATTGTTGTTGGTGAAAGAAACAAATTAATTGTGATATTAAACATCAATCAAAAAATACTATCAAAAAAAGTTTACAACAAAAGTCTAAATCAATGTGAACGATTAAATTTTTCACCTGATTCAATGATCGGATTGAATAACATTCAATACAATGTAAGTTTAATTTCAATTGAATATTAATTATGGACAGAAAAGTTGATCCAACTGATTGTCAGTGTACTTGGGATGATAATTGTTGGGTTGAAGGACGAGGTACAATCAGAGCGATTCGAGGATGTCGGGCTCATTTCGATGTCCATTTGAGTGTCAATTGTCTCAACAATCAGTTGATTGATTTAACTGTCGAGATTAAAGGTCCAGAGAGGACAATTTGCTCCGAAAGAATCAAATTAACTCAGTTAAGAGGATCAAATTTCAAAGGGCGACCTTTTCAATTGGGTGGACCGAAAGGAGGAACAACAAATGAATCAAATGATTCAACAGAATCAACTGAATCAACTTTGATTCCAATGTGGTATTTGATTGTTCCGAGTAAAATATCAATTTATTACATCCCTTTGGTGATTGGAATCCATAAGATCAGATTATTTAATAAATCAGCTCAAATTAGGGGATCCCCTTTTACTGTTTACGTTGAACATGATTTTAATTCACTCGGAAACAATTCAAATTGTTCATCATTATTAACGCGATCAATTACCTTTGATCCCTCAAATTGTGAATCAAAATCAACGAAAACCACAACAACTCAAGTAAATCAAGAAGGACCCAGAGTAATTGGGACCATGGAGAAAGAAAATCATTCACAATTAAATATCGATCAATCCAATCTTCGTAAAACCAAATCAACTCAACTGTTAACAACTAAATCAGTTGATCCAATTGAATCGATCTGGGAAAGGCCAAGTGTCTCTGGAATTGAAAATTTAAGATATTCTTCTGAATCTGGAAGAGAAACCGATCATCATCATCATCATCATCTGTTATTTCCGATGACGATGGTGATGATGATGATGTGATTAACTTCACTATTTCTGGTTGTTCCAAGTGTTGGCTACCTTATCATGATTATGTTGGCAACGATGATTTAACTCTATCAACCAGTGATAAAGATTATTGGATTAAAGAAATGGATAAACGTTATCAGGAGGAACATTTTAAGAAACATTCATTCAGAGTTAAATCGTTAATTGAATATTGGAATAAAATGTCAGTCTCAACATCGTCAGCGAGTAATTGTTATTGCTGTTCGGAGGATGATGGTAACAATCAATCTAATCATCAGCAATCTTCCAATAATGATAAATTACAATAACTGTAAACAATAAAATAAATTGATTCACTTTCACATCTCTCTCTCTCTCTCTCTCCTTCTTAGTAATATTGTATTGAATGACTATTTACAATCGTGGAGATTAATCAATCCTAATTGAAGAATCAATTTCTTTAGACCAAGCAGTTAATCCACCAACGATATCTTTGATTTCCACATTTTCTGATGTTTTTTCCTTCAAGTATTTAACAGCAATTTGCGATGCTATTCCTTTTCGACACATAACGTAGACCTTTCCTCCGTCTTTAATGATTTGTTCAGACAATTTTTCGAAATGTTTCAATCCTTCCTCATGTAGAAGCTTTTTAAGGGGTAAATTAATTGCTTGGTCCAATTTAACAACATCAGCATCTTCAGCAGGACGAACATCAATCAGTAAATGTTTTTCTCCAGAATCGACAATTTTTTTATATTCAGAGACAGTGATTCTTTCATCAGGATTAAGAATATTCTTAGGATCACTTGATTGGGTTGAAAAATGATTCAAATTACAACCAGAAATAGTTGGTTTAATGAACATTTTCAAGTGTCCACAATCAATTAAAGATTTACCACAATTTGACTTGACCAGTTTAACGGAACCAGAAAAAGAGGCTTTACCATTAACACGACAACCACCTGCTATATTCAACAATCTACTCGGAAGTCTAATCAATTTGGACATTTTCACAATATAAATAAAATGAAAACAATTACAATTAAAAAGTAAGTTAAATGTTTCAAACGTAATTAAAATTAAACGAAATGAAAAAATTGGAAAACAACATCACCTGTTAAGAGATCAAGTGACATCTAGTGGTTGGAATCACGAATGGTTTAAATTGATTGAAATCCAAAGTGAAAGTATTTAAATGAAAACGTTTAATTGTTGACAATTCATTAAATTTCTTGCATTTGTTGGTTAATTTATTTAATTATGGATGAAAAGCAAGATTATTTACCCTTTACTCGTCGACTGTTGATCCTGTATGGAAGTCAAACCGGAAAAGCTTGGTACATCGCTCAAGACCTTTACCTAAATTGTAAAGGTGCTTTTACTGGAACTGATTTAAATCTGAGTATCCATTGTTATTCATTAAATCAACAAGATTTACGAATTGAAAAGGAAACCTATGTCATCTTTGTAGTCGCTACTGTTGGTGAAGGTGAATGTTCATATACTACAAGGGAGTTTTGGAGGTATTTAAACAGTGACAACCCTCCTGATCTATCAGAGCTTTATTATGCTCTTTTTGCCTTAGGTGATTCAAATTATCATCATTTTGCCATTTTTGGTAAACAATTAGATGCACGGTTGGAGGAATTAGGAGGTAAAAAGATTTGTGAAACAGGTAAGTGATTAAATCAATCGAAATTAGATCTCACTCTCTCGCTAAGAATCTCAGTTACATTTGTTTACTTCTTTTTCCCTCTCTTATTGATTTAACCGCTAATTAGGGTTTGGAGATGACGCTGTTGGAATTGAGATTGGATATGCACCGTGGTTACAGAATGTGATTCAATCATTTGCTAATATGTTTCCTGCGAATGAGGATTTTCTAACACAATTTAGAGATCCTTTAAGACTATTGTCCAGCAACGATATGAAATTTTCCTTCTTTTCTCCTGCTCTAACTTTACCTGTTGCCTTTTCGGATAAATTTGTGGAAACCCGAATCCAAGATGAATTGTGTGATTATAAAACGGAACAATTGACCTTTCCCAAGATCCCCCTGATGGACACCGACATTCACAATGTAAAATTTGTCGATCTCAAACTGTTATCCATGGTAACGGAGAGCATAACTAAAGAGGACAAAGTGATTCTAGAGGCCACTTTTGAAGGCGATGAGAAATTTGTTGATTGGGCGCCTGGAGATGCTTTTGGTTTTATTGTCGGTCATTCCGATTTTGAGGTTAATCTCGTTCTCAAAGCTCTTAACCTACAAGATAAAGCGGCTAATATAATCGAAGTGTCCTCCGCAACTCATCAACATTTACCAAAACGTATCACCTTATTCAATCTGATTAAATACTACATTGATCTCAGGGCGATTCCCAAAAAGGCCAATCTCCGATTCTTTGGTGACCATTGTTCAGTTCCCTCTCAGCGAATGCAATTACATTATCTTAGCAGTCGGGAAGGAACGGGAGAATATAAAATTCATATTCTTCAACATAAAACAAGTATACTGGACATTTTGGTCGCTTACGATTCTTGCTGTCCACCTCTCGATTATTTTCTTGCCGTTGTGCCAAATTTTGTTCCTCGTTATTACTCTGTGCTAAATTTGAAAGATGATAAAATTCAATTTAAAGTGGCCTTTAGTGTTATCCATCTTAATGAAGTCAACCAACGTCGAGATACTCAACTTTTAGGTGTTTTCACTGGTCTTATGTATAAAATTGCTCTTGCGAATAGCCTGGTAACGGAAAACACAATACAACTCGAAGCCTGTCCTAGGCCAGAATATTTTAGAGTTTTCCGAAGAGAAACGATCATTTTAAACTTCCAGCCAATAATTCAACTCCGATTATCATGTTAGCGGCTGGAACGGGTGTCACTCCGTTTCTTGGATTTCTCAGTTATCGTCAACATTTTAAGGAACAAAATCCCGAACAAAAGATCGGTGAAAGTTTCTATTCTACGGTTGTCGTGATTCGGAGAAAGATTTCATCTATTCCCAAGAATTGGAAGATTTTAAAGTCAATGGTATTCTCACTCGATTCCATCCATGTTTCTCTCGTGATTCAAAATTCCCAAAGATGCATGTTCAAGATGGAATACTGAAAGAAAAACAAGAAATTCGTCGCCTTATTGTTGAAGAAAATGCCGTGATTTATGTTTGTGGTGACCAAGGAAAATTTTCCTCTAATGTTCGTAAAGCATTTGTTATCGCTCTCGATGCAACTGTACGCGAAGGTGACCTTTGTGCAGAAAAAGTACTCGATAACCTGAAAGTAGAAGGTCGCTACCTACAAGATCTTTGGGTTTAATTGCGATATTTTTATTCCAAGTTTTTATTCTAAAAATTTTAGTCCAACTTGAAAGACTAATTCTATTCGATCAATGAAATAAAGATCGTAATCAATCATAATCGTTTGCATTCGATTAATTTATATTAATAGTAATCATCAACTCACTTGCCATGATTCACTCAATTAAATCATAACTGACTTGTTACTCGGCACTTTGAACAATTAGAAATAATGAAGTCAATTTATGATTGAAGTTCACTCAATAGAATAATGAAAATTACGAACAGACAATTTGGAGCGATTAAAATTGGTGCATCTTTTAATCTTTCTTAAAGGTAACGAAAAGATACTATGAGAATAATTATAATGAGGATGAGGATTAAAATTTCAGATAGAAAGTTGGACGGGAGGGGAAATTAGGGAAGATATAGATTGATTTGTTGATTTATGACTTTATGATTGTGATTGTGATGAATTATCTTGAGTTTTTGAATCAGAACAATTGAGATCAGAACAAATTTCTGGAACTGGTATTGATTGACTAACAGTAGTTAATTTGTTGTTGCTTTGGTTAATTGTTTTAAATTTAATTGGATCTTTGATAACAGCAGCATAATCTTCATCCGATCGGCTAAGGATTTTGACGGCTGAAAATTTGGCTCGTTGGTAAGCAGAGAGTATGTTAAATCCAAGGAACCTAAAAGTCCGAAAAAATGATAGAAAACAACACAATTAAACTATGAATAAATAAGAATGGGTCAAGTAGCAAATAAGAAGCGAATCTTACCTTAAACAAACATACTCGATGAGAATAGCGCATCCAACGGAAATCGTTCTTACGCTAATATGTTGATAAAGTCGGACTATCATGTAAGCACCGGCGACGGTTATTCCCATCAATAAGGCGGTTCCTCCAGTTTGAAGCCAATGATTGATTGTTAATCCTGAAGGTAACCATATTTCACCTCGATCTACCAGGTAAGGTTCGTTACAGACTTTACAGTGAACATTTTCTGGGCTTGAGTGCGACTCCATGAGCCATTGTTTAAGACAATCGTGATGAACAGCGGAAACATCACCTTTACATGCACATGGCTGGATTAATGGACCGACATCTTTACGTTCACTGTCATAACAAATCCAACAATCAATTGATCGTGATGAAGTATTATCTTGACATTTGTTGGACCATTTATTCATTGAATTATCCACTAGTAAAGCTGATTCGGTTTCAACCGAACGTGGATCATTCAGTGTAGTATCACTTGGATCACGACGAAGTATACGACGAGGATTTAGAACCCAAAGTCTTTCAGGTCTAATACAGTTCCAGAGGACACAAGGATACCAAAGAGCGATACCAATTTCAACAAGTCTGAATATTATACGATGAGCATTTCGACTTAGAACTGGTACTCTAAGAAAAAACAAGGAAAAAAAGAATAAAGGATTAAAGTATCATTAATGGAAACAAGCAAATGAATACAAAGTATAAAAAGTAGAGTAAAATTGTTTGCAAACTGGAAAAAAGATTAGTAGACAATTAAAGGGAAATAAGGAAAAAGTTAAGTAATGCAAATGATTAAACTGATCGTTCTCCTTTCTTACTTTTCTTTCCAATGTTCTCCAAGTACTTCAGAAAAGAGGAATAAAACGGTAAATAGTAGCATCGTAGCTTGAGAAATTAGACCAAATCGAGATTGATTAAGCTGAGAAAAATTGGCTGGGCAACTCTCTCCCTGGATGAATGCTCCTCTAACCTGTTTAATATGTAGACGAATGTAGCAATTAGTTGGATAATTATCACAATAAATGTTACGCTTAAGCTTAGTAGTTGTGATACATTACTTTGAAATACATCTCGACCCCGTAGATAAGGAAAAATATAACCACCACCAAGATGAGAATTGCATAGATGCTGTTGAATACCTGCATGAAGAGACTCTGAGTTTATAGAAAAAGAAGAGAAAAATTCAATCAGACAGTTTTACATGTACATAAATGATGAATTTGATAAGTTCAGTACTTGATAGATCATCAGATAAAAGATAATCTTACAGTTACAAGAGCCATTGAAAAGGTTGCAGATATTAAAGAAGAATTTGATTCAATATTCTACTTACTTTGTCGATATCATGTCCATCAGAGAATTGGAAAAGAAACAGCTCAGCGACAAGAAGAGAATAGTTGACAATATTAAATAGAATAAATCCAGAGAATGATTTACTCAGAAAACTGGGCCTTGCGACATTAACATCGTAAAGGTGGAAAACTTCAGCCCAAAAACAGACAACCAAAGACGATCCACTAAGAACTAGTGGATAATAAGCATTAGTTAAACCCTTTGCCCAGTCAAGTGAAGGATTGGTGGGAGAAGAGAAGTAAAATCCTCTGATCGCGGTGGCAACACATATGAAGAAATAAAGAGCTTTTTGAGTGGTAATTCTGAAGCTTCGGATGAATGATCGAGGTTTGATTCTTTTAAATTCCGAGTTGATACAAAGAACCTAAATAAAGCGAAGGGTAGAAAAGTAATGTCGTAAAAAGAATACAAAAGATAGAAAAATCAAGGTGATCAATGAATAAGCAACTTACAAGCTGAATAAATGATGTTACACAGATAAAATAGTAAATGGTTGACAAGGCTAAATAATAACTGTAATTAGGATTGTCACAAGCTTGGCCAGTATATTCAACCTGAGTAAAAAAGAGAGAGAGAGATTAATAAGGTTTAACATAACATAACATAAATGAATTAAGACAATAGATACCTCACAGAAGCAAACACCATCATAACAATCACCGTGTCCTGAACAATTTAAAGTACAGTTCATATTCTCAGAAGGTAAAGTTAATTTAAACCCATAGCTTAATAAAGGATGTTGAGATAATTTCTCTTCACAATCTTTGAAAGGTTCTTTCGCCGTTAGACTATTAACCATGGACATCCTTTGGATCAGTAGAAGTTCAATTCAATTCAATAAACCAACACTAAACAACAGAAAATAAACAAATTGGGTAGGGGAAAAATAGGTAATGAGAAAGTCAAATGATTAATTAATGAGTTGATTAACAAAAAAGACAAGCTACAGATTGAATAGTAAGATAATGAAACAATAACAGACAGAGAGAGAGAGAGAGATAGAGGATAAAGAGATAGAGAATCAAATTGATTTTTAGAGAAATTACTATTTACCTTTATGTTTAATTCATGATTTAAATGTTTCCTGTGATGATGAGAAAGTGTTAATCCATTTAAATTAAGGTGAATTCATGGTAATTAACTGAATTAATCAATAAGATTTAAGATGAAACGACAATTAAACAACAATAACAATCAATTTGGTTTCTCTTTGTCTCAACTGATTCTGCGCACGAAAACAACAAAAATGATAAAATGTAATAAATTCAAACTGAATTAAAATCAATTCTAAATGACAATTGATCAATTAGCAAATCAACAATTAAAAAAAGTTATTAATAGAAGCACATTTTTCACCAAGGACAGTAATTAATTTACAGTAGAAAAAATTGTTTTATCTTTTGATGAACAAAAAAACGTCAATGACTAAAAAAAGTTAATCGAAACTCAATCAACAATTAACAATTAAAATTACTGATTGTTATTACCATGAAACTGATTGAAATTAGATCATTTATTATATCAGTTAATCATTCAATAACTGTTTTGATTTAAAGCTAAAATTTTGATTAATCAAAATGGTAGCGAAGGGAATTGATTAACAATCAATATTAGATTAATGATTAAAATTAATTGTCTTGATTAATATAATCAACCTGAATTTAGTATAAAATCAAAAGGTAGTTTACCTTTTTATAAATTGATTAATCGTGATAAAATATTATCAACAAGATTTACTTTCGATTAGATTTCAATCAATTTTAAATTGATTTTTTTGTACTAATTCATGATTAGTGAAAAAAAAGTAACATTCATCTCGGAATAAATTGACAATTAGATTTGATTATTTGAATCTGAATGAGATGAGATCCATTTCTAATTAATTGCTCAACTGCTCAATCAAATCAAACTGATTGGCTGACCGAAACAATTTGCATTGCCAAAAATTAGATTACAGGTAATTGAAAATCAATTGTTACCCAATTGTGATCCTGTGATTGTGGCGACAATTAAGATTAAGTGAATTGAGGTAGACTGAAACAGGGAAACAATTGATCAGCAATTCAGTTGAGTCTTTGGTTAATTTGTCAAGGAATTAATTGTGATGATTAAAATGATGAAAGGTAAGAAAAGGTGAGTGAGAAGGAAGGAAATAATTACATGAATGAAGATTTGAATAAAAGGTCAATGGCATTTGAATGGAGTGAATATATTTCCTAATATCGATCAGAATTTTCAGTTTGGGTCAATGAATCATGAGAGAGAAAATTCTATGGAAAATTCATATTCTCTCTCTTTCATTTGTCTTTCTTTCTTCTTGATGATTAGTTGATTCTGTTATTATTTCCTCTCGATTCCTTAACATGGGTTCAACTTGTTCTTTACCTGAAATTGGTTCATCGTTTTTATCATCTTCGGGTTTGAATAAATCGACAATTTCATCAACTCGTCAACCGACAATTGAAACAATTGAACAATTAATTTCTCGAGATCGAAAATTGAAAAAACACTCTTGTTCGAATAATATTAATGTGAGTAATCAGAAAAAATTTCTATTCCCTTTCAATGAATATCCGAATAGACAACAAGCCAATCGAAATGTTCATCAATCTACTTCGAATTCTGGTAAATTGTCATCACAATCTTCATCTTCTTTCGGTGAATTGTCATCAAAAGTTTACACTTTCAAAGAATACAAACAATATCTTCAATCTAAACGAGAAACTAAAATTATCTCAACTCCGGTAACATCTTTAATCAACGACAATCAAAGTAACAACAATCAACGCTGTCGAACAGCGACAATTAGAAAATTATCCAAAGATGTTAAATCATCTATATCATCATCATCTTCTTCATCTTCATCAACTTCATCTCCATTGGCCTTGTCAACATCATCACAATCGTCATCACCCTCAAAGGAAATTGAATTAACTTCATCACCAACAGAAAATAACAACAATCAAATTAAAAGAGTAACTTGGGAAAAGGCTGATCGTAAATCAAGTGCCTCTGATAAGGAAAGTTCAGATGATTCAGGAATCAGTGATTCGACAATTACGATTAATCAACTATCAACATCTAAATCAAAAGGAAGGGTCAGACCTTTGGTCAACAATTCAGGTCGAAAGATTTGCAATGGCCAACGACCGGAAATGTTTCGATTAGAAACAAATAGTTCTAATCAAAATCTCCACATTTGATTGTAAAATATTATTTACAATCATTTCGATTGATTAATTGATGTAAATTTTTCAGACTCTTAGATCCAAATAAATGAAATAATCAAAAAACTATCAAATGAATTTCCATTGATTTAGAACAAAAAAATTTTCCAATCATTTAGAACTCAAGTAGTTAATCAACTTTGATCAATAATCTTCTTAATGGGGCAATTTAGAGATTGAGAACATTTAATTACTGTTTCGTTTCGATTGTGCCAATGATTAAAAGTCATTTGGTGTTAATCATAATTAAAATTGAGAATCGAAAATTGTTCGTCTACCAGATACCTGGTGGCGTTTCGATCGTTTAATTTGATTGTCTAATTTGTTGTGCAATTTTTGTTGATTAATTTATTGATTAGTTTAAGAGTTTTAATTGTTTTCTTTTTTAAATATTAATATGGTTCTATTACAATCATGTTCTCAACCGAATCGGGTGAGATTCAGTTCACGATAATCAACTGTTAGGGTAAGTAAATGGCTTTAAAAATTGATTCTTTTTTCTTGTTTACATGTTTGTTTACATTTTTCTGTTTTCTTGTTTTACATTTTGACAATTTTATCTTTTAGGCTTTTCCTTTGGTTTATTTTGCTCTGTGTAACGAATGTCAATTAATTCAGTGAAATTGATTTCTACTTCTAAATCATTAATGAATTCTTGGCAGTTACTTCGAACTCAATTTCGATATGGTTCACAATTTTCACCTCTTTGTTACAAGGTTTTCCTTGGTTCAAACATAAATCACGTCAAAACGTTTTCATCTTCCTCATCTTCATCTGCTTCCAGTTTTGGGACTATAAATGAAAATAACCAACGATGGAGGAAAGTACCTTTAATGATGGTTGGATTATTAGTCGGAGGTGCGGCAGTTTATGCCTTTTATAATGATGAAAATCGTAAATTGGAAGCTTTCACCAAAATGGCGATCACAGATTCTCCAGATAAAGGAAAGAGATCATTCCAAGATCGAACAGTAATTGAATACGAGAACCGAATCAGAACCTATTCTACTCCCGACAAGATCTTCCGTTACTTTGCAACCATTAAAGTAGTTTATGATGACCATGAATCTGAAGTATTCATGACTCCCGATGACTTCCTAAGAGCTGTAACCCCTGGAATTAAACAGCCCGAGAATTTGGGTTTGGAAAAATTTCGAAGAGTTGAAGTTGGAAAGGTAGATTTTAATCGATTGTCACTAGAAAGATATATTTAGATGGTAGAAATTTAGTTAACTTAAATTCTTTACGACTGAACAGTTTTAACTCGAATACACATGGATAACAATTAATACGAATAATTGTAACCCAATTGTAACTTAATTGTTCGTCACGTTTTTCTTTTCTCTTCAGGACAAAGGAGCAATTAATGAACTTCTTGCTGCTACAAAGCGAACCGTGAGCTTAAATCTTCAACTAATTCTCCTTAAATTCTTAACAATTTATTTTAATTTTTTTAATTTTCTTTTTCTACTTAATTTCTCCACAATCCGTTCATTTTTGTTCCATTGATGCATTTACCTTAATTTCGCTTTCTTATATAATTTCTCATTCAATTCATTACCATTTTTCGTTCTATTATTTAATTAATACATCGATTGATTTGATAATAACATTTTATCCTTGTGGTTAATCACTTTTCAGGAAGCGACATTTGACTTTGGCCTTAAACGGGACAGTATCTTTTATCGATTGAGCTCATTTGGATTAATCAATTACTCTGATTTCCTATTTCTACTGACCCTTCTTTCAGGTTCGTCAATGATTGGGAACAATTAATCGATTACAATAAGTAATAAGTAACTTATTTCTCTCTTTGATTGTTATTCACAGTTTCCCATCGTCATTTTAAAATTGCTTTTCGTATGTTTGATCTCAATGGTGATGGAAATGTTGATTACGAGGAGTTTGAAAAGGTTCAGAATGCGATTCTTCATCAAACTAGTATTGGACAAAAATTGGGTTCGTCGATTAAGACCAATTACCGAGGTGTCAGTTCCGCTTTGGCGAAATACTTTTTTGGACCAGAATTGAAGGAAAAATTAACTATTCAAAAGTTTCTCGACTTTCAAAAGCAGCTACAAGATGAAATGTTAACTCTAGAGGTAATTGATTGATAATCGAAATCAATTTTTTCTTATTAATTTGTACCTTTCGATCTTGTAGTTCGATAGAAAAGGACCAACAGCGGAAGGAAAAATCTCAGAGACAAAATTTGCCGAATTAATGATCGCCTATGCTGGTTTTCCAGAGAAAAAGAAACGAGCTATGATCAAGAGAATTAAAAAAGCTTATCCACAATCAACGGCCACTAATCCAGATCGAGGAATTACTCTGGATGATTATTTGATTTTCCATCATTTCTTACAGAATATCAATGATGTTGATATAGCATTAACTTTCTACAATATTGCCGGAGCTTCAATCGACGAAGGTAATAATTAATCCAATTGAGTGTGAAAATCAATGGCTAATTATTAATCTTAATTGTCTTAGACACTTTTCGTCATGCGGCAAAAACGGTAGCCAATGTCGAGCTTCGAGATCATTTGATTAAAGTGATCTTTATATTATTTGATGAAAATCGTAAGTGTAAATTTAATTGGCTAATTATAGTTAATCAACTTACCAACTCATCAACTATTGTAAATATTTTCCTTAATTACAGAGGATGGACAACTCAGCAATAAAGAATTCATTGCCGTGATGAAAGAGCGTCTTAAACGTGGCCTGGGTCGGCCTAAAGACACGGGATTCGTCAAGGTGATGTCCGCAATTTGGAATGCAATGAAAAACGAGCTATTTTAATTGTTAACAATCAACTCACAACCAATCACACTCATCACACTATTTGCCATAAAAGTTGTTACACTTTATCCAATTGAATCAAATTTGGATTCAAACAACAAAAGCCTCTAACCAATATCACCTTTACTCTCTAAAATTAATCCAACAATTAATTCACTAACTTGCAATCACAATTAACCCTTAATCCAAATTGTATCGCTATTGTTAATTTTTTTTCTCCAAATTATCTGTTGTTTTTTTCGTCACCTTTAAATTAAATGTATTTACTGTTGAACTCACAATTCAAATCAAACCTCAATCAGTTAATAGCAATTTAGAGTTACAACCTGATAGGTATTACAATTTGTCTTATTACTAGTGATTTTAATTTAATTGTTACTGACCAATTAAGTTAATTGAAATGTCATCTGAACAAAAAGATCTGAAAATCCCGGAAAAAATTGCAACCATGTTAATCCAAGGCTATTGTTTGGTGACTGAATCATGTTCAAAGTGTAAGGTGAGAATCTGATTTTCACCTTAATTGTGATGTTTAACTAATTAATTGTCATTTAATCACTAGGGTTTATTGATTCGCTCCAAAAGTGATGAGTTAATTTGTGTTAAATGTTTCTGTGAACAAGCTAATAGGAAATCCCTTAAACATGGACACTCAGATGAAGATGAAAATGAAAATGATGGTGATGAGAAAAAATCAGAAACTAAATCAGTTAATAAAAGTAAATCAATTAAATTGGAGATCAAGGAAAACTCTGGACAATCAAATCAATCGACAATCACTCGTGCACAATTAGAGGACTTTTATCGTGACTTTTATCGTGATCTGCAACAATTAAAATCTAATCAGAATTCACTAGACATTGTCAAGTATTTTGATTCATCTAATGAGAAACGAAAGTAATTGTGACAATCAACTAATTATACAAACAAATGACAATCAATAGCATGTTAACCAATCGTGACTATTTTTCTAAATATTTTCTAATCACAATTAAACCTTCCAACTCAATGGAAACAATTTAAGTGAAATCAGATTATTTTGCTTTCAATTTTACTTTTAACAATTAGTATATTGATTGTAGTTTATTGACTTGAATTTCTTAACAATCAAAATACACAATTAACAATTAAACTTCTTAATCCTTTTACTATCTTTTCATTTCTTTTGATTGTTTATTTTTTTTTCGCAATTGCAATAAGAAAACATGACAATTAAATATTGTTGATTTGGTTGGTTGATGTAAACACATTATCACAATCGTAAATCACAATCAGTGAAAATTAATCCGGTTTCATGTCAAGTTGGTTAGTTAATTGAATATGAAACGAAACATGAACAACAAGAAAATTAAGTTAACGATAAGCAAAAGTTTCATAGGTAAACGTTTGCAATTAACTTTCAATTGTTAATTTCTAAGGTAATTGTTGATTTAAATTGATGATTATCATGTTGATTGTGATGGTGATTAATGTTGATTGCACTAAATCAATGAAATTATCACCCAATTGCAATCAAGTTCTTGATAATCAAGCATCCGGATCAAAAAGGTTGATAAGTGATGAAGAGAAAGAGGATTTGAATCCAATTAACGAATTTAATTTAACAATTTGGCTTGATTGTGATTTGCAATAGAACCACAATTCTAATGGAGGACAACTGATGAGAGAGAAAAAAAAATTGATGATTAGTTAATCAACATCATGATTGGTCAGTGATGGAGAAAAGGAAAAAGATTCTAATTATTATTTATTCGTAATTGAATATTGCAAGTTGTTGATGGCGAGAAAAAAAAAAGATCATCAACTTGACCTAATCTTTCATAGAGTGAATCTTAATTTAACTGACATCTTCTGATTGCTCTTCTTAGCAATTAGTTGATTAGTTAACAGTTGATTTAGTTAATCAAGATGAAGAAATTGATAATCTCTGATGCATCACTTTAATCCAATGAGCTCATTTGAAGGTTCATCTTTTTACTAATCCATTTCTCTTTGTTTTTGTTTTTCCCAACATTCATCAATTAATGATACAAATCGTTTCTAATTATCAACAATTAAAGTTCTTGTTAATTTTTAACTCAACAATCAAGAAATGATCTAATCAAAATCGATTGTCAATTTTTGCTTTGCTAGTGTTTTTTTTTCATTTCCATTGATACTTTTTTTTGGTAATCAAGTTTTGTTGATTCTCTCTCACTCTTAATTGTTGGATAATCATCAACACCGTAATCCTTTTTTACTCACCTTAATCATGTTACTGTGATAATTGATTAAAAGCTCAGGTAAATAGTGATAATTAACAGATAATTAATATAACAATGACAAGGAAGAGTTTCCAACAAAAGGATTTGTAATAATGTAACAAACTAGTCAAAACTAACGAGTCTATTGTATTATTTTGGGTAACAATTTAATGCTTGTTTGATTATCTATTTAATTCACCCTGACCTTTAATCATTTGAAAGGAAAACGTCAACAATTAAACTCTATTATTACTTATTATCAGATTAACAATTTGATTCGGTGTAACCGGCAAAGTCACAACAACAACAACAACGATCCATAAATACCTGTTACCGTAAATCCAAGTAACACAGCAACAAACTGTCAACAGTTATCACAATTTACTAATGATAATCAGTAAATTGTTTATCAGTTAATTATTTAATCCATTAGCTCAATTAAGGTGTCAAAATTAAAAGATGAACGGCCAATTGAATCTCATTTGAGCTTCGAACTGATGAAAATGAAAATCAAATTGGAAAAACAAATTTCATCTTAAAGACGAAGATTATTGTTTATTGTTTTGATGATTTTACCATGTTTTTGATTGTTAACGATGAAGAAGATGAAGATGAAGATGAAGATGATGATGATGATGATCAGATAAGCGTGATAATAGGCACATAACGATTTCTAAATAAAGAAAGAGAGAAAAGAAAAGAAAAGGCCTCAGAATTGGTGATGATGACAAAGAATCCGAGTTAAGTGTATAAAATGGGCTGGATTTGGGTATCACAAACACATAATAAGCATCACTTTTTGTAGGTCAAATTGTAACGGGAGGTCCGATGATGATAACAATTATCCAGGTCAGAAAAACGGGAGAGACCCGATGAATCGTTGACTCAACTGAGAATCATCATTAACCATCAACATCGCATCAACAAGGTAACAATAATTTAGTGAAAATGTTTCGTCAACGTTACTATTAATTACTAATTAACCGTTAATTGGTATTTCCTAAGTTACGAGTGGAAACAATTAATTGATTGGTGATGGTGACATTAGTTAAGTGAAATATAAATTATGTAAAAAGTGAAATCAATTGTAGATCAAAAGTTAATTGATTAATTTTCCAATTCTTCTTCTTGTTTCCCGGTTAATTGTTTACCTTTTTCTCTGTAATCAGTTGTATGATCGGTCGAGTTTCATCAAATGGATTCAATTTATATTCAATTTGTGATTATCTCCAAATTGGATCATCATTTGATTTAATCAGTGATGATTCTGATGATGAGGAAGATAATGATGACAATAGTGATTCTGTTTAAAATGTGATAATCAATTAATCAACTAAATTGTCTTCTAAATGTAAAATATTTATTTCTTTTTCTCATTTGTTTGCATTGAACTTTTTTCGTTTGGAAATTTTTTTATTCCTTCTTTTTATAATCAAGAACAATTTAATTTAGTTCTAAGTGTAATTAATTGTTGTACTCGAGACGATGACAGTTCAACATACAATTGGAATCTTTAATTACGATGGATTATCTTCAATTAGTAGTTTAGTTAAATTGTTACTTTTGATGTTAATTTTTTTCCATTCAACTGTAAGTGGATCGGAAAATCGTACAGCTAAACAATGTGAGTTTCGGTGATTTTTTTCATGTTAATTCTGAATTTCTTTGTTACAATTAACTTATTTTCCATGTTTACTCTTAATCAGCTTCTATTTTCTCAGGATTTAATATTAACTTTTGTCGAACTCCGGACGGAATTCCAGGGGAATGTGGGGACATTCGTCGATGTATTTGGCTTGTGTTCGATGTTCAAAGACTTCGACAATCAGTTTGTTTCCGTAATCTTTTATTTCCAGGAGTTTGTTGTCCTAATCCGATTCCAGGAATTCAGGTAATTAATTCATAATTCATCATGAATCCTCTTTCAAATTCTTGCTAAAATGTTATCATGATTCAATAATCACGAGAGAATCAGTCTAATTGTCACAATCAACAGAGAGATTTAGGTTAATGTAATGTGACAATTTCACTTTGACATTTGCAAAGAAACATGAAAATCAAACTGATTAGTTAACTAATTGTTTTCTCCTCTTCTTAATGTTTCTCTAAACCATTTACAATTTAAATCTAAATTGTTAGCCACCAAATCAACCACCAATTTTACCTTCTTCAAATGGTCAACCACCAGTTTTAACATCTCAACCATCAACAACATCAAATCATCAAATCTCACCGAGCCAATCATTTGTTTCCCACCCAATTAACTCAATCTCAGTGACCACTAATCGTCCATCAATTTTAATTACAAATAAACCTTCATCCTCATCGGGTGGTAATCAATATGAGGTTATTAATAAACCAAATCGTCCTCTTTGGACAGTTTCATCAACTTCGACCACAACAACACCGACCACATCGATTTCAACATCATCGACAACAGTTTCACCCTTAATCTCAACATCATCATCAACAACAACCCGTCGACCAACCGGATCTTCAACACCATCAACACTTTACTCTAACAATAGTCTACCCGTTTCTTATAAAGGTAAATTTAGATTCCACAATTTAGCCGATTCAATGATTGACAATAATTTTAATAACTTTTTACAAGTACGGTTAATTGTTGAGGTAATTAAGTAATCAATTGACTTTCAATTGTTGAATAGATTGTGGTACATCAGGTAAAGACAGTCGCATTGTTGGTGGATTTGATGCTCGAACGGGTCAATGGCCTTGGATGGTAAGTTAATGATCACATTTAAGTTGTAATTAGTTAATTGTATTTGTCATCCTTCCCTCAGGCCGCCATTTTTCTGGATAAACCTAAAGGTCGTGAATTCTGGTGCGGTGGAGCTTTAATTAACGAGGAGTACATTTTAACCGCTGCTCATTGTCTTTCAGATCCTCGAGGATTCAAGTAAATTGAATTGAATCATAATCGATATTGAAATCGATTAGCTTGACGTAATTAAGGGTTAATTGATTTTCTATTGTCATTTTCTTTCAGGTATGTTACTCAACAGTTAACGATAAGATTAGGAGATAATCATTTATATCGAGATGACGATGGGGCCGTTCCGCAAGAGTTTAAGGTTCGAACTATTTATCAACACCCTGAGTTCCAACGACATGGATTTTTCAATGATATTGGTTTGATTCGGATTCAGGGAAGAGCTCGAATGGATGATTTTGTCCGACCGATTTGTTTGCCTTTAGGCGAATCAAGGACGAAAGATCTTAAGGGCTACATGGCCACGGTTCTCGGGTGGGGAACACTTTATTACGGTGGACCAGGGTCAGGGGTCCTTCAGCAAGTTTCAATGCCAATTTGGGATAATCAAGACTGTGATAAAAAATATTTCCAACCAATTAACAAAAATTTCCTCTGCGCTGGTTATTTATCAGGAGGAAAAGACGCTTGTCAGGTAATCACTTTCTTATCTAATCGCTGATTTAGCTACAACAATTTCATATCACTTAAATTGTTCAGAATCTCCAAACAATTAACTAAACTCTTCTTCTGGTATAAGAAAGATAATAACAGATGATTAACAAATGAGCTGCAGATAAAATGATGAGAAAACATTTCTCAAGTTCGAGTGATTAGACAAAAGATAACCGATGCTTGATTGATGTTCTCATGAGAATTGAATCAACTGGAGATTTGAAATTTCAATTATCATGTCACTTGTTTTGTTTCAGGGAGATTCAGGAAGTCCATTGATGGTCTCAGATCCCAATTTGAAGTGGACAATTTATGGCGTCGTCTCGTTTGGCAATCGATGCGCTCAACCGGGTTACCCAGGGGTTTATACTCGAGTTACTGAGTATCTTGAATGGATTGGGGAAAATATTAAACAATAATATCAAAATTTATGTAAAGGGTTTTATGTTTATTTGTCTGTGACACTGTTGATCTGCACTTGATGATTTGCAAATTGTCAACATTGACGAGAATCACGAGAGAAAAAGATAATCGAAAAAAGAAAAGAATAAAACATCAAAAAATATTAGAAAAAAAAATGGAATACAAAGAAGATAATTAAAGAGTGACACAGAATAAGTTACAAAAAAAGCCAAAAAACAATTAAATCAGTTAAGTGTACAGAAGAAAAAAAAAGAAAATATATTATTATAATAGAGTATAAGTAATTATTATCAAATGATAAATAATAAGATGATGATGAAAGAAGCAACGGAAGAAAAGTCATCATAGGATAATCCATCTTTTCCCCATAAATTATAACCCACAATGATTAAGGTTTTTGTTTAATTGTTGTGATTTGTTTTTTTTTGTTGCTTCTTTCTACATTAATATTAAGTAGCATTTTTTATATAATATAATATTTGTTAAAAATAAAATTGTATGTAAGTTTTCAGCTCTTTCTTTGTGTTTGTACAATAATTTGGTTTTGGTTTTGGTTTATCATTTAGAGTTTCGCTTTTAGTTTGGTTACCGTTTCTTTGGAATAGAATTTGGGTTTTGTTTTTTGGTAATATAATAATAGATCCTTTTCGATATAATCTTTAGATTAATTTACATAAAGTGTGTTGAGAACGAGAACGTGATGATTATTTTTGGCCAATGTAACAATATAACCTTCCGAGGTGATCTTGAGACCACAGCAACGGGAAACTTTAACATAGGGACACTCAAATTCGCTGATAAAATTACCAGATTTGTCAAACACAACAACATGGAAACGATTACCATGAGAGTCTCCAACCAGAATATCACCAGCATCCGAAAAATCAATACCATTTGGATAATCTGTAATTTTCTCTTTACCAATTCGTCTTTTAAATTTACCGTCTTCGCCGAAGACTACGACACAACTTCCTTTAAAGTCACAAACATAAAATTCTTTACCATTAACAGCGATGTCCGATGGTTCCCTCATATAAGGTGAACAATCAAACCAACGTAACAGTTCACCTGATTCAGCGATAACAAAAACAGTTGGAGAAACTGAATCAACAGCAACGATTAATCCTTTCGGTGTAATTGCTAAACCAGCAACAATATCAATATAACGAACTCCAATTTTACGAATAAATTGACCTTTACAGGTGAAAATTTGCATTCTGCTTCTTTCAACTCCTCTATCACAAACAACATAACGAGGTGTAACTATGCCAAGATATGGTGTACGAATCATAGCGACCTGAACAAGAGAAAAATTTTAAATATTGATTGAAAGGTAAATTGAGAGAAAAACAAATCACTTACTTTTCTTGGGTACCAGAGTTGTCCTTCATCTTTACCCTGTTCACCAAATTGGAACTTGAAATCACCACTTTTATTATAAACACATATTCGATGGTTATTGGTATCAGCAATAACAATATCTTCATCGACACCAAGACAAAAGCCATGAGGTGATGAAAAGAATCCAGTGGCAGCACCAAGTGAACCAAACTTACACCTTATTTGCATAACATTGCCCTTGTTAGGGTTTATAGATGAATGGATAGAAGAGGGAGGCACGGGAGAGACTAAGGGTCCAGTTGTGGGAGCACTTCCAGAACGGAAAGGAAAAGAGTTGGATGAGGGTTGATTTTCAATTCCATTGGTTGGATTGGATGAAAATTTGGCCATTTCATTCAAATTGTTCACTGAGTTATCACCCAAGGCAAGGCTCGAGTTTTCATAAGGCACTAAGGAATTAGAGATCAGTGGTTGAGGTGAGGGAGAATTTGAGATCGATGATGAGATTGAGGATAAACGAGGCTGAACTACCGCAGCAGCGGCTGCTGGGTTCTCATTGTAGAGCGCCAATTTAGTCAGGTTGACTCGAGTAATATAATCATTGAGATCCAAGTGATTAGAATTGGAATTTGTTGGAACAGCAATGGGTCCAGAGCGAGGCAATGAGACAGGAGATGCTCCTGGTAAAGAGGTAATCGTATTGTTATGTCCAAATGAATGTGCATGTAAACTATCTGATAAATTGTTATCATTGGACAATGATGGCGGCCCCCGACGCCGTAATGATTGAATTGGGGCTGAGCCAACAATAGGAATAGAGGTGGAATGATGTGGCAAAGATCGAGCTGATGGTGTACCTGGTGCAGTCGCATGGAGTGGAGTTGTAGTTAAATCAGAATCTGGGAATGTGAAGTCACTAGATTGGAAGCATGGAGTATCCTCTAAGTCAGAGTCATTGCAACCTTTAACCTTGAGATTTCCAAATAGATTTGATATCAAAACAGGCTCAACATTGGTTAAATCAACTGGATTGAAGACGATTTGATCACCTTTACCATTTTTCAGATTCTTTAAATTAATACCAACCGGACTGGACTCACGGCCGAAATCGAGGAAAGAGCTACTAGTGGGTGAACTGTTGCTTTTATCCGTTAAAGAACAAGTCAAAAAATCACTACCACTAACATCTTTAGAAGTGGTACCATCACCTCCAGAAACAAAACTGTTACCACTACCGTTACTTGAAGTTGTACCATTTCTTTGGCCATTACTTTCATGGCCATCACCAAAGTCTTCAATAAGCCCATCATTTTGATTAGCATGATGATTTGACAATTTCTCTGAAATTTTTTCACATCTATCAATTTGTCCCCAAAGCTGCATCCTCTTCTGATTATGAACTCTTCCCAAATCGTCCAACATTTGCTTGTAGCATTTGTCAAGAGCAGCTTTAATCGAGTGATATTGTTCATTAATGGCTTGTTCCACAGCATCTTTGTTCAAACTCAAATCATCTAAATCATTTTGTAACTCTTGGACCATAATCTGATAATCATTGGAAAATTCAGATTTACTCTTAACATCTTCCATGCTGAACTGTTGAGTAAAGAGAAAACACACATTAGAAATAAAGAATATTGACGAAAAGAAGGAAAAAATGAAGAGAGAAAAAAAAATGGAGAATCACAAGAAGAGGGAAATCAATGAAAAGAGGAAAAGAAACAGAGGAAATAAAATTGATGAAAAAACAGAAATGTACTAATCATTTACCATTTTAGATGAAACAGAAAAACAACAGATCAACAACAGTAATAGAAACAGATCAATTTAGATACAAAGAATAACACATTTGTAAATAATGACAAAAATAAATTCACAATAAAAATTAATAATTATTCACAGAGAAAATACTGTTAACCATCTATTGCATCATGAACTCATTGAAAAATGAGCATAATTATGAAAGGGAAAGGACAAAGAGCAAAAGCAACATTGAGATTAGAGAGAAACAGAGAGAAATCAAGAGAGAGTCGTGAGAGAGACAGACAGAGAATAGAGAGAGAATAATTCGAATAAAAAATTAAATTAAATTGAAGATTTACCTTGATTCTAAGTTGCTGGATTAAGCTTTTATTGTAGACAAAGAAAATAACCAATGACAATTAATGGTAGAGTTACAAAAATCGTTTGATCCAAAATTAAACAGGTTTAATCTACTCTAGTTAACAGATTGGTTGATCAATTGAGAGATGAAGGTGTTAACAGGGATGATGAAGATGATCCAAAGATGGAGATGAAGATGATGATGAAGATAAAGAGATTAAATTTATTACGGAACATCAAAGAAAAAAAAAACTTAAATCAGAATAATAAATAAATAAAAAAGAGAAAAAAACAAAAGATAAAAAGATGAGTCAATAGATCGAAGACAGAGATTGGAGAGGGAGGAAAGAGAAGACATTAAAATAGACAGAGAAAAGGGTTGACCGAAAGAGAAGAAAATTTTTTTTCTTTTTGTCGATGGAGGGAAAAGTTTATATTCTAAAGACAAAATTGCGTCTTAATTGTTGCGGTTCCAATTTCTTTGGTTTATTGTTTCAACTAATTGATTCTTTTTGTTTTGTCACTTGTTATATTTTTAATTGTGAATTGATTTACATTTAGATTTGGATTTAATTGGATTAGTTGGTTGATCAACTGTTAATTGTGATTAGATAAAAGCTACAAGGTTTTCAATTAGAATCTCTCTCTCTCTTTCTCTATAGGAGGTTAAGGTTCATTGTTTTAATGTTGATTTTATTTTCTATTCCAACAGGAAACAGATTGTTTTCTAATACCTGTTGATTAATTGTTGTTTTTTTTCGGTTAATTATGGTTATAAAAGACCAAACCAGTAAGTTGATTGCCAATTAATGTCTATTTCCCTCTTGTTTTTGATTCTATGTGATTCTGACTCTTTTTCTTTTTAGCTTCTTATACGTGTCAGGTGATGAATTTACTCAATTCTAAATATTAATCAACCAATTTAATGAAGATTACAAATTATATTCTTTAAATGAATCACAATTACTATTGGTATTGATTGATAAGATTAGTTGAGCTTCGTTAACAAAGATAATCAAATGGATTCAATTACCGTTTTAAACGAAAAGAGGGGATAATATTGATAGAATCTTAATTGTCATTAAAAGATTGATATTTAGAGTTGAGTAATAATCTTATAAATTGAATCAGAGACTCTCCTGGATCATCAAGGAATCAACAATCCATCGGACAAATCACATTGGAACATGGAAAATTCATCGGATTCTAACAAAGTGAAATATTTAAATTCTAACAAGGACCTTGTCAATTTGGAAAATATAAACGAGAGATAATCATCTTTGATTAGAGATTATGGAAAACAATCTCAGGAAACTATAAAATTCTAGTTGACACTTTTGTCTTCATTGTTTGATTGTTGTCTTGTTGTTTTTGTTACTCTTTCAATAGAGAATCGGACTTGCGATCTTGTGTCATCATAATTAGTAATTTAATAAAGATTTAATTTCTTTGTTTATCTTGTACAATCTCAAAATGGTTTAACAATAATAATTGTAATCAAAAAAAGTATAATGGTTTATCGTTAATCGAATAGAATTCATACTTTTGTTCTGACATTTTCTCTTTTGCTCTAATATTTAAGGTAATTATTATGATAAGAATTTAAATTTCTTTTTAGAATTTCGGTTTTTTGTTTATCTCATTCAGAGAGTGTTGAGAATCTTTGAGAAGTGAAAATTGTTAGAATAGTGAAAATGATGAAGATGCCAAAAGATGATAAATGGTTTTGTTTTAGAAGTTCAATTAACTGGATAATTAACTCGATTCAGTTTCAGAGACCATCATGTTGATTCCGAAGACACAAATGAGATAATCTTTATCCTTTGATTTTCTTTTTTCTTTAGACTTTGTAGCTTTTTTCCTTTGATTCCTTTGCTTTTTGTAAATTGATTCCTTTAACAACAGAGAAAATAGGATGATAAAGATGATGATTATATGGAAGAGATGAAAGAATCGGTCGAAGGATAAATTTTCAGGGTCAATTCGAAAATAGAAAATAGGAGAAAATTGTACTAATGAGCAATGATGATGATTCTAATTTGAATGTGGACCTTCCTGAAGAAGTCGCTCTTCTGAAAGCCGATCTGAAGGGAACAAGTGAATTAATTGATAGAGATGATGATGAATTTGTTGATAGATTAAATTCTGGAGATGCGATGAATTTTCTATCATTAATCAGCTCATTGGAACAATGAATTGTGTCCAATTCGGTTAACCAAAGGATGAGAGATAAGGTTAATATGGTGATGATTAATAAAAGAGTTAATTGTTTCGCTGTATTGAAAACTAAAGGACTCGAGGCCATTGAGGAGGTTGAGGTTGGGGTGCCGGTGGTGTTGGAGTTGGAGTTGGGTGATTTGGTGAATTCCGAGTGAACAGTAATTGCCACCATTGAGATAAATATAGAAGTAGATTTGGCTTGTGGTCAACAGGAACAGCAAATGATACGATTTGTAATAAAGTCTTTACTCAAATGGTCAGTTGATTAAACGCCATTAGAGTTTAGGGCGATAACGAGGGAAAAAATATCGATTCTCTTTCATTTGGCTTTCGAAACAAGATGATAAACATGTCGTATTGATCCAACGGTTAATATAAATCTCTGGTCAAGTGGTCAACAGGATAAAGTATTTGGGTAACAATTAATAGCAGTAAATTTGAGAGGGAAGATGATTGAATGGACAATGGAGACAAAAGGAAAGGTGAGAAAAGGGTCAAGATTAAGGTTTTGTTTACATAGTTGAGTTTTGATGGTTGCTCGTAATTAATTGGTTTCTTTTTGATATCTTAATCACAAATTATACTCTTTATAGATTTTTTATTAACAGGATTAGAAAAATTTCCAATTGGTATAGATAAACACGAGACTGGTTGAGATGTTCAATTGTTGATGGTTCACTTTTCATGATAAAAATATTGATATTTTTCAGAGATGTTTGGGTCTTGATGATGATGATTCTCGAAGAAAACAAGAGGATTTACAAATTATAATCAACTAATCAATCAATCAACAATTGAAAAGGTAGAAAACATTTCCATATAAACATCTGATGAAGAAGTGATGAGAAAATAAAATTAGTCTGATTGCAAGTTGAGATGAAAATGTAAACAAGCAAAGACTATTTGAAGAGCCAAATTGATGGACAAAACCCAAAGATCAAAAGTCGAGGGTCAAAATCAAAGTACAATTTAAAGATTTTATAAATAAACAATTAAAGATGTAACACAATACATAGAATAGAAATGATTAAATAACAATAATAAAGAAGAAATAAACAATTAACAGAGAGAAAAAATGAAAACTGTGAGAGAGAAGCAAAGAGACAATAACAAACAGGGAAAAGTAAACGAAATGAGGTTGGAAGAGAAGAAGAAGATGATGAGAAGAGAATAGAATTAAAGAAAGAGATGAGAGAGATGAAAGAAAGAGGAAAATATTGTAGGTCAGAATTGATTTAGTCTATGACCTTCGATCGATTTACAAAATTCTCACCATGATGATCAACATTTTCTCTGATAATCCGGTAACAGCGCAAAGAAGATGTTCAATTGCACCGACTCTCTCACTCGTCGAATCAGCAATGTGAGTGTTAAGATGGCGATTGGAAGATAAAAAGATGATCTAATTTGTCTTCATCTTTATCTCCATCCTCTGATTAGTTCATTTAGCAGATTAACATAATGTTTACAATGAATGAAATCCTCGAAAATAGATTCAAGGCAATCAATTGATTTATTCATTTTCTCACTTGTTGTGGATAAATTGTTTATCTTCATTAGCTCTCTCTCTCTCTCTCTCTCTCTTCTCTCTCTCTCTCTCTCTCTCTCTCTCTCTGATGATTAGTTGTGTATCTAATTGTGATTTAAAAGTGATCAGCAATTGATTAATTATCGAGAAAGTTTAAAGTTCTGTTATTAACCAAAACTGTTGAAATCATTTTGGTTGAAAAGTTCATTAAATTTTCCTCTCGTTAATTGATTGTTGATTGTGTTATTTTAGATTTGTGAGAAACTAAATTAACTGTTAACTATCAACAATTAGCTGATTGTTGATCTTTGATTTGGTAGATTAAGAAAATGTTAACACCGGATAATTGCGATACACTTTTATTCAATTGTATCTCATATATTTTCACATTGATATGAGTTAATGGTCGCAATTTAATCGTATATTTAACATTGTGATTGAATTTAATCATGAAAAGGGAAAATGAATTGAACGTTAATCAAATAAGAAGAGAAAGAAAAAAATATCAAGAGATTACCAAAGTAATTACAAAATAATTGCCACTGAGAATAAGTTATCGACTTATTTGAACAGAGGAAATCGGGAGAAAGGAAAACAAATCACAGAATAATTATACAGAGAATTAAAATTAATAATGATTGGGGAAAAAATTGATTGTTTAAGAGACGAGTGATTAACTTGAACGAATTGGAATAAGCATTTGACGAGAATTGTCATTCTAATGATGACAATTTGTTTTTTTTTCAATTTTCATCATTTAGCAGCGATGATACAGTTAATTTAATTTGATGAGAATTTGATTAGTTAAGGTGTTCAGTTAATTGTCTTTCGATCCATAAAATAATAGCTCAGGTATTTGTCCACCATGAACATTGGTTCCATTGGTGCTGTCGGATGAAACATGGAAGTTGAATGTTACTTTATCAACGGTCACTTCGTTGAGTCCATCTTGTCCAAAGAAACTCAGTTCATTTCCGTCCAGAACAACTGATGCGGTGTAAAATGTTTCCGCTTCCACTTGGATAGGATGTTGAAAGAAAACACGAAAAGTGTTACTCGACCCGTCAGAGAAAAATTTTGTATTATTTTCAGCCAAAACTTTGCCCATTCTCTTTAAATCCATTTTGACCTTATAATCAGCGGCAGCGTTAGATGAACCATAAAGCCCAAAGCCAACGATGAAAATGCGACGATCAACAGTAAATTGAATAGAATCACATCTTCCTCTGTATCTCCACTGATTATTTCGATAGGCTGATGATTGGAATCGATGGCAAATTTGAACCTTTAATCCTAAACGCTTCTTGGTTGGGAAAGACAGAATTGGTTTATTTCGAGCGGTGAAATAGAGGAAAATGTCGGTCGTCTCTTCAAGGCTTAAAAGCCCTGATTGGGCTGGACCATTGGCGAATTCTTCTAGACTCATTGTTGGTATACGAATGAGAAGTATAGCTTTATCCAGAATTTTCCTTTGGTTATCGGGTGTTGGCTCAATGTTTCGTCGAGAACATTCAACTTTAGCCCAATCGAGTGTTGCATAGAAGATGGAAACTTCTTTGGCATTGAGAGTCTCTCAATTATAATGGTAATCATCTTAAATTGCGTGATTTTCATCAACATAATGATGATTAAATTTTCTTAATTATTTCAATGTTGTAATGATGGAAAAACAATAAAATCAGAAGCCTTAACTGTAGCAATTAAAACTAATTGAAATATAAAGATGATCTAAACGGAGTGTCAGCCAACGAGTATAACGGTTATGAACAATTAATTAACTAACCAAAAAATGAATTAATTCCCACAACTTGATGCACAATTAATATTTTCGTGGGTTCATTAATTGTTTACTTAAATTGGATCGTAATTACCTTAATTGTAATACAGTTAATCATTGCAAGAGTTACAGAGATCATTTTTAAATAAAGTGTTACATTTAATCAGTTTAAGATATTTTTAAAATTAACTTGATTGATGGTTGAATCAAGGTTGTTGATCAGACAATTAATGAAACAATTAACTGGACAGAAATGATTGGCAAGAAAAAAATTGATTAAATGAAAAAAAAATCCAATCAAAGGAAAACCTTCATTGGACTTTAATTTTTTTCTGATTATTCTTGATCATCACAACAATTAGATCAGAAAAAGTAAACAAAAAATTTGATTGACTGGCTCACAATTAAATCTTCAACGTTAATTCAGGTCAGAAAAGCTTAAGTTAATCATTTAAAGTTAAGTTCAATCGTTAATTGTTGGTTAACTAAAAGGATGGAATTGAAAAAAAATCAAATCAATGAGAAAGGAAAACATTGATTAATTGTGAGGAAGAAAAGATTTTTTTTACAATTAAAAAGGTGTTAATTAACTAAATTGTAACCGAGATTTTGAAATTAACCTCATATTTAATTGATTTTAATCAAACAAACCACAATAAAAAAAGAGTTAATTGTTGACTCATCCCAGTACTTAATTGCTACAGATTATTAATTTTTATTGATTGTCCTGGTCACAATTTAATCAAATTGACTATAATAAAATAAACTCTGGATTGGAGGAAACTTTAAGAAATTTAATAAATTGTTGTTTAAATTTCCTCGAAATCTAATATTATTGATACTTATTGGCATCAATCAATTGTAGCAATTTACTAATTATTGATGAAACATATGGGATGAATTGATCACTGTCAATATTGATTCAAAGTGTAGCCTTGCCTGTTGATAATTAAATTAGTGATCAGTCTTTTCATTTTGGTAGCTTAATTTGATTGTAGGCTGGTTAGTTAATTAGTATGTTGGTGGTTAGTTGGTCTACAAGGTTAGTTAATTGTTTATAATGAATTGAATTCGGAGAATCATTTGAGGTGTTGATTACAATTAAGTATCACTCAATGAGAGAGAGACAAGGTCAACAATCAATTTTATAAAATTATGTTTACTATTTTTACTATTTTTACAATTTACTAATTTCTGTTTTTAATCATCTACAATCAACAGCCATGAAAGTCATTGATCTTTTTACTCTCTGTGAGCTTTAGTTGATTGAAGATGAATTCAATCAAGACAAGGCCAGTAAATTGTTGTTTAAATTATGATGATACTTGGAGAGAAATTGAATTTTGTAAATCTAATTGATCAGTTAATCCATATGATGGTCAGTTAACAATTAAAAGAGCAAATCAAATATTGTTTTTCCAAAATTTTCAATCAAAACAATAATCGTGTTAATTGAAATAATAATAGAAAAAAAATAAAAAACTCAACTCAAGAACGAAGTATTAATGATTCCAAATAACGTTTCAGTTGATTTTGATTGTAAACAATTAGACAAAAATAATAAGAACGAGATGTGAAACAATCAAGTTTTTAATTACATTCAAGGTTAGTAAACAAAACTAATTGACTTTAAATCATGATTCTAAATCGGTTCATCTTGATTGTTAAGCTTGTCAAATAGTAAAATAAGGATACACAGATTAACTATTAGTGAGAATTAAACTAAATACATTTAAAACAATTGAAATTAATCACAAAAGAAATGAAAAAAGGAACAAGTTTAAAGATTAGATGATTTAAATTGTTGAATATTAATTGTGATGGATTTAAAGTGAAAATCAGATAGACGCGCCTTTCGAGCAAATCTAATAGTTGATGTAAATCATCAACGATAATCAAGTAAATTGTTAAAATAATCAAGGTCGCGAGGTTAGGTAAAAGATAATCAAGACTAATTGTTTTCTTTTCTTTTCTAATTGTGAAATGTTGATCATTTTTCTAATTCTATCAATCGTTTCTCAAATTATTTCCTTTTCATTTGTTTTTCTCTTCTCATCAGAATATTGATAAATTTATCTGTTAATCAATGGAATCATGATGATGATGGAATATGGAGGAATAAAAAAGAAATTAAAATGAAATTATTCCAGGTAAAACACGGAATTTTCATTCTTTCGAAATTAATCGAATTTTCTTTCCTTTACAAAACAATATAAAGAAAGGAAAGTAAAAAGTAAAAGTGCAAATAGAGATCAAGAATAATAACAAAAAGGAGCATTTCTTTCATCATCGTTTTACATTTTGACCTGAAGCTTCATGACCTCAGGCTAATCGAATGGAAAAGGAAAAGCTGATAAGCTTGTAAGCTATTAAAAAATCACGTTAACAAGTTAATTTGAGGTAAAAGAAATTGGATAATAAATTGGATAATTATTCTAATCACATTTTCGCGTCTTTGTTATATTTCAAGTTCAATTGATTTTCCTTTTAGAAAAAAGAAAGTAAGGAAAATTACCTGAGAAGAGCAAAAAAAGCAGCAGGTTCCACATCAGGAATTTCAATTTCACTTGAAGATTCAGCTAATCCACCATAGAACATGGCAAAAAAAACTGCACTCCCGGTGGCAAGAACATACTTATGGGCAGGTATCTTTTGTTGGGACCCTCTTGGCCCTACAACGAAGGTAATATCACTCATAAGATCATTGTTGAACATGGCTGCGTTTCTTTCACGAACATTGGTTCGGTTCGCCTGCCAATTGGGATCTGCGGTGACTTCGGGACCCGAAGCCAAGGGTATTGGAGAGGTACCAATAGAATTGGTGTGTTGACTTGTTGGTGAGGGTGGTGGTGAATAGGAAGGCTGAGAAACGCATTTAAATGAACTGTTGTGACTTGTGTTGATATTATTTGTTGTTGTATTTGTGTTTAAAGATGAGGATTGAGATGATGAGGATACACAGGTTGAATTAAGTGATGATGGATAAACATTTGGAAATGGATTCCTTGAGGTTTGACAGGGATTATCTTCATTCGTATTACTGTTGGTTCCATTGTTACTCATGGATCCACTTGAGTTTCCATTGGAATTATTATTTCCATGATTAGTTGATGAACGAGCTGAGGGAAAAGAATTTACCAGATCTGGTCGAATATCTCCTACGCTTTCAACTGATCGGCTATTTGGAGGGGAGATCATTGGTTGGAAAGAATTACTTGGTAACAGAGATAAAGGGTTAATGATGATCCTTTGTGAAGATGATAAATGTTGAGAATGAATTGATTGGTGTTGATTTTGATTACAATCAACTGTTAATCCAATTGATCCACTTTGTTGATGATGATGATTAGTATTGGTATTACTTGAACCTGACGATTTCCTCTGAGTATCAACACAACACGATTCGTTTTTACATAGAATCAAATCTGATGGTAATTGATGATTAGATTTTTGTTGTTTTTGTTGGTGAGGATGATGACAAAGGTGATGGTGATAATGTCCAGTTGATAATTTGGACATTAATGTTTTATGTTGAATAATATTTTCCAATGAGAGAAAATGTTAGCTCACCTGAAGCAACAATGGATTAAGAAAAATATTATTATGAACCATTTCTGATTGGATTTCGTTTTCAAGGATTTTCAAAAATTTAACGTGAACATGATCGTGTATTACACTATTTGATTAGAGTGAAGCTTTAATCATCAAAACAAGAATTATAAACGAAACAAAATGATGAGAAAAGAAAGAGATAAACAAAAGGTAAGAGAGAAAAAAGAATATTCTGTTTCATATCGAGAGATGGAGCCACTAAGAGAAAAGAATTTCAATTAATAAAATTTAATTATTTCGACATTAAGATCATTAATAACGAAATTAAATATTCGAGCCTCGATTTAAAAGTCCAAAGAATTCGAAATATTCAATCTTAGGAATCAACTTCATGGATATTTTACAATTTCATTTTTGAAAAATTCTAATTTTTTTCTATGAAAAGGAGACTTGAATTTCTATGCTCAAAATCAATGTTATCAAAGAAAAACAATCAATCGAATCAAACAATTAAGCTCATCTTTTTTTTCCTCACAGAGATTAGCTAATTACTGATTAGAAAAGAGAAATGAAGATCAATCTACTCTTTGGTCTAAGGGGAATGAGGAAGAGACAAATAGGAAAAAACTTCTATCTTGTTGTGATTCTGCTCTTTTTCATTTGTTGTTTTTTCCTTTCATTCAGTTGATTTGTTATTCTTTTCGTTTTTTAATTTTATTCATTTTTTTTTCTTAATCAACTAATACATTTTTTATTAATTTACTTGATAGTTTCTTCAATTCGACAAGTGTTTAAATCGATTGTAAGTAATAATCAGAATCAATTAATATCCATTGTGTTTCTTTGTTTGTTTTTTTCTCTAATTTTCTTGTGATCAGCTGTTTGGATTGAATTATTTTCTCACTTTACTCAATTGTATCAATAATAACTAATCAACATCTCTATCATTAGGTGTAAATATCATTAATCTTTTCCTGGTGATATTTAGTAAAGATTAGGTGACAACTGTAAGTATTAAAGATGATTGATACCAAATGCTTTTCTATAAAGTGTTTTGAGTCTTGTTTATTTTCAATTTTATCTCTTTAGGAATCGATTGGATTTATTATCATGGACAAATTCAGTTTAGTTATATTTGGTTCCTCTGGTTATACTGGAATCTATGTGGTCGAAGAGATATTTCGTTATTTGGCTAAACATGGACCTAAATTTACTTGGGCAGTCGCTGGTCGAAATGAAGTTAAACTTCGTGAGTGTTTGGCCACATCGCTTGATTATGCTGGTATCAGGGATTATGATATATCCTCTGTCGAGATAATCAATGCCGATACAAATGATTACGATTCTCTTGTCAGGATGGCTAAAAAGGCTAAAATTTTAATCAGCTGTGTTGGACCTTATCGGAGCTTCGGAGAGCCGGTAGTGAAAGCATGTTTCTATCTTGTTGTGATTCTGCTCTTTTTCATTTGTTGTTTTTTCCTTTCATTCAGTTGATTTGTTATTCTTTTCGTTTTTTAATTTTATTCATTTTTTTTTCTTAATCAACTAATACATTTTTTATTAATTTACTTGATAGTTTCTTCAATTCGACAAGTGTTTAAATCGATTGTAAGTAATAATCAGAATCAATTAATATCCATTGTGTTTCTTTGTTTGTTTTTTTCTCTAATTTTCTTGTGATCAGCTGTTTGGATTGAATTATTTTCTCACTTTACTCAATTGTATCAATAATAACTAATCAACATCTCTATCATTAGGTGTAAATATCATTAATCTTTTCCTGGTGATATTTAGTAAAGATTAGGTGACAACTGTAAGTATTAAAGATGATTGATACCAAATGCTTTTCTATAAAGTGTTTTGAGTCTTGTTTATTTTCAATTTTATCTCTTTAGGAATCGATTGGATTTATTATCATGGACAAATTCAGTTTAGTTATATTTGGTTCCTCTGGTTATACTGGAATCTATGTGGTCGAAGAGATATTTCGTTATTTGGCTAAACATGGACCTAAATTTACTTGGGCAGTCGCTGGTCGAAATGAAGTTAAACTTCGTGAGTGTTTGGCCACATCGCTTGATTATGCTGGTATCAGGGATTATGATATATCCTCTGTCGAGATAATCAATGCCGATACAAATGATTACGATTCTCTTGTCAGGATGGCTAAAAAGGCTAAAATTTTAATCAGCTGTGTTGGACCTTATCGGAGCTTCGGAGAGCCGGTAGTGAAAGCATGTATTGGTAAGTGTTTCATTTACTATTATCTAACATTTGCTATGAGAGAATGTAAATTTATTTTTGGTTAATTGTTTTTCTGTGTTGTGATTTCTTATAGAAAGTCGAACTGATTACATTGATTTCTCTGGTGAACCCCAATTTCTGGAGGAAATTCAGATGCGATATTATGATATTGCTCGTGAACGAAATCTTTATATCCTTCCATCCTGTGGATTTGATAGTTTACCTTGTGATGTTGGTGTTGAATTTACTAAATCAAAATTTCCAGGAACTCTTGACTCTGTTGAAACCTTTTTGTCCGGAAGCTTTAAAAAAGGATTGAAAGCAAATTCAGCTACATGGGATTGTATAATTGAAGGTTTCCACCATTCCCATGAATTGAGGCCACTTAGACGTAAACTTTTCCCACAAGTTTTTGGGGACATTCAACAATTTAAATCTCGATATCCGATTGCGAGACGAGTTTTATACCGAGATGAAAATAGTAAACTATACATTCCCTTTTTGGGCTCTGATCGATCAGTAGTTAAACGATCTCAGTTGCATTCTTATAATTTCTTCAATTCGAGACCCGTTCAAATGGAGGCTTATACATACATGCCGATGAAGGCAATTTTCCAGGCCTTAATCTCGGTAGCGTTGTTTATGATTATGGTTCCATTTCAATTCGGTCGTAAATTATTACATGACTATCCAAGTTTTTTCACTTGGGGACTATTTTGGTAAAAACTATATTTTTGATTGTTGATTTAGTCCATTTTTCTAAACTTTTTCTTCTATTATTATTGTTATAATTTAGTCGTGGAGGTCCATCCAGAGACCAAGTACTCAATTCTTCATTTGAAATCATCATCAAGGGCAGAGGATGGAAAGAGAGACTCGCTGATCCCTTGGAACAACCAACAATACCTCCCGATGGTAAAATTATCACTCGAATCACTGGACCTAATCCAGGTTATCCAACGGCGGCCATTTCAGCTCTTTGTGCCGGTGTTACTTTACTGGAAGAACGCGATAAATTACCTGGAAGTGGCGGTGTATTGACTCCCGGTGTTGCCTTTGCGAAAACCTCGATTGTCGATCGGTTAAGTGTAAACAGAATCAAATTTGATGTTATATCAGTTTCATAAATCCAAATTATTTTTCCAATTTTTATCCATATGGGTTGATGATTGTTCGTGAAAAGCATTTAATATTTTTCCATCTCAACTAAATTTAATGAAGCATTAAATTGTTCACCAGGTAACTGTGATATTACCTCTGGAAATAAAGTTAATTTAATCAATGGAATAATAAATTTCATCACTTTGTGAACACGAAATCTGTCATATACTAATTGAATTTCTCGAGAAAAACATGGTGCTCAGAAAATTCCATTGAATGGATGGAGAAGAGAGAAAAGAAGTTTTGTCGAAGTGTCAATCGTTTGAAATTCGTTCGAGAAGAAAATGATGAAGACAAAGAAAAAAATTCTCTTGTTATGATTCTGCTCCATTCATTTGTTGTTCTTTTTTAAATGACAGTTTAATTTTCTTTTTTTTTCTTTTTTTAATTTGACTCTCTTCTTATTTGTTAACAATTAATTTTTTAATTCTCTAATTAGTCAATTAACTTAGTGGTGTTAAGTTCTCTGAGTGTAATTACAGCGATCAAATGTCAATCGTTAATCTGAGCTTTAGCTTTTAAATCATTTTCTTGTGATCAGCTGTTTGTTTCATTAAATTGTGTTTTTCTTGTTTCTCTCAATTACATTAACCATTGTCCAATTGCGATTTGATGTTTGATTGATACATCACTTTCTCCATGGCCAATATCAGCAGTTATAACACCGACATGGGCTTTAATGGGGAAGATAATATTGATGTTGATTTTACAAAACGGGAACTACAACAGAAACACTACCGATTGTTGAATGAATTACAGACCATGTCCAGTGAAATACCAATGTAATTGAACAATTGATTATGATCTCAAATGCTCAATTTAAATAATTAGTTAACCAGTTTATTTCTCTCTCTGTTTTTTTACTTATTCTAGGGAATATCAACAGAGAATTCCTCATGAGCTGCTCTCAAGTTTGGCTAATTGTCTTCTCGATGATACCATTTTCCAAATAGTTAACGGGCTCCGAGATATTCAACAATTAACTGAGAAAAATTTATTCGAAAAACGCATGAAAACATTAGAAGGACTTAAAGGTAAGTCCATAGATCAATGGATTACCAAAATTATGAGATTTGAACGAATCGTAAATTGAAATTATCATATTACATTCTTTTGCTTATTCCTCCCTTGTAGCTAGAAAACTATCTCTACATAAAAGTCACAAGGAACATATCGCTGCTGGAACCATGACCATGGACCAAGTTCGTGATGCTGAAGATGCTTTCGAAGTTCAAATGTGTGAAGAAATGAGAAAATTTGATATGGAACTTATCATGGAATTGGATCAAATTGTCTCCGATCAACAAGTTACTCTAGAAAGAGCAGGAGTTCCAGGATTTCATGTAACTAATAAACCAAATGAGATTAAATTACAAATGTATTTTCTACAATTTATTCTAAGTCTTCATGACGATGTTCAAAAGTATTAAATAAAACAAAAAGAATTGAATAAAAAATAATAAATTGCACAGAGAATTTTTTTCTCTACCCTCACCAGATGGCAGCACATTCGAATTCGGAATAAAAGATCATCTTTTTCTAGTAACACTGACGTGTATTAGTGTATTTACTTTGTAGACTCACATTAATTTGACAATCGTGTCTTGATTAGTTAAATTCAATTAATTTAGTATTTATTTGTAGGTTTATTGATTTACCTTTGTTTAGTGATTGTTCCCTAGATTGAGATTAAACATGTTCTGGAGGTGGACTTTATTTTGTGTCATTGTCTTATCAAATTATGTGACCGCCGGTGATGATGATGTATTAGATTTATCTAACAATGATTTGGATGGATTCAAGTCGGAATTAGCTAAATATGATACTGTCTTGGTTGAATTTTTTGCTCCTTGGTGTGGTCATTGTAAACGATTGGCTCCAGAGTATGCTAAAGCTGCCACTGCTTTACTTGCTAACGATCCAGCCGTTCCTTTGGCTAAGGTTGATTGTACCACAGACAATGGTAAGGAAATTTGTTCAACTCATGGTGTTTCTGGTTATCCAACTCTTAAAATTTTCAAGGCTGGTGAATTTGCTTCCGAGTATAATGGACCACGAGAAGCTGATGGTATTGTCAAATATATGAGAAGTCAGGTTGGACCTGCTTCAAAATCTTACACTTCTTTTGCCACCTTGAACGATAAGTTGAAGGCTGCCAAAGAAGTGACCATTGTCGGTATTTTCAAGGGTGAATCTGATTCACTTGCTACTAAATTCCATAAGACTGCTGACAAATTGAGAGAATCAGTCAATTTTGCTCATATCTATTCTAGTTCAGCTTCCGATGATGTTGCTGCTCTTTCCGTTTTATCCAAATCTAAAGTTTCAGCCCCAGTTGTAGTCCTTGTCCGACCTTCAGCTCTTGCTAACAAATTTGAAGACTCTGCTGTTGTGTGGGATGAGAGTGGCTCTCTTGAAGATTGGGTTAACACCAACTATCATGGTTTAGTCGGTCACCGAACTCAATCTAATATGCAAGATTTCAAACCTCCTCTTGTGGTTGTCTACTATGACGTCGACTATGTCAAGAACCCTAAAGGTACTAATTATTGGAGAAACCGAGTCCTTAAGGTTGCTCAAAATTATCCCAAAGTTAAATTTGCCGTCGCTAATTCAAATCAATTTGCTGGAGAAATGGAAGAATTTGGTTTGGAACAAGATCGATCAGGTCGTGATGCTGTTCCTGTTGTTGCTGCTCGAGATGCTGAGGGTAAGAAATTTGTTCAAAAAGAGAAATTCTCAATAGAAAATTTGGAAGCCTTTGTCAAAGATTTCGTTGCCGGTAAACTTGAACCCCACCTTAAATCTGAAGAGATTCCCGAAGACAATAATGGTCCAGTTAAAGTTGCCGTTGGTAAAAACTTTGATGAATTAGTAACAAACAGCAAGAAAGATGTTCTTGTTGAATTTTATGCCCCATGGTGTGGACATTGTAAAAAGCTTGCCCCTACTTACGAAGATCTCGGTAAAGCCTTAGCCGAAGAGACAAGCGTTGAGATTGTCAAAATGGATGCTACCGCTAATGATGTTCCATCAACATTTGAAGTTCATGGATTCCCAACAATCTATTGGTACCCAAGTGGAACCAAATCACCAGTTAAGTACAATGGCGGTCGAGAAGTAAACGATTTCATCGAATACATTGCCAAGCATTCAACCGAAGAGCTCAAAACTTACACCCGAGACGGCAAGAAACGCAAAGAAGAGCTTTAATCTTCATTTTAGACTGAGAATTAAACAAAAAATTAACCAACAATTAAATCTAAAAAAAATAAATAAATGAAACATTTGAATAATTTTTGTTATACCAAATAAAGACTAACACACATGTTTAGTTAAACTAAATCAACGTTTCATTTCATTGTAATTCTTCAACGTTGTCAACCTTTTCGCATCAATTATCCTTCTCAATGTTAATTGTTACAATTGGAAAATTAATCCACCTCAAAATTAAGATGTGGCAGTTTACAAGAAAAGGACATTGATCTAACTGAGAATCCAGTTTGACTGGTTCTTTGTTTCCAAAGGATCAACAATCTATTTCTCAGTCGATGTCGCAAATCTTACAGTCTGAATGATTTTCTCTATCTCATTGACGGAATCAATTAAAAGTTAAGTGTCATCATTAGTTAATCACCATTATTATTTTATCTCAAATGTGATTGATAAAAAGTAAAAGTAATTGAGAAAATTGTATTTAGAAAATTGAATTAACCGCAAAGAGTTTAAAGTGCTGCCATCTGTTGGTTTGTTTTGTGTTCGATTTCGTAAATATTGAACATGTGATGTTAATTGTTGCCGAGGTTTTGTTTTTATTATCGTTTGGTGATTATTAATTATCATGATATTAATGTTTATTTTTTTATTTAATGAGACAGTTTATGAAAATTAAATTTCCATTGTTTACTACTCTTCTTGCTCAGTTAACATGTAGAACATTTTCTATTTTAAACGTTAATTCTATTTGTAGGAAAAATAATCCTCTTTTTCATTGTCCGGTTGATTCTAAATTTTGTAGCTCTAATTATAGATTTTCATCAACAATGGCTCCTGTTGATCATAAAAGTGGGATGGATATTCAAGGTGAAATCGAAAATCTTATTGTAAAAAATAGAGTAATGATCTTCTCAAAGTCGTGGTGTCCATTTTGTAAAAAGGTTTGTAATGTTTTCTGTTTTAATAAATTTGTTTTTTCGTTTCTATTTGTATCATCTGATTAATTTATTATTCTATTTTTTGCTTCTTTAGGCTAAAGATTTGTTTGATTCTATTAAAGTACCTTGGGCTGGTATTGAGCTTGACCTTCGGGAAGATGGTGCTCAATGGCAAGAGGGTCTTCTCGCTAGGACAGGCAAGAAAACTGTTCCACAAATTTTTGTCCAACAAAATTTTATCGGAGGTTGTGATGATCTAATGAAAGCCGCATCTACTGGTAATTTAAGTTTAATATTAAAACCTCGAGTTCGTGATTACGATCTTGTTGTGATAGGGGGTGGATCTGGTGGATTAGCTTGTGCAAAGGTAAAGCAATTAATCACAAAGCTGGTGTTTACCCATTTGTATCAGCAAATCAACTATGATCTCTAATTAGAATCTTTTATTTTGTTGGTTCGATCTAATAGGAAGCTGGTCGTCTGGGAAGAAAAGTCGCTCTCCTCAATTTCGTCGACCCATCACCGCGAGGGACAACTTGGGGAATCGGTGGAACCTGTGTCAATGTTGGTTGTATACCGAAAAAGTTACTCCACACAGCAGCGCTCATTGGACAGTCGATTAAAGATTCAAACTCGTTCGGTTGGGTCACTAATAATAACAGCTCTTTGGATATAAATAAAAGTAAATAGAGAGTATTACCAAATTGTAGATAATTAGATTGATTAATTTCTCTTGATTTTCAGATGTTCATCTGGATTGGAAAAAGCTAACTGGAAACATTCAAGCTCACATTAAGAGCTTAAACTTCAACTACAAGGTCACTTTACGGAAAAGAAATGTCGAAAATATCAACGCTTTCGGTATGTTCGAAGATCCTCACACAATTAAGGTAAGACTAAACTTATTCTAAAAGTTGGTCATCGTCTAATTGTAAATTCTATTTAGTTGATTGACTCTAAGAAACATGAAAGACTCATCACAGCAGATAAAATTCTAATTGCTGCCGGTACTCGTCCAAATTATCCCAAAATTCCTGGTGCAGTTGAATTTGGTATTACCAGTGACGATCTGTTCAGTATGCCTTATCCACCCGGTAAAACACTCGTCGTCGGTGCTTCTTATGTAGCCTTAGAATGTGCATCATTCCTTCAAGGCTTTGGTTTCGATACAACAGTTATGATTAGATCTATTCTACTTAGAGGATTCGATCAAGAATGTGCTAACCGCGTTGGAGAAATGATGCAACATGAGGGTATTCATTTTCTTCGTGACTGTGTTCCAACATCTATCGAACAGTTAAAACCCGGAGAACCTGGAGTTTTACGTGTTACTGGTAAAACGAATGAGGGTAAAATCGTAGTTGGTGAATACAATACTGTTGTTTTTGCTATCGGAAGATCAACTCGTCTTGATAAAATGAGAGTTGATAAAATTGGCCTTGAATTGGATAAAAGTGGAAAAATATTAATCAAAGATGAACGGTCGAATGTACCAAGTGTCTATGCGGTTGGAGATTGTACCGATATTAAATTTGAATTAGCACCTTTAGCAATCGAAGCAGGACTTTTACTCGCTCGTCGTTTCTACGCTTCTAGTACCATCAAAACTGATTATAATTTCATTCCAACCACAGTATTTACCTCAATTGAGTACAGCAGTTGTGGTTTCACAGAGGAGGAAGCACTCGAAAAGTATGGAGCTAAAAACATCGAGATTTATGTTCAGAACTTTACTCCTCTCGAATGGAGTTTACCACATCGACCCACAAACAAATGTTTCGCAAAATTAATTTGTGCAACCAAGGAAAATGTAAGTCACCAATTGTGCTTCATTCTAATAACGTAAATTCATTGATAACAATTAACATTTGCATCTACATTTTCAGTCGCGAGTACTTGGTATCCACTATGTCGGTCCAAACGCTGGTGAAGTGATGCAATTGGCAGCTTTGTGCTTGAAACGAGGTTGTACCAAAGATGAATTTGATGCTATGATCGGAATTCATCCAACCTGTGCTGAAGTGAGTAATCTAAACATCAATCACTTGTTGAACAATAAAACAATTAAATTAATTGCTGTGTCTCCTATTTTCTGTTCCAGATCTTCACCACAATGTCAATAACTAAAAGTAGTGGAGCCTCGGCCGATGCATCGGATTGCTGAGGTTAAAGATCCTCTCCAATATTTGGGCTTAACTTTACACGATTACAATTAACTAATCATGTTAATCAATATCTGTTACGCCCAAATTGGAGAGGATGGTTGTGTATTGTTTTTGTTACAATTTAATTTGATTACTATGATGATCAAAGTATAAAGCTTTTAAAGAAGTGCTTTGATTTGATGCTTAAATTGTTGGCAAAAAATGTAAACACAACTCAAGATTTTGTCTAAGTAAAAATAAAACTTTATTTGGATAGATTACAAAAAAATAGATAAATAATCAATTCAATATTAAATATATATTGTTAAATTGTAAATATTTGATAAAAGATAATTATAACCAACAAATAAAAAAAAGAAGATTAAATCAAGATCAAAAAAAAAGATGTAAATCAATTTGTATATTAAGCATAATCCATAGTTTTAACGAAACCAACAGCCGATGAAAATTGTGTCCACCAATAGGCCGGTTCACCTTTTAATTGTTTCTCGTAAAAACATTCAACATACTGTACATTTGATAAAAGTGATGATGGATTTGCTTTGATGAGGATGTAAACCAAAACGGGAATTAAATCATCGGCTGTTGGTATTGACTTTTCATTGGCGAGTTTCAATAAACTCATGATTATCTTACAACATTTAATTACACAATCAACCTTTTCTCTTGGTGTTTTGTACGCATTCAGTATAATTATTTGCTGCTGAGCCGCGGGCCAAGGGCACTCAGAGTGATATATATTTGGTATACGGAGATCATTATGTTCGGGAGTGATGACTTTCGATAGATTGTCAATATGCTGTTGAAGTATTTGATCACGAAGCACATCACCATCGCCATTTGGATATAAAGCATAGATGTAGATTTGACTTGTAACATGTCGTTCGATTAATTTCTTTCCGTGTTCAACTTGCTCTTCAGAAGCAATTTGCCAAACTGAATCAGTTTCCATTCCTTTGAATAGACTGAATAAAAATTCTTCAACCAATTGAGCCTTTTCATCGGAAACATTGGTTCCTTTAAATTGTTCAATAAATTCTTTGAGTGAAGCTTCTTTCGATTCCAAATAATAACGGACACACAAATTGACCAAATTGTGATTGATGTTTTTCTTATCCTGCCTTAGATGAGCTAGAATATTGTCAAATTGAGCAATTGTCGATAATAGACTTTGACGACAACGAATTAGATAAGCGATGTAAGGTGATCTTCGTTGATAATCCTCTCTAATTGATCTCAATAGTTTTTGACAATTATTCTCATCGTAAGATTTGATCGACGAATAGCTTCTTGTAAGGCCACTTTATTATTCGAGTTGTTCATATAATCAGCCTCCGCAAGTAAACTCTACAGCGAAAAAAAAGAGAAGGTGTAAAAAAACAAATGATTAGAATTTGATTTAGAAAATATAATCATTTAACTTTACCATTAAAAATCTGACAAGATCAGTATGAAGATTTGCTCCTGATGAAGTGGATGAAGTTCTGATGATTAATTCATGTGGTAAAGTTTGATCATGATCACCACATGATAATACATGTCTCAAAACCTTTTTGGTGTTTTCAAAGCTTTCAGATTCATCATTTGAATTGATTAAACTGGAGGTGTGATTTGATTTATTGCCTGAAGGTTCATCAAAATCAATTAATAGACTTGATTGATGTTGAGATACACTGGAATCTGGTTCATCATCGGATAATTGGTGTGTTGTTAGTGATGATAAACGATCAATTGTTAAACTGAGTAAATCTTGATCATTATCATTTGAAACCAAATCTGAAAAAATATCAGTATCATTTCTTGTATCTCCATCTAGATCATATGACGACGATGATATTGATCCAGTTTCTGGTGTCGATTTGCTTTTCCTGTTTTTACGTCGCGATGAGTTTAATACTTTATCTTCACTTAATAGCCCTTGATTGTGAGAGTCTTGAGTATAAGCAAAATTTAAGACGAGTACTTCAATTTTGGTGAAATCGGATTGACTTTTAGAGTTTACAGAGATTCCGTCAACATTGTCAGGAGGAAATTCTGATTCGGGTCGACGACGAGAAACACGATTGAGAATACTTTTCTTTAATCGAGTACTGTTTATATTAGTATTGACAGGAGATTCTTCATTGTTTCCAATTCCATCTCCTTTGATTGGTGTGTTTGTGGTTGACGATGATTCCATTGCTGATGCTGAGAGTTTAGTGAGAACTGATTCAGGAATTTTCGAGAGTAAACTTGTTAAAACACTTTTGGTTTCATGATCGTTACACGAACTGTTGACCTGGTGAAGAAAGTCCATCAATTGGTATAAATCTTGTTCGGTAATTAAGGCACATGTACGTAGGACATCAGTTGGTTTGTCGTTTAAAATTGGAGATTGATGATGAAAACCATCCTTTATGATTAAATCAAGAATTGAGGTAACACAATTAGGTGGAAAACGGGAGTAAACATCTTTGTATTTATGTTCAACGTTTTCCCATCTATTGATTCCCAAGATTTGAATTATCTGAGCAATTTGCATAAGATTAAAACGAGCAACATGATTTATGTGAGTATCCACAATACCATATAATTCAGGATCAACAATGGCGTGGCAAATGAAGTGAGAGAATATCAGATCAGAGCAAATACCACCAACCTCTTTACCATCAATTGGATCTGATTTACGGTCAATTAGGGCGATATAAAGGTGTCTAATTAACCAGCTAAGGCTATCAGGGAAACCGAAAATGTTGTTACTTATTCCATCAATGAATTTAGTGGCCAAATTTACTAATTTATTGATAGTAGATTGACGATGTTTCTCAAGGTTGAGATTATATTCTTCAGTATTTTCTTTACCAAATTGTTGAAACTTCTCTTCTCGGGTAAATCGGGTAAGAGCTCTTTCTGGATCAATATCGAGAAATTGATCATCTTCCATTAATAGAGACATAACTGGTTCACGAAGAGCAGCAATTAGAAATAATTTAGCTCCTCTAAGTGTGGCGGAGAAAATTTTGTAAACCTGACTAAAGGCACAGGATCCATGTTGAAGTAATCGCCTTGGATTCTCATCGATGGCGATCTTTTTGTAAATTAATTGTTGAAGTAGGGAAAGAACTAAACTTCTATCTTCAGGAAGTAAACAGTCACAATAAAGAGATGAGAGGATAATCGGAATAATTGAAGATATATCAGGTAAACAGACTTTCTCAGCTTCAAGTAAAATTGAAGCGACCAACTTTGAATCCTTTCTAAGGTGATAAATTAAATCAGCAAAATGTACATGAGATGAGGATAATTTCTTATAAGATTCAATGAAACAAACATTATCCAAAGCAGTTGCTTGTAGACAAAAGTCACCAGGATTTTGGGAAACCTTTCGTGAGGCCAATTTTTCAAGATTCAATTTCTGTTTACTGTTGATCCATGATGAATGGAACATGGATTGACTCCTTTGGATCACTTTCTCATTACATTCTGAGATGTATTTCTTTTCACAACAGATGAACAAATATTCTTTACGCAGGTGACGAGCTAATTCAATAATTGATTCCTTTTCGATCACTAATTTATCATCCATTTCCGTATCAAATCAACTATTTAATGTTAACAGGTCAATGAGATGTTTGTTTTGGTTATGATGGACTTTTAATCCATCAGAGTTTAAATCGAAAATCCACCAGGTGGCAGCACATTCGAGTTCTTTTTCATTTCAAAATTTGACAACATTTGAATTCCAATGGAAACAAAAAACTAATTGTTATTATCTAATTAAACTTTGCCCGTTAATTGTTGTAATTTGATTCACTGAATTTAAGCTTCTTTTTTAATTTTATAAGATTGTTGATCTCTGGCATTTGATATTTTCTCGTTTTTGTTATATGAGTTCTCTTTTCTCTTTGACTAATAATCATTTTCTATGCTTACATTTTTCTAGTGTAAGTCTATTCAACCATTTTGTTTTTCCAAAACAATCCAACATGATTGAGAATCTCTTTTAAGCTTTTTTTTAGTGAATTATTTTACTAATTGATTAATTATACGACAACAACCAATACTGTGTAAGCTTATTAGTTGGTGACCAATTAAAATCTGGATCTTCTCGAGTAAATTTGCTATGAATTTTCTATGATGTTACCGGTTGAACGGAGAAAAGTTATCTATTGATTTTCTCATTTTCTCTTTTTAATTTTGATAATATTTTCTATCCATGAATTTTTCTCTCTCGATGCATAATTCGATTCTTATAAGGTAAGTGATCTTCTCAGTTTGATTTTTCTAGTACTTTGCTTCATAATCTGAAGCAATTATTGCCACATTTGTTTCTTCATTCACTCTAATCATTATTTGTTTTATTTTGATTCATATTTTTCAGGATAAAATCTTGAAATTATTCCACTTTAAACATGGAAGCTCATAATCTACAGGCGAAGCAATTAAGAGATGCCAAAAAGGAGTATGAAGATATTACCGCTCAGATTGGATTGCTCAAAGCGAAACAAAGAGAAGTGGCCGCGCGAATTGAAAGATTGAAAGATGCCACAGGTCAATCTAATAGTTCACGTGGTAAAGAATTCTATGATAATGATAACTTTGAATGGAGTCAGAAGATGATGGAGAAAAGTAGAGAGATATTTAAGATTGACACACTTCGATTTCTTCAAAGACCAGCAATCAATGCTACTATGAGTGGTGTCGATTGTCTACTAATTATGCCCACTGGTGGAGGTAAAAGTCTCACCTTTCAATTACCAAGTGTACTTAGTGAAGGTTAGTCTGAATAGAAGATGAGGAAAAATTTAGTATAAACTAATCTCATTTTGATTGTTTACATTTTCTTCAAAATTTAGGTATAACTATTGTTGTATCTCCGTTGATCTCCTTAATGGAAGATCAAGTTATGAGTTTACAAAAACTCAACGTAGAAACGGCTCTTTTCAATGCCCAAACAACGAGAGAGGAATCAAAGCAAATAATGACAGGAATGGTTGATCCAAATTCTAATCTTAAGCTGATCTATGTTACTCCAGAAAAACTGGCCAAATCTAAGATGATAATGTCACAAATGGAAAAGATGTACTCCTTAGGAAGATTTTCTCGACTTGTCATTGATGAAGTTCATTGTTGTTCTCAATGGGGACACGATTTTCGAAAAGATTATAAATTTCTTGGTATCATGAAAAATCAATTTCCTGATGTACCGATACTTGGATTAACTGCTACTGCGACTTTTGAAGTTATTCAAGACATTCAGAAGATACTGAATATTGAAGGATGTCTCGTTCTTAAGAGTAGCTTTTATCGGCCTAATTTAAAATACGAAATAATTAACTCAACAACTAAAGACGATGGTCTACAATTAGCAGAAATGATAAAGACAAAATTCAGAGGACAAAGTGGAATCGTTTATTGTTTAACCGTCAGAGAAACTGAAAATTTAGCAAAGAAATTGCAGAAATGTAATTTACGAGCATCAGCTTATAATGCTCAAATTTCACCACAAATACGAAGTAAAATTCACGAGAAATGGTATTCAGGAGTTATTCAAGTGATCGTTGCCACAATTGCCTTTGGAATGGGAATCAATAAAATGGACGTTCGATTTGTTATTCATTATTCAATGTCCAAATCAATAGAAAATTATTATCAAGAAACTGGACGAGCGGGTCGAGATGGAAAAGAGGCCAATTGTATTTTATTTTTTCGCTTTCAAGATTCATTCCGAGTCACATCTCTTTTCTTCACCGAAAACAATGCTCTTCGTATAATACATAAAATGATTGAATTCTGTGTTAACCGAGAAGATTGTCGAAAAAAACTTCTAGCCAGATACTTTGGTGACAATGATTGCGAATGTAATCAAATGTGTGATAACTGCATAAATGGCCTTGGAACCGAACGGCTCGATATTACCGGTTACTGTATAGATATTTTGTCGATTTTAAAAGATCCAAAAAATTCAAAAGAACGATTCACCGGATTGAAATTACTCGATACATGGTTACATAAAGGTGCCACTAAATGTCGAGTCAATGGAGTATCTAAACCAACTCTACCTCGAGAAGTTTGTGAATCGATAATCATCCAATTAATAATTAAAGGATATTTAAAGGAGGAATTTCATTTTACACCTTATAGCACCATTAGCTACCTGGTTCCTGGTTACAAGGCTTCTTTACTTGGACAAGAACCGCTTGTAATCAGAATTGTCACAGTTGCGAGTCCCGGTGATGGTCTTAAAAAAAGTCGATCTCGTTTACCAAAGAAACCACAAGAAATGAAAATGAAAGAAAGTCCAAAAAGTTCATTGATCAGTAGCGACGATGAACCAAATGAGTCCAATGAATCAGACGAATCTGATGAATCGGTTGAATCTGAAGATGAAGTTATCATAGCATCAGTTAAGAAAAGACCAAGAATTCTGGAAGATTCAATTGTTGATTCTTCTCATGAAAACTCAGACAATTCACTAATTTGCTTGGAATAAAAACAATTATATTAATAAAAGAAAAAAATTTCCTTTATTTATTACCACAAGAGTCAAATAGCTGGTCAAATTATTAACTTTTCTACATTAATATTAAATCGGTTTCTATCTAACTCTATGTTAAGCAGAATTGTCACCCTTGATTTCCTAAAATTGGTTTTAAAAACACAATTAACTAATCAATTGTTCGGACAATTGTAACTGCGAAAGCGTTTGGATCTTTTCATTCGGATCCGATATTCTATCTACCGGTTTGAGTTTAAAGCTCCAAGAGACTCACTTCCAATGTTCTGTTTTCATTGATGGTTTTCAGTTGTAAAGTTAATTAAATCTGTTGATCTTTCTGCTTAATTTAATTTAATTGTTTCCACGAGAACTCAATTATCATTTGTATTGACATCTTTTCTTTTTGATTGACTGTGAATTGTGACCCATACCCAATGTATGAAATATATTTGGACGAGTCAAATGGCTCCATTAGGGAGGAAGATGATGATATACCAAGTGAAGACATAGTTGATGTTAAAATAGATTCTTCTGGTAAGATCTCTAATGATGCTAATGATTCTGATAAAAAAGGTGATTCAGATTTGGATAAATCAAAATCTAAAAGGTAAAATTTCTCTATTCTTTTATTTAATATTTGCCAAATTCTACACTTTCACCTTTCTTTTTATACTTCTCTCTTTCTCTCTCAATGCTTCACTTGTTCTTTTCTATTTTATTCTTCTTTCCCTTTCCCTTTTTCCTTCTCTTTCTTTCCTTTCTTTTTTCTCTCTTCTCCTCACTCTTTGTAATTCATATGGTGTATTTGGCTCTTCAATTGTTGAGCTAAATTACTTGTATTTGTTATGTCAATCATAATTTTCCGATATTGTAATTTGATTAAATTCCATGAGGAAAAGATATTAATTTTTCGTTATCTTTTATCCTTTTCATTGTTTTCATTAGTTCTCCTGTTAAAGAAGAAACCAGAGACTCAAAAGATGCTAAAGATGGCAAAGAAACTAAGGATGGTAAAGATTCAAAAGAGACACGGAGCTCAAAAGACTCTAAATCTTCAAGTAGTAAAGGTCAGAAATCTCACATTTCAAATTTCACCTCACTTTTTATGTACCTTTGGTGGCTAACAGTTTCTCTTCAATGGAATCTTTTTCTTATTAGATAAACAATCTCATAGTTTAACTTCATCCGGAAGTAATAATGTTTGGGTTAGTGGACTGTCTAGTAGCACAAGAGCTGCTGCTTTACAAACATTGTTCAAAAAATATGGTAAAGTTTTGAGTGCCAAGATAATTACCAATCCTAGAATCCCGGGGTCAAGAGCTCATGGATTCATTACCTTAGAAAATGCTGAACAAGCGGAGAAGTGTATTCAAAATCTCAACAAAACCGAATTAGATGGAAAAACAATCTTTGTCAGCAAGGTAACATTTCTATTTATTCCTGAACCTCAATAGAATTGACAATTTTTTCATACTTATTCTCTTTTTCCCTTAGAATCGGCCTAGTGAGTCAAGCTCAAGCTCAAGCTCACGCCATAAATCCAGCACCAGTAGTTCCAGTAAGAAAGATAAGCCAAAGGAGAAAGATTCAAAGTCTAAAAGTGATGAAAATAAGGATCCAGACAAGGAAAAATCAAAAGATGATAGTAAGAAAAGTGATGACAAAAGTGAGAATCAATCATTATCTTCCTTGTGCTTTACTAAATTAACATACCTTTACCTTTTGTCATCAATCGCCGATGTTATTAATTGAATTTTTTACTGCCCGTCGATGAAACAAAAGTACTCAAGTGTATTATTACTCGCAACTCAGACTATGAGTTGACTGTTTATAGTTTTTTCTTTTTTTCTATTGATATTTATTTATATACATATTTTTTTGTTGACTTTTCGTCTATCAAATTGATTTTTTTTGGCGTTGAAATTAATTCAACCTGCTTGGTTTCAGGTTCTCATGATGATGATAAGAAGAAGAAAGAGAAATCTGGTGACAAGGATAAGGAGAAGGAGAAAGATCGACCAAAAGATCGTGATAAGGAGAAAGAGAAGACCAAAAGCAGAGAAAAAGATAAGGATAAAGACAAATCGAAAGAGAAAGAAAAGGAAAAGGAAAAGAAAAAAGAAGACGATAAAGATCAATCCAAAGAAAAATCTGACCGAGATAAAGGTGGTGAAAAAGAAAAATCGAAAGAAAAGGATCGAAAAGATGACAAATCTAAAGATGATGATAAAAAAGACGAATCCAAGGATGATAAGAATAAAAAAGATCGACCCTCTAAAAGTACAAGTCGAAGTAGAAGTCGTGATCGACGAGGATCTCAAAGTCCTCCTAGAAAATTATTACGTAGACCAATGGGTCGACGAATGGGCCCTGGTTTCATGGGGCGTCGAATGAATACCCGTGGAAGATCAGCAAGTTCTCGTCCTAATCCTGTTCTACTCAGACGAATTGAAACTGAACGTGCTCAAAGGCGCAGAGAGCGAGATCGTGAAATCCTCGAGTCCAAAAGGCGACGCATTGCGTTGATTCGAACCCAAAGGGAGGTTGAACGTAAAGCTCAAGAAGAACGTGATCGATTAGAACGTGAGATGGTTAAATTGCGCATTGAACGCGAGCGATTGGAACGTGAAAAGGCTGAATTGATAAGGTTGGAGAGAGAAAAAGCACGTCTCGAGCGCGAACGTATTGAACGAGAACGTGAAGAATTGAGGAGAAAACAATTCCAGTTACCTCATCGTATTGATGATAGTCCACGAGGACGATCAGGTATCAACAAGAGACCATATGATTCCCGAGCTGATCCCAGAGAAATTGATATACATTGGGATGACCGTAAAAGGATGTCGGCACCATCACCAGTCACACCATCAGGGCGAACCTCATTTAACGGACCCGTTGCATCTCGGTAAGATCCTATTTGACCAGTTGCTCTTCCAGTTTCATAATATGGTTTGATCATATTTGATTAATTTAAGTGAACAAAATGAGCTTCCGAAAGTTAAATTGGTCGACAAGTTCCATGGTCTTTCAAGAATTGTCTTTAATTAAGACCTTTTCTAATCACTCTTCTTTCGAACTTTAAATTTGTGAAAGGTTCACAATCATTGAGAAAACATGAGCAAGAAAGCAAGAACTAAATTTAATTGTGGAAAAGCACAATTTCTAGAACAAAGTTGGTTTATTTGGAAGGTTAAAATATTTAAACCTGATGCATGATAATCAAAGATCCACTCAAAGAGTAAATTTAAGAAAGAAGAAAAAAGTTCTAATCTAAATTCTAGTCTTAACTAAACAATTAATCGTTGAAAAATGTTGATCTCTTCATGGTCTCTTCTCTTTCTCTTTCTCTCCATTATCCTTTCCTCACAAATTATTTTTTTATGGTCTCATCAATATTTCACCAATAACCAATTTCCACTGGACTCTAATGACCATCAACATCTTTTAAATTATCAACACTCCAAATAGAATGTCAGATTTTGATGCTCGACATGGCCACAATTCAACTCCATACGATAATAAAGGAGCCAGTTATCGTCGAATCAAATTGGAGAATCTTTCCTCTGGAGGTGGTTTGAAAACTGAATACGATTCGAGAAGAGATTCAGGTCGACATGGTACTAGTGGTGGAGGTCATGATCGTGATGATAGACGAAGCACAGGAGGCTCTGGAAGTGGATACTATCGTGATTCAGCTCGAATGACCGGTGCATCCAGAGATCGTGATAGAAGAGGAGGAGGAGGAGGAGGGGGAGGTCGAGATGATTGGAAAAGTTCACATGATAACCGTCGTGATCGTTATTTAGATAAAGGATTATCGTCCATGGGTACAAGTTACTCTGCTGGAGCCTCGTACTCAGGAGGAAGTGGCGGAGATTGGGGAGGTGAACGAGGGTCATCCAGTATGTCCAAACTTTCATATCCAGCAGGTAATTCAATCATTCAATCAACATCTACATTTTCTCATATCCTATCGATAGAGAAGTTCCAAAAAAAGAGAGAGAATTACTTATTCTCATACCTGGACAATCTTGAGGATTTTTATACTTAATTGTTAATCAATGGTTGATTTATCTTTTAAAAATGTTATTCTCATCCTCTTCTCAACCTTAGGACCTTCAGTTTCTGAATCGCGATCTCGAGGAGCAGGAATGGGATCATCAATGATGACCGGAGGTGGAAATCAAATGGCTGATCTTTATGACAATAGTTCAAGTATGCCAATGCCTGGGATTTTGTCTCATGGTGGAATCGGGACAACTTCCGGATTAAATTCTGATGAAAGACCTTACTTGCATTCTGTTAGGCGATTTTGAGCTATTACTCTAATTCTATTTTTTTTTTCTTTCTACTTCTCTCTTTCTGTCTGTTTCTCTATCTTTTTCTCTTAATTATTAACTCTCATCACAATTTCGTAAAAACATTCAAACTTTTTTTTCTTTCGAAGACATTATACCCACACAACACACACACATACACCGACACACACCCTCGAATCTACATAACATCTTGATTGTTGATCACAAATTTCATGGATGTTAATCAGGAACCCTAATCATCGTCACATTTAATCTTAATCTTGTGGACCTGATCTTTAATCAACTGAATTGAAGACAATTGATTCCAGCCAATGAGCGGATTATTAACTTTTTTTTTAACTGATCTCCATTTCTTGCCGTCTCAGAACAACAACAATCTAACTGCAATCGTGCTGAATCATTAATCTCAATTGTGACCAATCCATTAATTCTGGAAGCATGAAAAACAAATACATCAGAAATCCTTGAAGAAAATGAAAACCCACTGAACAATTTATCAATTTTAAATTAATTGTACAATCATGTGAAGTTATCATTTTGTCTATCACATTGATTGTTGTTAATTAATTAATCAAATACAATTGTTCGGTGCAACATTCTCTGAATCAAGCAAACAATTAACCATTGACTGAAAATCAAATTAATCAGCAGTGAAAAAAAAATTTAGGCAAAATTTAAACCAATTTAATCAATTGATCATTTATGATTATACAAAAAAGCATGAAAAGCTTAATCGTTTCATGATCGATTTTCAATCAATAGATTTTAGGAGACAATGTGTATATAAGAAATTATAATTTGTTTTATATCCTTTGCCTTTGTTGATGAAATTTGAGGATAAATTTCCATCAACAATTGTAATTAATCCTTTAATTGCGATTTACTGATTGTCTTTATAAGTAGAGCAAAAGGAAAACACTGATTACAATTATCTCGTAATCCTTTTCTTAATCCACTTCTCTGGTAGTGGAAGTTGGAAAATAAATGAAATTTGTGTTAAGTCTCTGTGGTTTCTTTGTGACGGATTAATGGTCACGAAACATATTCGATGATTTTTCTTCTCTTCAAATAGTAATTAATCTGTCGACTCTTCGATTAGTTGGGCCGATGTAAGACCAGAAACTCTTTAACGGTAATGGTCATGTCATTTGCGAAAACATCAGTTATCAGCATTTTATCAACCAGATTATTTTTTCTCTTCCAAAATTCTGGTGGTTCATGTGGTGATTCTCGATCTTTATCCTGTTGTTGTTGTTGTTGTTGATTAATTACTTGTTGATCGACCTCTTCTACTACTTCTTCTTCATCTTCTTCTTCTTCCTCTTCTTCTTCTTTGGATTCATTTAGCGAATTATTATTTTTGGGCAAAGTATTAATTTCCATTCGATTTTTCCTCTCGAATTCTTGAATCACTTCAACATCAAGAAAATTCTCCTCAGGTTCCCATGTGTTATATTTCGGAGCCCAGTCTTTCCATTTGACGAAATACTCTGTTCGACCTTTTTTCAATCGTTTCTTAAGGATACACTCAACCGAATAAATATCAACGGGTTCATCCGTTTTCTTTTGTCGAACAGCCGTTTTGGATAAACTTCTAAGATTCATAATTAATATTTTCTGGCACAAAACAAATTCGGATTAACTGGTCAACAGAATAAAAATTTATCACCAAAGATTAAGATTGAAAAATTTCAATTGAATTTGCAACTTTGGAAATGAGAATATGAAACAAAACAAAAAGGAAAACAAGTATCAGAATGAGAGAGAGAGAGATATACAAAATACAGTCTCTCTCAAGAAAACGGGTAAACAGTCACTATAATAATAATCTGATACTCTTTCTCCTCCTCTGTCGCAATCATTTCTCTTTCTTTTCTTCCCTTTCGCTGTTCAGAGCATTCAAATATGATTGGTGCAAATGAACATTTTCGATGCGCCATCTACACGAATCCTTTTTCTCTACAATTATTTTGTTTCTCTGTTCTTTTCATCTGTCATCTTGGTTTTCCCTTTGTCCTTTTTTCTGATACTTTTTCTCTTTAACCTTTGACACAATTGACACTTTGAATCTTCAATGAATCTCAATTTCGCATCATCTGGTTACCTAGCGAACTTGTTAATTGTTGATGGTTAATCCGATGAAGAGAATCATCTTTTCAATCCAATCTCAATTCTTACAATCGATATTTTATTTTATTACTTTCGTCATTATCTATTAGATTAATTGTTCTTATCCATTTGATTGTTTTCTCTTGGTGATTTACCGATTCATAGATTTTTACTAATCTCTCTCTCTTTTAATCATTTCTCCTTTAGATTATCTCTAATCCATCATGATCTGTATTTCGAAATTTTATTTTTCTACAATAAATACAAATTCAAATAGTTAAATCACTTTGTTCTTGTATTATTTTCATCTTAATTACAATTATTCACCAATCGCTGATTGTCCAATCAAAGAGATTAAGATATCATCTTAGTGAAAGAAATTGTCTCCATTTTTAATATCGATAACTGGATCAAGAGTTACAATCAAAATGCTCGAGATCGTGATTGAGATTTTATTTACAACCATTTCAACTAGAATGTCAAAAGTTGCACTCGATTGTATTGATTGTATTGTTTTCGAATCACTTAATCAATGGTTAGTCATTAACCAGAAATACGTTAATTTGATTAGATAATTATTGCTAATACAAATTCTTGTTATGATTCATATAAGATGAACGAATGTGATTCGATATGATCGATTTGAACAGAAATTAGATCTCGGATTAAGACGAAATCGATGAAATTATTATCAATCGACAAGGTTAAGATTAAGAGAATTGATATTGATTGTATTTTCAGGAAATCGACAATCAAATTAAAACTAACATAATCATGGGAAGTACATGATACTTTGTATTGTTATTTGCACCAATTATAATCGTAATTGATTTTATCAACAATCTATTTTTGTAAGAATGAAACAAAACAATGGGAAGAAATGAAAAACAATAACAATCAACAACAATTAAACACCCTTTTTGATCACAATTGGATTAACAAGCTATAAAAGCAGTTTGTTAACCATAGAAATTAACAATTGTGTTAATCAATTAAAATGAAGTCCTTAATTGTCCTCGTAGTTCTTGTTGGTTTGACTTATGGAAAAAGTCAGCGTACCCTCGTTAAAAGTGGCCTCGACCCAATGTCCGATGAGATGATCGATGCCGTCAACTCACTTGGAACTACATGGAAAGTAAGTGATTTATTTAGTCGATTGTTTTTCGATTGTTTTTAATTATATTCTATTCGTTTTATTTTCAGGCTGGCAGAAATTTCCAAGATCTTCCCTTGTCCCATGTGAAAAAACTTCTTGGTGTTAAGAGAGATGGAAAATCAGACATTAAATTACCTCAAGTTCACCATGAAATCAACGGCGATTTACCAGAAACTTTTGACGCTCGAACCGCTTGGCCAAATTGTACCTCGATTAGTTTCATTCGGGATCAAGGTTCTTGTGGATCATGTTGGGCTTTCGGTTCAGTTGAGGCCATGTCAGATCGACTTTGCATAGGTTCAAAGGGAGCATTCAAGCTGATTTATCCGCTGAAGATATTCTTGATTGTTGTGGTTGGTCTTGTGGAAATGGTTGCAATGGAGGTTACCCTAAGGCCGCTTGGTCTTATTATGCTTCATCCGGTGTTGTCTCTGGTGGATTATACCAAGGAACTGGTTGTCTACCCTATTCAATTGCTCCATGTGAACACCATGTCTCAGGTCCCCGACCCGCTTGTTCCGAACAAGATACACCAAGATGTTCAAGAAGCTGCGTCTCAGGTTACTCGAAATCTTTCAAGGAAGACAAACATTACGGTAAACGACCTTATTCTGTATCGGGAACCAAACAAATCATGAAGGAAATTATGACCAACGGTCCAGTTACCGCTGATTTCGATGTTTACGCAGATTTCCCAACCTACAAATCAGGTTAGTACATCGATCAGTCGAATATCTTAGAATCTTAATTCTTTCTAATCAAATCTAATAATCTCTTATCCATTTCTCCATTAGGTGTTTACCAACGAACCTCATCTGACCTTCTTGGTGGACATGCAATCAGAATCCTTGGTTGGGGTACTGAAGATAATGTAGATTATTGGTTGGTTGCTAACTCATGGAATACCGATTGGGGAGACAATGGTAATTAAGATAGATAATAACAACAATCAGTTGATTATTTAAACAATAGAATAACAAATAATCTAATTACTTTCTCTCTATCAACAGGTTACTTCAAGATCAAACGAGGAAACAGTGAATGTGGATTGAAGATGATATAGTCGCTGGTTTACCAAAACTCTAAATAATTTAAATTCAATTTGTATTTTCGATAAAATTAACTAATCAATAAATTTAGAATAGAAAAAACAAGTAAACTTTGCAATCTAAACAAATTCTGATCAACCATAATTACCAAAGAAATGATCAAGAAAAACGGGACAATCTCAATAAGTAAAACCAGCAAATCAATATTAACACTCGATTAATTAGAAAAATAATCTCAACAATTAACTAATAATCACTTGATAAAAATCGTAAGAAAATTAAAAAAAATCGAACAAAAAAATCAGCTGATTACCGAAAAACAGTAAACATTATGTTATCTTCAATGAAAAACACATCGAAAGAACTTTCAATTAGTTAATTGTGATTAAAAAAAAGCCAACAATTGATTAATTGAAACAATTAATTGATCGACCAACAATCAGATCGCATCGCCATCTAGAAGAGTTTATTATCTCTAAAAAGATTCAAATCTGTTAACTGAGTAAATTTTTACTCTTTGATCATCTGGATTCAATTTTTGCCATTTCCATTTCTTTATTTTCATTTCTTTTTCACCATCAACATTACCTGATTATTTAATCTCAGAGTAATGATTAGTTAATTAGGGCGTTCATCATCATCACCATCACCACAATCGTTGATATCATCTGAATCCGAATCAATTTCTACTGTAAATTGTTGACAGTCAATCTGTAGTGTGGGTAAGTGATTTCAATTTGCTTTTCCATTATATTTTTCTGTCTCTTAAACATCACATGAAACTTGTTTCTCTTTTCTAATTACAATCAGCAAATTAGTGAATAACCATTTCTTTCAACCATAATTTCATTTGTTTCCACCCTTTAGGTACAAAATGCTAAAGGGTTGCTTCGGCAACACGTTCCTCATCCTCGTTCAGATCTTTTTCGGCCTCATCTCAACACTTTTGGGAATTGTGTCTTTCTTTTATTTCCTTTGTAAATATGAGGATTACAACTCATCGATCTGGGGATTACTCATGGGTATGTATTGAAATTGTAATCCATCAATCCACTAATCTGTCTAATATTCAACAACAAGGGGCAACTAAAACAATTCCTATATCATCTGTAAATTCAGTAATTAATCAATCATACATGATAGAGTTAAATTGTCTCCAAGCCTGACAAGATGAACGCTTCATTTTTTTCCCATAGACTTTCATGTGTTAATCTATAAATCAACATTGGGTTAATTGGGTAATCTTAATGGATTTACAGACCTTGGATTCGGGTTTACATTAACAGATTATCTCTCTGTTTTTTTCTTCTTTTGCTAATCTCTTTTTAATCATTTCTCCATATTTTTTTCCGTCTCTCCAACAGGTATTAATTCTGGCTGTCTAATCCATCTTCATATACTGTATCTCAAAACTCAACTTGAAGTTTGGTACGATAAATATACTTTTAGGAGCTTAATCAAATTTGCTGTTGTATTGTCGATACTTGCACTAATTGCTCTTGTAATCTATTTGTATCTTGCTGTTAAAAATGATGAAGGTTTGTATTTGGTAAATTTTCTCAACAATTAAACAATACAATTTACTCAGGTACTTGAGTAGATTGTTTTTCCTCTGTTTAATTGTTGAAGGTAAAACTCACACATTGGTACCTCGAGTATTGTTTAATTGTGTCTAATTGTTTTGTTGAGCTTTGATTTTGGATGACAATCTATTTTGCTATGTAATTTGATAGGTTAAAAACTATCAATCATCACTGCTCTTGTTTTCCATATGGTTAACCATTTATTTAATTAACTGAGGCTAATTTTTAATCCTTTATTTCCGATCTGATTACAGAATTAACTCTCGATGGTTACCATGTAAGTGCCATATTCTCTGGTCTATCGTTGTTTTGGTCACTTAATCTGTTCTGTTCAAGTCGATTGTATTCTAAATATGTTCAACTTTATAATCCTCGATTATTATCATCGATGGAATCACTTGATCAACCATATAGATTCTATGTCGATAATTTTTGACCTTTTCTACGCCCAAATGCCGATTTCAGACCAACAAAATTATCGTTAAAGTAACTTGAACTCAACGAAAAGCCAATAAGTCATTAACCGAGTTGAAAAGAAAACTAATTAACGAAACAATTGTCATAATCACTATTTTATCCTCATCACCATCGTCAATTAATTTCTCTCTCTCTCTCTCTCTCTCTCTCTCTCTCTCTCTCTCTCTCTCTCTCTCTCTGTTAATTGATTTGCCATTATTATGAATCAAATTGATGATTTATAATTACTAAATTATGTTTCTCATAGTCTAATTAATTAACCATTATCATCTTTGATCTCATTCAAAGCAAAAAGATATGTTATAAGAAAATGATATTTTTGCAATTAAGGAAACAATTTAAATCAAAATGTAATATAGTTTTCATTTATTATTATTATTATTAAATCAAGTTGTTTATTACAAAATTAATTACTTCTAATGTTGATTAACAGAAAATTGTTTTAATTTTCTTTAATTGGTCACTTAGTTTTTCCTTGATAAAATCATCTAATTAATTATAATTAAAAGTTCCAAGTTACAATGTAAAGGCATAGTTTATATTCCTGTAGCAATCAAGAGTATATTTATTAATTGTTGAGTTGATTTAGTTATAACTAAGAAACTTTTGTTGAAAAAAAAACATTAGATCCAAAGTTGATTAAGGCACTTAATCAAGAGCATCGAGTTAATTATTTAAATCTAATCATGATTATCCTTATGCCAACAATCAATTTATTGTCGAGTAAAAAAAATTAATTGTTTGGTAAATTGTTGAGCACATTTTTGATTGTTTCCAAATGAAGAAAATAAATTAGTCGTTGAGACAAGTTGATAGTTGATTAATTCAATCTAGTTGATCAAGCGATTTAAATTAAACCAGTTAATCAAACAAATCAGTTGAATGATTCAGTTAATATAACATCAATATAAATGTTCAATTGTTCAGTAATCAAGGCTTGAGAGTTGATTTTTGAGGCTTTTTGTTTGGTAACAATTAAATATTAATTGTCCAAAGAAGGATAATTTAACCAACCATGTCACGAAAGTAAATATCACTGGACGAATGACCAGTTCGAGGGTCATCTTGATGACAGTAAATATGTTCAATGAACATTGGACTCGCACCAATTAGTCCTTCGCCGACATGGCAAACATGAAGCATCTCATTGGTCTTATGGAGATAATTAAATCAATAAAAAAAAGAGCAGAATTAATGAAAATCAATTGATCAAATTGGCTTAAAATCCTAATCATCATCAACTGTACCTGTTTATCATTATCATTGGTTATCGATAGATCTTGATTATCAAGGCAAATCCGATGAAAATTAGCATCACCTGAATGAGGCACGATTATTGTGTCAATTGTCTTGTGGTCATCGTAAAGGTCATTTGTGTGATTAGCACAAAATTTGGTTACATGATTAATACCAATATCTGGTCCATAATTGATTGAACTACAGTCTTGATCCATTAAGATTCCCTGGAGTCTATTAGTTGATAAAGAAATTAATTTCCATGAGTTAATTTAGTTCAATTTACTTAATTAACATTGATATGTAATAACTGTTTACCTTTCATCAGAAATTGTATTCATTGCAATCTTGACAGAATCAGCATCTAGAAGCGGAAATTAACAAACAAAATTTGATTTAATATCAACTGATTGTTGAGATTTTTTCTTGTTAACATTTTAATTTAATTTCAAACAATTTACCTCGTTGTTTACTACGTTTAAATTTAATTATTAACATAGTTAAACATCCTAGAACCATGAAGGCACCTAAAGTAAGTAAAAGCATCAATGTCATCGGATTGATTACAATATCCTCAACAGAATCTGAAATAAAAACCAACATTAGAGAGACAATTAGTTGATTGTTACAATTTAAATTGTTATTCGATCGATTATTAGCCAGTTAATTAATGATTTAAATCGCGAATTGGTTAGGAAATCTAAATTTGCTATGGTTACTTAAACTCTTATAATCTGATGCAAATCATTTGGGATTCAGTTAAATTGTGAACTAAATTGATAAATGGTAAGAAATTACAATAAACTTGTTCATTTAAATTCAAATTGTTTTCAAACCAAATTAAATCAATTTGATATAAACTAATTAATCTTCAAAATCTTCATATTTATGCTTGAGTAATCATTTAAATCCCATGAATAACATGACAGTTACAATGATTATCAATCTGATTAACTTGGATAATGATTTTGAAAACTTTGAAAAATTCAATTTCAAACAATTAATTGACAATAACGGCGAGTATTTAATGATAATTAAAAGTTAATTACCTGTTGTGTGCCATTGAGCTTGAAGTTGAGTTGATCCTCTTAGAACAACATAATCAGATCGACCCTTAACATTGGTTGAATAAATGTTAATCGTATAAGGATTACCAGAGGAAAGGGATTTAACAATGAAAAAAGGATAATCTGTTGTACTTTGATTTTGGATTAATGGACCATCCTGATTATCTAGATGCATCTCAAGGTGATATCTTTGATCGAGTCCACCATTATAACCAGGCCAACAAGAGACAGTTAATGAGTCCATCGTTATATTTGCTATTGTACAATTTTCAGGTTGATCGGGTGGACCAGCAGGTATAATATAAAATCTACAGGGTTCTTTAGATAATCCGATTGAATTTTTCGCCCAACAAAAGAGGACACCATAATCCGATGTGGATTTAGGTGTATAAGTTGCTGTTGACTTAAGGCCACTTTGACTATAATCAAGGGATAACAATTCAATATTGTTACTGGTTGATGATAATAAAGGTAATGATAAAGGTGTAGTTTGGGATGAAGATGTTGATGAAGGTGTAGATGAGGTTTCATTGAAAGACCAAGTAAATTTAACCTCCGGTGGGTCAGCATCAACTTCACATGTAATTGCAACTTGTTCACCATAAGCAGCACCAAAATATACTCTATGATTACCAGAACAAATTGGAGCAACTAATTAAGAGTGGAAGTAGAAAAACAAAGACAAAACAAGAACAATTAATTCCTAATGAACATGATGATGATGATGATGATTATCTCATCAACAGAATGCTAATTACATTGAATGTTAAGGTCAATTGAATCAGATGAACCTTGTCCTTCATCATTTGCTGCCCAACACTTATAACGACCTTCATGGTGTTTCCAGACATCTTTGATTAACAGGGAATTGTTTTGAATTAAAATATTAGCACTTGAATTTGATACTAAAAGTTTATCATTAAAATACCAGCCCATCTTTTCAGCCATTGGATTTGCCTTAATGAAACAGAATCAAATTTGCATTTATATTAATTATTATTGTCCAATGGATTGTTGATTAACTCAATTCGTTTACCTGAATATTACATTCAAAGAAAATATCACTTCCAGCAAGAATTTTCTCATTCCTTGAACTAACTCCCATCGCAAGGTAAACAATTGGTGTATCTAAAGTAATTGTAAGTAATAACAAAGTAAATAGAAGTAGTTGATTAATTCAGCTGATTAGTTGTTTGTTTGTTATTTTAAAACATTCAGAGTTTATCATGTAAAAGAAGAAGGGAATTTCATTTGAAATTATAATTCGCAGACTTACAACTAATGTTGAGAATCATTTCATCATGAAGAGTCTCATCGGTGAACATTGGATTCCAAACGGTACATGTTAACCTTTTACCGTTATCATCAATTGAAGGCACAAAGGATAAGAAGCTTGTGGTAACTGACCCATCATCGGACGTTGATTCACCGATACCATCGAATTCATTTGACCCGATTGTCCATTTAATATGAGCCGATGGTTTGGAGCCGGTTGATTGGCAAACAAGTTCGATAGTTTTACCAATGGTCAATTTACTTATCGGTTTGATGATTCGAACCTCTTTTGGTTTTACTGAAAATTGTGAATGTGAGCAAGAAAAAGAAGGAGAGAAAAAATTAGTGACCAATGTAAACTGACCAGTGATGATTGACATCAATTCAATCAGATGATGATAGTTTAGTATATTATTTGGTGGAAATTTGTAGTTTCCAATGATCTAAATTGAAAATCAAAGTGATAAAGTCATCATTTTATTGATTGTCTACTTGAATAGGTCAGTAAATTGTAAATTTATCATCTTAATTATCAAATAAAAAGTATAACCATGACCCTTCAAATAATGGTTTGATTAACTGTATTTTCATCTTGACCATTTCAAAAGTCAAGGTAATGCTCAAACTGTTGGTGATATGAAATGATGGTCATCATGAAATTTATTTGAACTCACTGAACACATTCAGTAATTTAATGATTTCCCTGTAACCAATTACTTTCCCTTTCAACGAATAGGGGACAAAGTTAAGAAAGAAAGAAAGAAAGAAAGAAAGAGAGAGAGAGAGAGAGACAATTCAATATTTCAAATGATAAGAATTTATCTTCATTGGGAAAATGTTTGGACAGTTGAGATTCTGAATGTCCAGTAGATATGGTCAAGGAGAAGGAGGAAACTTTTCAATCTTAAATCAATCACTTTATCGCCATTAAAGTGACACAAATTTTTGTTCATTTCTTTCATCACAAATTGAAACATTTCTCTGAGTACATTGATTATTACATGAGATAAATTCTGGTTTCTCATTTGATTCAAGGTTACAATTCCAGAGCAATTGAAAGATCAGTTTCAAACCGGATTAACCAGATTAACCCTTTAGAATTTTATTATTCTTGCTCTCTCATCACCAGCATCATCATCATCATCATCTTCTTCTTTCATCAAGTATTTAACACTGATAATCATCCAAATAACTGGTCAGTAAGAGAGAGATGGACAAGTTTCATCAAACGAATGTGAAATGTTCAGAGTCACGAAGAAAAAGATGAAGAAATAGAAAACAAGTTCTACCTTCAATACAACAATTTCTCTGAGACTGGAACTTATACTCATCTTCATCAACTCATGTTCATCTTAACAGTTTACCTTCTTATCCTGCTTAGGATGATGTTCCAATGTGTACAATTAACAATTCACCTCACGAAAGATGAAAAGAAAGTAAAGAAAGAGAAAAGATAAATTGTTGAAGGAATAACATTGAATTGAATGTTTTTCCTCTTCTATTCTTCTTACCTTTTGGTGTCTTTCATTTAGTTATTGTTATCATGGAATTATTATTATTATTATTGTAACTTCTTTCTCATCATCATCTCAACTTAATTCACATCACAAAATGATAACAAACGAAATAAAAAAACCAAAAAATAAAAAGCATAATCATGTAACTATTGCACAGAATTGAAATCTTGAACCAACACGAAGTTGCGGAAACATCAATTGTTAATAAATTCAACGATTCAATTAACTAAACATTTTCTACCACCAATTAGCAATCACATAGGTTCACATATATTCATCATTTAATCATTAAAATCTAATCTCCATAAGATATTAACACTAAACTGACCACAATCAGTGTCCAGTTTGGTGATCAATCGACTCATTGATTGTATCAAATGTTAACTTAATCACTTAAGAATAGTTTCAATAATAACAAATGATTTTCTCCTTGTTATCATATGTTCAATTTCTCATCCAATATAATATTCATATTCCAGAATTTTCATAATTTCAAAATGAAATTTATTCTTATTTAAATCTCTTTTCTGAAGTAATAATTTGAATTGGGAAGATTTAAATTAGAAAATGATTAAAAATTTCCGAATAAATTAACGCAAGGTGGCGCTAAACTCATTCATTTTCTTTGACAATTTAAATTAGTTGATGTTATTAAAATACTTACAATTTAAATCGATGGCAATTGAATGTGACACCGGTTCAGTTAAATTGTTATTCGTTGCTCTACAAGTGATAATCATCATTAAATCATCTCGTTTAAGTGGAGGTAAATGTAATATATTGAGACTCGAACCATCGGAAGACATGAAATAAGTATCATCGATAATTGTTGATCCTCGAAACCAGGTAATTACAGGTGAAGGTTTTCCTTGATTAAGAGTGAATATGATTGACAATTAAATCAATTGTTCCAATCAAAATAAAGGTCAAAAACTGGTCCACTTACCTCCTTGAGCTTCACAAGTTAATTGTAAAGGTTGACCTTCATTGAAAGGTCCACCAATGTCTTTGATTTTGTGTCCATTATCACTTGAGACCACTAATTGTTTAATTGGAACTGAAAACAGTGATAAAGATTGAGAAAAAAAATCAATAATCAATTTTAATCTTGTCTATTGAAATTTATCATAAACTTAATTGTGATTGTTTCCAATGATTAGTATCATCATCATTTGATATTATTTAGGTTAATCATAATAATCAAGCTCAATGTTATCGATATAATTACAAGATCATTTGTCAACATTGATTTAGTTTTGATATTTTCCCCCCTCTTACATTGATAATAATAATACTATTATTATTTGGTAAATTTAATGATGATTGATTGATATTGATTGTTAGCAAATAATAATAATAATCAATCAATCATCATAAATCAACAGAAATAATAAATTAACAATCAATGAAAACGTTGATGATACAACTTGAATTGCGAACTGAGTGTAGAGTTAATCATAAGCAATTTAATCATCATCATTAGTTAGATTGAGTATTTGAAAAATGAATGACAATTTAATTAGCAATCAAATTAAATTACTATTTCAAGTTGATTAGTAAAGTTTACAAAATTAATTGTTTTCTCAGGATTTCATATGATTATCAATTCGATTAAATTTATGATTAAAAGAGTATTAATACTCTAATGGCAAGTAAATTGTGATTTACACTTAATTGTTCAACCATTGACAGGATTAATTTGATTGTGAGAAGAAAAAGTTTTCAATTGTTTTCTTATATAAACTCAAAATCTACCATTCATTTCATCAGAACTTTTTTTCCTTCCCTTATTTCAAATATCCTTTTGTTTTCCTTACCAGAACTTTTTTTCCTCATCATCACAATCTCTCCCTGTGTAGTGTATGTTCACAGGGAGAGAAAATCAGAATTGAACAACAATAACATCCAATCAACAGAGAGAGAAGAAGGAAGAAAAAAATAAATCAGAAAAGAAAGAAAAGAAAGAGCAGAATGAGTAGAAAAAAATAAAAGTAAGAATAAGTTTCCGTTTTGTGAGAAATAAAAAAAAGAAGAGAAAATTTTTATTCTCATATATTAAATATCCCCCTGAAATTGGGAGTGAAAAGTCAGGAGTGGGATGCAAGTGATGATGGAGACACAATAGAAATTGTTGCTTTAAGGCTGATTGATCTCTCATCATCATCATCATCATCATCATTATAATCATCATCTTGATATATAAAAAAAACAAACAAACAAAAAACTTGCTTCTAGCAACTGATGAAGATTCTGATTCATTTCTAATCAGAGTTCAGGATCTCATGACATTTTCAAGGCGAAATTTATCTTCCAACTTGTCTAACTATTTACTTCCCTAATCATCTTAAAATGATGATAATAATGATGTCAGAGAGAGAAAGGGAAAGAGGATGAGGATGGAAAACGATTCATGTTTAATTTGGATTTGATTTTTATTCTGTTTATATCTTTATCATGTTATCATCTATTTTATGTGTAAAAAGATAAGATGAAACTGAAATGTAATGAGTATCATGATGATTATGAGGATGAAGATGCTTAAGACGAGTAAACATTAAACATTAATCAGAAAGAGAGAGAAAAAAAATTTGAAAGGAAATTCAGTTGGGATGAAGATGAAGAAACCAAAAAACATAAGAGAAAACAACTTTAAGCTGAAATAGAGGAAATTTTTCCCAAAACAAGCCTCATGAGATGTTCTCAGACTTCTCCCCTGATCATGATTCTCACGGAAAAAAATAGCAACATCACTCGTCATCACAATCGTTCAATATTTGAACGGAAATCAATTCAAAGTGATTTAAAATTGAACATAAAATAGTAACAGAGAAACAAATCTAATGGTAACATCAGAATCTTGATTTCAATTTACTAAACTGTAACAGTCAAATTGATAACATTAACCAAACACTTAAACAAAATCGAGTAAAACAACAATTTACTGAATATGATTTGAGGAAAAAAAAAGTTCTTAACTTAACATGAGAGAGAAAAGCAGAATAACAGTTCGATAAAATTCAAGAACCTCCAATGAAATTACCAAATGATTTCGAACTCTCCAAAACAAAGTTCTAAGTTGAGTAAATGGTTAAGCTTCAATTGAATTGATCGGATCAATACTCATGTTGGATATCCCATAAGTCTAATATAACAATTAGCTGATTGTTATCAATTCCAAATGGGTACATTGAAATATGGATCAACATCTGAAACAAATAATCATGATTCTCATGGTAAGGAAAGTTTATCAGATGAGATGAATTCAATAAATTCTGGCGGAAATTATGGAAGAGATGAAAAAAAAAGTTCTTGTTGTTTCTCTAAATTAACCAAACCAAACAAAGTTTCAATTCATCAGATTAACCCAACAATTTACGATTAACTTTTGATTACATGACTATTATCCTCCATTGTTACCAGAAGATGATAACTTAATAATTCTGTTGAATTCTGAGAAACATTTTACCTTCTTTCAATTGGAATAACCCTGAATCATGAAGAAAGAAGGAAAAAAAACTTTGTTATCAAATATGAACACATATACAAAAGGGGTTGGGGAGAATAGCTACCATTCCATCATGACATGGAATTGAAATGTTCAGAATCAATATCATGTAATATGATTAGTTGGTGTATTTATTTATGGTTCTTATGAGAATTTGGAAAAAAAAGAGATTTCAAATCCGATGTATTAAGAAATCTAAAAAAGAGTTAATTCATTTCATTGAATTTCCAATTGATTCAACAGAATTTCAAAACTTTCATCATTCTCATTCTCATGATTCTGATGAACATCATCGCCTTGGAAGAAAAGGAAATAGAGAAAGAAAGAGAAGATAAAATTTTACTTTCTTTTTTTTCCTCCATTTTCAATCTTGAAACTATTTTCTGCTCAGCTTAGCATTCATTTGAAGATTCATATTCCAACTGAACGAAATTATTTCAACTTGATTTTCCATAATCATCATCATGCTCATCATCCTCATCATCACCTCTTTTGTCAACATTATCATCTTGTTACACCTTCAATTTCAGTTCTTCAATTATTATTAAGATAATAATTTTTTTTCTTCTTATTTTCTCATCTTCAATTCTCTGAATGTTTTTTTCTCATTTGGAACATGATGTATTTCAATTCTTGAAGCTTTTCATCTTTTTTTTCATGATGATTCAACTAATATCTATCAACTGTTATTATTTTCCTTTCATTATTATCACCATCATGGCAGGTTGAGTAACTCAGGTGACATTGACAATTCTGAGATGAAATATTAGATTGATAATCTTAAGATAATGATCCATATTATTGCTACACTGGTGATATTTTGTTTCCTATTTAGATTGTTTCAAGTTTAATCTTCAATATCAAACGATGATTACTTATCTTGAGATATAGATAAAGCTAAAATGATGAGGATGATAAAGATAAAGATGATGATGATGATGATTGAAAAGAAAAATAAACAAATGGACAAAAACAAAAGGGACAAAAAGAGAAGGTAAAACGTAAACGTAAATATTTACATAAGCCTTTTAGTGTTTATTGGCATGATAATCAGGGAAAAATATTCCCAATTGCATGGAAATTCATGATGATCAATGATTATCATCTTCATTTTGATGATGGATGAAAAAAAAGATGAAAATAGAAAGAGGATAAAGAGTGTCCATTACTTTTGTATTACGTAGTTCGTTTTTTTCCTTTTCGATCTTCAGTTTCTATTCTTGTTCTTTATCCACGGAATCTCTTATAGTAGATAATTTTCCTCTCTCTCTCTCTCAGTTCATGATTTAATCAGATGAGATTCATCCTCATGTTTTCATCTTCATGAAGATGACGATGATGGTGATCATCATCATCTTTTATCATTCAAATACGTTAATGATGATCATGGAAAAAAATCTCATGTCAACTCTGATTGATGGATGAGAATTCATTGACTCTAAGAGAGAGAGAGAGAGAGAGAGTTGGATTGCTAGAACACAATTGAACTTTCTTGAGTTCTGACAGTCAATTGATGTCCATTGTATCATCATCAAAATGATTGTTATCGAGTTATTAAAATAATCAAGCATCATCACTCTAGGAATTAATTCCTGGTTTATAACTGGCAATTGAGCCTCTTTCACCAGACTAATTCTAATCAATACATGAACAGTTGGTAAACAATTAAGACAAAACCAATAAAACAAAACAAAAACCCAATCAACCAGCAAACAACAATTAACTTGATTAATAATTTACAATAGTCGAGAAGAGATTTAAGTTTTTTTTTTACTATCCAGTTTTATGATTAACTATTGATTGTGTTTGATTAAGTTGATTGAGTCTAGAAATCAAATTACATTATGATTTAAATATTAATGATCACAATTAACTAGACTATTTTTTTCTGGATAACCATTTCAATCAGATTTTTAGATAATTAATTGGGTTGGAAACAAAACAAAAGAGGATTAATAATTTAGATGAATTAATTACTTACCAATAACTTGAAAATTCAAAAATCTATTGATTGTTCGGCCACGTTTAAAGTCAACTCTACATCGATACTCCCCTGAGTCTTGCTCTTTGACCGGAGATAAGGTCAGTACCGAAATAGAATCGGTTAAATTTAGCTTTGCTCTTTCAGTGCTCGAAAAGTGTTTCGCTTCAGATAAATTATCACTTGATCGGGCATCAATTGAGTATAAAGGATGACCAATGTCATCTTTGTACCAAAGGATTAAGGCAACTGAATCATCTTTAGTGGGTGAGGTTGTGTTACAGTGAAGGTCAGTATTGGTACCGACGATAGCGATATACTGAGGCCAACCTAGAAGTGGACAATGTTTAGAAGATTATAAATCAATTAATTGGAAAATCATTGAACCAAAAGTGACCATAATGACCTTTAGCTGTTTAATAATCCATAATATTACAAACAATACAAACACTTGATTACTATTTAAATTGTTTCATACGGTTTTTTGCTTATTCTCATTGAATTTGTCATTTTCAGTTGGTGACAAAAAACAAAATGCCACTGGACATCCATTGGTACCACGAAAAGTCATCAATGATACAAGACTATTCAAGATATGACATTTTCATCTTTGACCTCGTCTCTTGACATGTTGGACATTTTTTTCCCATCAAAACATGTACTTGTCATGTTCATTGTTGTCCACTGGTCATCTCGATTTATTGATTATCTCTTTTCGTCATCACTCATCATTTTCATCATCTTCTTATACTAACATCAAGATGGTTCAACAATTCGATTCAATTCGAAATAATAAATACCTAATTAATTCGAAAGTGGATAATTTTGAGATTCGAGATGAGCACTTGACGATTAAAAGTTATTCTTCTAGTTTTATGACAATATAAGACGATTCTTGAGCCAGAATAACTTGAAGGTCACTCAACTCGAAATAATAATTGACATTCCAATGGTAAAATTTTGATAATCGATGTTTTTTTCTCAATGATAACCTTTAGGTCATATGAGTCAAGGTTATAACCTCAACTTTTTATCATGGAGGTTATCATGGAATAGTCAACCAAGTGAAACATTAACCTTTCAGCAAATTACAACAATCAACTAATTACTAATTAGTAAAAGTTGAAGACTGAGAGAAAATAACTTCACCTAAAGTAATACAATTCCCTGTATGTTTCAGATAAACAAGAATCAGCCTGGAATACCCTGTAAGTATCACTCTATAAATAAACAGTCATGATGATGATTTAACTTTGTGTAACATTTAACTTATCATCTCATCACAATCAACTATGTATTTTTTTATTAGTCAGAGTGGTTCAGTGTTATTATTATGGTGATATTCAATATGGCTGAAATATGATAATAAAAAATGTTTACGTCAAACTCATAGGGTTTTGTATGTTAAATAAATAAACACTCGTTATTAACTTTGTTGAGTATCTAATCTAAAATCTCTGATTTCAGGGTAACGTCCATCTCTGAACAAATTCAAGTGTATCATCATGATCATCATTATAAACACGATGAAAAACATGCTGGAAACTTATATATATATATATCATCATTTACTACAACATGATGATAATAATAACAATAACAATCAGGTGGAAAGAAAAAGTTTACCCTGAATTGGTATTATTAATATTTCATTTATTCTGATTTCAGTTCAATGAAATCTTAGAACCCTTCAAGTTTATTAATGTTACGCTTTATCATTATTCATGTAACTGGAATCAATTGAAAATGAATATCAATGGGAGCATAATGAACCGATCCAATGACATGGAAACAAAATTTTCCAAATTAAATACCCAAATTTGTATATTTCATTCATTTGAGAAATTTTTTTCCATTTCACAATTATCTGAAATTTCGGTGAATACAAATGTTTTCAATTGTTCTTTTTCATGGGATTGACCTCTAAACATACAAGGTCACCAAAAGCCCAATGACCTTCATCTTTCAACAGGCCAGTTAAGTATTGCCAAAACTCTTGCCATCAATAATTATCATCAAACGCTGATAACTGAATATTATCATGAATGAATTAATATTATCTTCACTTTCTTTTACAATATCAAGTGATTCTCATCTTCTAATCTGTTAATTGTTTAGGTGCAACCCTATCATCGTCTTAGTTATCAATACATTGAGATAAATCTCGATACAGTAATAGATAATATCTATTCGACTATAACTTGGATGTAAACTTGGAATTCTGTAGAAAAGTAGAAATAGTCTTTCGACTTGAGAAAATATCTGCGTTTCGAAATATTTACTTTTCGATCATTTTACTTCGAAATGAGTTTGGAGTTTGCTTATTTTGATTTTATGATTTATTCGAATACTATTTGAATTCATATTCCATGTAGAAAGTGAAAAAGTTACATGGCTTAGGAAGACAAATAGATTTCTGGAAAAGAAAAGTAAAAAATGACAAAGATGATGATGAATTTCAATTCTTTTCATCAGTTTTTATTTACTCTTATTTCTTATTCAAAAATTTCATCAAACTTATTTCGAGTTATTTGTAAACATTTATCCTTTTACTCTTCCTCTAACTATACTCACCCACCACCGGTTTCATGATCATCTTTCAATTTATCATCTTTCTTATCTTCATATCAACCAACCATTTACTTAACTCAATTTACTCAGATTCATACCGAATTCATATTGCTATCAGAATTTTCTGCCCAACTGAACTGAATACAAGCGGATAAATAATCAATTCCCAATCTACATTTTCAATTCCATGTGATTTCCATGAGGCTTCTGAACTAATTTACTCTAAACTATTTTCTTCACCATCATAACTTTCATTATTATTATTATCTTTTCTTTCAGATAATTATCATAAACAATTCCTATTATCATGCTAACCCTGAATTCTTTTGGAACTTTTTTCATTCCCAATGTTTTTTCAGCTTCTTTTTTCATCAATCATTAACATTTCTTTGTTATACTTATCGCAAAGAGTTTCCGTTTCCATGTAATTTACCTTAACATCCGTTTGTGATTATAAACATTTTCTATCTGATCATTATTATCATGAATTATCTTCATCATCATTATCATGATTTTCATCATCATGAGTCAACTGAAATGCTAATTGAAACTGAATGAACATGAACCTTAATGATAATGATTTAAAACGGAAGGAGTTAATCATTTGATTAAAGTCAATTACACTTGACCATTGAACCGAATCAACTTCAATCATAATCAAATAGTAGCTACTAATTGTTACAATTAATAATTAATAACTTTTCACACACTTTACTTGATTTTTAATCAAATTAAACTTATTCATGGTCCCGTTAATTAACTTGCAAAAATGTAATTTACTAAATCAAATTTATAATAAATGTTTGTAGGGCTCAATTTTTTTTCATTACAAGTTTTGCATTCACAATTAAAGTTTATAATAGTTATCATTAAAAATTTAATGAACTAAATTAAAGTTAATTATCATTGGCGTTTCCTATTCAATTCAGGATTAGATTACGAGAAGGATTTTCATGGTTCATTTAGAGGCAAAGTAATCATTTTAATAGAAATCAGTTAGATTAAAAGTTCTGGAAATTTGCTCGGCAATTAATTTCAGAAGAAAAAAAAACCACCCAATGTTCAGGGAGATTTTTTTTCCTCAACGAAAACGAGATCGCAATAGTTATGATTTAGAACTGAGTTCATCAGAACTTTCAAAATTGGTGAAAAAAAAACTCGAAAATATTTTTTTTCTTTCATTTCTTTTTTTTTGTTATTCAAACAAGTTCTGGTTTCAAATCTCTGATTTATCATGAATTAACATTCATAATAAAACAACAGAAAGGTAATTAACTTGAGTTAATTTGATGATGACGATGATCAAGTTAATTGTTACAATGATAATGAGGAAACAGATGAAAAAAAAACCTCTGTCAATATACACAAGAGAATGCAAAGTTTTCCTCATTAGTTAATTGTTGCAGAGATTAAAGATACAATTGAAGCGAAACTAAAGACTTGCTAATACAAAGATCGAGAGAAACCAAATCAGTTTAAATTGTTAACAATTAACAGTTGAATCTAAAGAGTTAAATTGTTGACCGTATTGTTATTCCTCGGATAGTATTGAATTTACGGGTTTGGAATGAAAGTTAATTGCAATTAACTTTGATTATGTTGACAGAGGAAAAATTATGTTTCCCACTAATTCTGTTAATGATTTTGGCAGATGATGATCCCAATTATGTTCCAATTATTGGATTAACGTGGGACAGATAATGATGATTAAAGATTATCATCAAAACATGGATCAATTTACTTGTAGAGGTCAAAATCATTTCTCCAATAACTTGTAACTGACCAGGTCAAATCTCTGACTATTAACCTTATCAAAAGAAACTCCTTTTATCATGATAACATTAATGGTTAATGTATTTCTGGGATATAAAGTAAAAAAATGTCACCATTACCAGAATCAGATCAGTTATTGGAACCGTAAATTAGATTATCTTGGATTTAATGATTATCACTTTGTTGTCTTTTCATGGTCATCATCAACTGAATTTGACCATCATCAGAATCTATCTGAGCTTAGTTATTTTTTTTTAAGACTTTTCTTCCGGTTTTGTTTCAATTCCCAATTATTTTTCATGGTCTGTATTAAATTAACGATTCATTTATTTATACATACGATAAATCATTTGGTGATTATGCTAATTAGATTTTGATTAAGATGAATTGTTTGATCATGTTATGTGATTTAATTTAATCTTGTTGAGATTCATTGAGTGGGTTCAGATATTAATCAATTTCGGGTTCATTTGGACTGATGTTTGTTTAGTCTTTGAATATTTTGATAACCATGATGACGAACATGATAAAATTTGATGATCTAACAAGTGAATCGAATCAAAATAAATAACAGGATGAAATCCCAGAGCTCATTAGAGATAAGATCAGATGGAAAATAAATTGAGACCGAGTCAAAGATGATAGAGAAGCAAGAAAAAATTCTTCATGCTGATAGAAGATAAAAAAATTCTGGAATTTATAAAAAAGTTCTGAAAGAACATGAACTCTGTTCTCCCTACTCTTTCCATCAAAAATCTTTGCTCTAGTGTAATGGTATCTGAATACTTGGTGAGCGGAACAAAATTTTCATGATGAGATATAACATCATGTTGTCTCATGATTGAGTATTTGAACTTGAGTCAGTACAATGGTTTGAATGATTAATTCCATTCCCCTGTTGGTTAATTGCTCACCTGAAACACTGGTAAACTATTGGGAGTCAGATTATCTCTACCTTTCAGAGTAGAGATGTAACCGAGCTGATC